GAAACCGTGAAAAGAGGGTGAAAGAAGAAGCGAAAGCGAAAAAAACAGCAAAAATCAGAACCGGCTGGGGGGTGATCAACCATTGATCAGCCTGATGGTGAGGTAGAGCGTGCTGCCGATGAAGCGGATGCAAGCCATGCCGGCGACGAAGACCAGCACGAGGACCATGTACACCTTGGTCCTCGTTACGCCCGAACCGTCTGCGAAGGTACCGCTGGTATTGCCGTTGAGGATGAATGCGGCGACGACGCCGTTGCTCAGTGCCCAGGCGAGGACGACGTTGGTGCGGATGTTCTTGTAGTAGTCCATCTGCCTGGCTTCCTTTTCGGCGTTGGATGCGTCGCCGCGGATGATCAACGGGCGCGTGCGGAGGTTGTTGAGCGCATCGTCGTAGGCGGTATCGATGTCGGCTTGGGCGGTGGGGAGCGTGATCTCGACGGTTCCCTTGGAGGTGGAGACGACGGCACCGAGGTCGGCAGAGACGGTGGTGTCGCCCTTGGTGCCCCAGGAGAAGTCGTGCAGGTTGCAAAAGGCGTAGATGTTGAGGATGTTGATGTAGGTGGGTGCGAGGAGGAGGTATTGCAGGAACGAGGTGATGAGGTGGAGCGGGTCGCAGGCGAGGAGCGAGGAGATGAGGTAGACACCGTACGTCGCAAGCAGCGATACCACCATCTGCGCATAGATCGCATCGTGCTCCACCCTCTTGACCACCTTCATCAGACACAACGCTGCTGCGATCATCATGTACACCGTCAACAGCGCAAAGATCACCACCGCTGCCCAGTACTTCCATTTACTACCCTGAGGTCGATTTCCCATGGCGAAGATGAAGCTCGCCACCACCGTACCCAGGTAGATGTACTGCATGAAGACGTTGAACACGCCGATACCGCGGAGCTTGAACGTAGGATCTTCGAGCGAAGTGGTGAGGATGCGGAAGAAGATGTAGTAGTTGGCGAGACCGAACCATGCAAAGCACATGTTGACGAAGCTGTAGAAGCTCTCGAACACCAGCAGGGCTTTGCGCCAGACGTTGTGGCCGGATTTGATGAACTGCGCCGTGTGGTACAGCGCGTAGACGGCGGCGAAGAAGGAGCCGTTCAACCAGCGACGTCGCTGGCTGATGAATTCGGGCAGACCTTCGGGAACGTCGGTGACTCCACGAGCCGATTTGACGTACTTCAGCACCCACCCCGATCCACGTTTTGCCGCCAACTCGAAGCACAGGATCCTGTCCTCGGCAAGGTACATGTTGGAAGTGAACACATCCGCATCCGCTCCGAGCAGGTTTTCACCTTTGAAGTAGCTCGCCAGCGGACCGTGACCGAACTCGTCGTTCTGCAAAGCAATGTACCGGTACGCCGAAAACGCACCGGGCAGAACAGAGATGTATCCCATGACGGATTCGGTCGTCTTGTCGAGGATGTTGCTGATCTTGTATTCGAAATTCTGCGCCGCCACGAGTGGGTTGAGCAGCAGGGGTCCGACTCCCCACTTGCCCTTGGTGTCGGCGCAGATCTCTCCGCACGCGCCGGCGACGTTCGAGTTGAGATCGAACGACTTCCACAAATAGTAAATGGATTTGTTCTCCGGACGTGTTCCCACATCGAGCAGGATCGTCACATTGGGCTGCAGGATCGGGCAGAAGGCGTTGAAGAACCATCGATGAGAGTTGATCTTTTTGGCGTTCTTCTCCTTGAGACAGAAGATGATCTGCATGGGAACCAGTCCCCTTTCTGCGCCTTTGAATTGCAAGTTGGAATCGATCGAGAGCTGAGTCGTGTACTCGTAGAGATGCGCCTTGACCTCTTTGCCGTCGACGGTGTTCTTGGCCACCCCGTCTTGGTACACACCCAAAGCGGCCAGGCAGTCCAAGACACGAGGATGGATCTTCTTACGACCATCCGAGATGATGGCCACGACGACCTTTTTCCACCCATCCTTACCCCACGTCCTCGACTTGTTGCGCGAACACAAATGTGCGATGTTCTTCATGACACCGTGGAAGGTGCGACAGAACAGCACCTCGTCTTCATTGTACATGGTGATAGCAATGAACAACTCGGTGTGACGGCTGTAGAGAGCGGGGCGGAGAGTGAAGGACTCTGCTGCGAAATCGTCTGGATCGCAGGTGACGGCGGAGTAGCGCATGGTGGTGAATTCGTCCTCGGCACGACGCGTCAAGAAGGTCTGCAGCTTGGTGGGGACGGGACAGTCGAGGATGAGGTTACCTTTGGTGAGGCGGACGTTTTTCTTGGTCTTGTGTCGTCGAAGTTGGGCGCCTCGGGCGGGAGCTGGACCAAAGTGTTGGGTATCGAAGTGGTTGTCGCCGAATTGACCTGCAGCACCTCCAGCAAAGCCAGAAGCGGTTCCGGCAGGATAGGCTGAGTTTGGATCGTAGCCTTCCCCGTCTTCGCCTCCAAACGCTGCCTCACGAGTAAGGACTCCGTACGGGTCATCGACGTCCTCCTCGTTGGAGGCGACTTGAGCGTAGGGGCTCTGCAGGTAGCCGTTGCCCTTAGCAAGTGCGTATGGAGAAGTTGCTGCGGCTGCCGCCGAATCGGGTCGACCATATTCGTACTTCTCGTCGTGTCCCGAGCTGGGAGAGTACTTTGTGGCAGCGTCATCCTCGTCCTCGTCATCATCACCTTCGCCATGTCCGAGCGAAGAGTAGTGCCCTGCAGCACCTTGGTTGTAGTACGTATAGCCACCATCGCCCGACCCGTGCATGGGAGCTTGCGAGTATTCTGGAAGCGTAGCAAGATGAGCTGCTGGGCTGATCGCTCGAACGGCAGGTGGGGGGCTAGCGAGCGCGTTGGCGGCTTGGCTGTAGAAGCTCTCGCTGAGACCGGGCATGTGAGAAGTTCTTGGATCGACGCTGACACTCATGTGCTGTTGAGGTGGAAGCGACGACATCCGCTGGTGCGAGAGGGGCAAGATGGATGCGGGTGAGGTAGCTGCGTGGACGTCGGAGAAGGGAGATGCGTGCGAAGCAGAGGATGCGGCAGCGGACGCCTCGTATGGGTTGATGAATGCGTTCGCACCGCTGCCTACGATAAGGTCCGGGTCAGGATAATATGGGTATTGGTCTTGATCGTCTTGCGCGTGACCGGCGGCGGCAGAAGCCGGCCGTGAGTAGTACGACATGATGTGTGAGTCGTGTCCGGAGAGAGATGGTGATGATCAGGTAACGATAGAGATGATTGTCGAAAGGTAATGTTTCTCTTTGCTTTGGTGGTGAGGAGCTAAAAGGAAAGACTCTAAAAGAAGGAACGACAAGGACCAGCAGTGATGGAGGATGATGGTGAAGGGAATGATAGAAGGTGGATGCAAAGCGCGAGCAGAAGCAGCGGGAACTCAAACAGAGCGCACGAGCATGAGAAGGGTGTGGGCGGCGGAAGCGGTACGCCGAACAAGCGGAGCGGAGAAGCAGCGTCGCAGCCAAAAGGTGACAGGGGCCCGACGAGGAGCGGGACGACATGTGTAGAAAGTCGACGAGCTCCCTGTCACTGCTTGTGAAGATGTTGCTGCTGTGCTTGACAGGAGGTTGAGTTCCGAAGCGAGGTGTTGGTCTGCGCCATTTTCGAGTTAGAAATGGAATTGTTTTTCTCCGATGCCGATCTTTGAGGAACCACAGCACAGTGTCGCCAACAGAAAACAGAATCCAAATTAAAAAAAAAACCAAGAAATGGTGACAGCCCGTGTTGGTTGACACTTCTACGCCCCGTCCAACGTCACACTCTGCTTCTCGCCGCAATCAATGAGGTACCTTCTTACGCAGGTCATTCGGAATGGGAAGATGCTGCATACAAGATGATGTACAGGCCCGCAGAAGGTGGTGGCATGGCATGGCATGGCATGGCATTGCGTGGCGGGAAGCCTCCGAAGTTCCTGCTTCTTCGACACCAACTTTCCAATCGAAGGGATCAAGGGAGTTAGGGGCGTCTCGCAGCTGGATTTCAGGGTCCAGATGAAAGAGTCGTGAGCCCCTGTCTCTTCTCTTCCCAGTGCTTTCCACTTCTATAACTTTTTCGATTATGCTTCTGAAGTTACGGTCTGACATCGGTACATTATTTTCTTGAAGGTTCCCGCCGCTCACTTCAAGCTCCTTTCTCCGCATGACCTACAAACTAAGAAGACGCAGACTGGCGGGCCTTGACACTGGCATGCACGGAACACTTGATGCTCTAAGCCTTCCGATTCGCATTCCTACTCAACGCTGATGTTCAGCTGTGCCTCACCGATCTGAACCTTGACGCTGCGATCCGAGTTCCACTGGAACCCGATCCTGTCAAAGCCCACGAAGTCTTGCTCTTCTCCCAGCTGTCCCTCGCGATTCGTCTCTACCCTGCCCTTCTGCTGATGGTCACCCACGTTGAACAAGAAGGCTCTGTACGCGCCATCCGTCAGCTTGGCGTCCGTTGCGCCCTGCCTCGGCATCTGACCGGGGGAGAAGAAGCTGCTGAACCCCGAAGATGTTTTCCAGATCAACACTCGGCCTTCCTCCAGACTCACCGTAACCAGTCTGCGTCCGTCCGGGCTGAAGCTGACTGCATCCGCACGCCGTCGATGTCCTTCCAGCACATATAGCCGAGTGGCTGTCTTGAGATCGTATACGATCACCGCGCCTTCGTGCGTTCCTACGGCTAGCCTCTGTCCTCCACCAAAGAAGCTTACGCTAGGATATGTAGAAACCAGCTCCGAAATCATGACGGTGGCAGCGTTGACTACAGCTTCCCTCATCGTCGTGTGCGTCGGGTCCAGCGATTTGACCACCGCTTCCGCCAGTCTCGGCAGGTTGGCAACCAGAACAGACGGTCGCTTTCGCACCATGAATGCCACCAATCGCATCGTTGCCGAGCAGTGCGCTGGTGACCGTGCGTGCAGGATATCCAGCGAGAGCGTCGTCATGAACAGCGGCGTATTATCGGCCGCGATCTGTAGCGTCGCGGCTCGTGCAAGCGTTCGCAAGTCGCCATCAGCTTTGCTGGTCGACGAGGTGGAGGATGACGTCGACGTGCTGAGCGCGAACAGCGATCGTACCACTTCCGTCGCATCAAAGTAGTGCTGCCACACGGAGAATCCACTTCGGCATAGCTCGATTGCCACCGCAAGCATCTGCAGATCCTGAGGCGTTCGCATTTCGCTACCCCGATCAGAGACGATGGCGCCGTGAATCGTGCTAGCGACGTCCTTGAGCAAGCGTGGCGACAGGCTCGTGTACCGCTCCACCGCTATGCTACCCACAAGCGCGAGCGCACGTGTTCGGAGCTCTGACCCTTCAACGGAGTTCGGCCCTTGTCTGCCCTCGAGGGGCGATTTTGCGGTTTGCAGGGCTGCATTCTTTGCTGATGTCAGCCAGCCCTGCCATTGACTGCATACCTCGTCCAGCTCCGTCTGCTCGAGGCGCGCAAGGGCAGCTGCAAACATAGCTCGACAGGCAGTCTGCAGCTCGGAATTGCTGTCTAGCCAGTAAGGTACCAGCTCCTCGAGTCTGACTCCACGGAAGCCAACTCCGACCAAGGTCGACAGTTGTGCTTCGTCCTGAACGAAGTCTTGCAAAGCTGTCGCTAGCCCACTGAGCTCGCTGATGTGGCTCAGCACTTGCAGCAACGCAGACGCCACAATGAGGCGTGTCGTTGTGAGTCGGCTACTGAGCTTCCACGCCTGTTTGGCCTTCGTGTCTGCAGCTGCCGCACCCTTACCATCCGTACCGCTGACCACGAGACCATCAGGTGCGGAATGGAGCCCAACGCCGAACGCGGACGCTGACTGCTCTTCCAGATCCAGCAGCGCTGCAAGCTTTGCGTCGACATCCACATCAAGTCCAGACGGAAACACTGTTGGTAGCAAGGGCCGTATGATGTTGACCGCTTTGCGCGCAGCCGGCGAGCCCAGTCCGACCGACGTTTGTCCTTCGGTCCGTTCGAAATCCGGCTCTGTCCGCATTGTCAAGGCAGGCTGAGGCGACGCTCCGCTCGGCTGCCCACTGCGAGCTGCCGCCTGCGACAAGTCCTCCTTCGCAACGGCTTGGCCGCTTCCACGCACAGCACGCGCAGCAGCCTCGATCGCACGTCGAAAGTCCACCAGCAAAGAAGCAGCGGCACCATCGCGCGCAGATGCAAGCTGCGACAATACTCCAGTGGTGCCAGAGTGCAACGGGCTGTACGGCTCGACGGTCTTGACTGTCCACCAGCCCTTGCCATCTTCGATCAGAGCTTGTGCTTGATCTGTGGCGATGCTGCGCCGAAGCTCTTGCGAGCGAAGATCCCAAACGCGGGCCTTGTCGTCGTCGTACGTCAACAATAGTTCATCCGCCCGCGATGCTAACGAGGTCAGACGTGCACCTCGACCTGGGATCGTGTACATCAATCGAAAGCCTTCGAGCAATATGATCGACACTGAGCTATCTGCGCAGATGCAGGCGACGCATCCATGCAGACGGATGGTGTTGTCCTCATCGCCAAATACGACGAGAGCTTCCACTGGCGTGGTCGAAACTGAGAGCTTCGCTTCCAGTGGAGGAAACGAAGTTGATGCTCCATCCTGTGCCGTGGCCACGTTTGCGTGCCAGAACCCGACCTCGCCTTGCATGGTACCACCGATGATAAGACGCTGACCAGATCGAGGAGCAACAGCCGAGCGAAGCAGGCAAATTTTGTGGTCCGTACCCAGACTGTTGCTGCCGCCATAAATTGGCTTGGGCCTGTCGTTTCCAGCCCTCTCAGGGCCGCTGGGAACGCCAGCCGCGATGGACGACAATGAAAGGATTCTGAGGCCGCCCCAGCTTGCTACTGATATCCTCTCAAGGCTGAGAGGCAACATAGCCGTAATGGAGTTGGCAGATCCATGTTCGTCATGATTGTTCTGCGCCCCTTCTACCCTTGACGGACCAGGACCGAGCAAGTCGTCCGTGCGTGAGGTGACAAGGTCGAAGGTGGCGAGGTCACTCGATATTGACGAGGCGTCCGCATCTTCTGCAGGCATTTCTGGTCGCTGCGCTGAAAGAGGCTGTATAAGGAAGAGCTTGTCAAGGAGCTCTCCTGAGCCAGGCAAGTTCCAAGCGAGACAGAGTCGACTCGGCGGTTGACCGGGAAGCGACGAAAACTCTGCCTTTCCCTTGATCGCACCGGCGTGATGCTGCTCCACGAGGTGCGATCGCGTCGTCGTCAGACGGAGTCTTGCCAGGCCCGAGGTGGTCTGTACAAGCAGATGTTGCCCATCGCGACTTGATCCACATATGCCCTTGAAGTGACCGTCAGTTGCTTCCTGCACGAACATGGAAGGCCCGTCACGGGCGTTAAGAATCGAAAGTCGTGTCCGCGACTGCACCACAATATGGTCGGCTGAAATGTGGACGGAGTCTGCTTGCGCGTCATCAATGGAGAGAGTCCACGAGGCGCCCGTTGCCTCTGCTTTGCCCTCAAAGATGAAGCCGAGAGGAGGATTCGGTAGACTGATGGCATCGCCTTGCGTCTGGGATATGCCTGTACTGGACAGCATCCGAACGCTCTGCTTCTGGAGCTTGCGATCGGTCTCGCTAAACCAACACAGTTCGAGTTGCTCCTTGGAATCAGCCGCTAGCCTCAGCTTCGGTACGCTGGTCGCGAAAACATCGTCGACGGCCTCATGGAGCAGCAACCTCCCGTCCGAGAGATCTAGCATCATCGCCGAAGACGAGTGTGAGTCCCAAAGCAGAGCGATGGGTGCGCCATGAAAATCTAAAGCCTGGACTGAGCCGTGAAGCTTGACGCCGTGGGATTCGCGCAGTCTTGGGTTTGTCGACGCATCAGGGGCGCTCAGAGCAGATCGGAGCATTGATCGTCTCATACTAGCATCGCTGCCTGCTGGGGCTGGTCTTGGGGACGCCCGTGCGGATCCTGCTGGGCTACGCGTGAGCGGTGTGCCGATGGCTGCAGGAAGCTGTCTGCTGAACGAATGTATCATCCCCAGGGACGCTGAAGTTTGTGATCCACTCACGTCGAGCGATGCGAAGTCGGTGGCATCGATGTACGCGCTTGTAACGTCCGTCTGCCAGATAAGAGAGCCCTCCAGGATCGACCACAGCGAGACGAAGCCGGCCTCTTGGACCACTAGCAAAACCGTCTTGTCGCTGACTGGAGGGGCGAGTCCAGACTTCAATGTTGTATCCTGCTGGTCATCGCCTTTCGAGGGAAACGGTACAAGTCGAAGCGCGACAACAGGAGATCGATCGCGCGTGTACAGTGTCATGAGCTCGCCAAAGGTACCGCGACTGGGATCGTTCAGCCATGCATCTGAGGTAGAATGCGGGATGGAAGCCTGAAGCTGGGCATCCGACCTTGGCCGGTCTTCTGAGACGGCAGCGAGGGCCTCGACCGAACGTGTGCCATTCGGAGGTGTGATAGGTGACTGTCGAGACTCGCTGGTTTGATTGCGATGAGAAGACTGGTGACGAGAATGCTCCTTAGGGGATCGTGGTTGCGGCGAGGAGGAGTGTGAGTGTGATTGCGAATGTGAGTGGGATGAGAGACCAAGCCGTTCAATGACGCCGCCGACTACGCCGTGCTGGTGATCATTGCGCTCCGCAGCGGCCATCTGCAACTCCAAGCGGTCCTCGGCCTGCTCTCCGAAGGTTCGTCCTGCAGTGTGGCCAGTGGCGTTAATGTTGGATTGCAGACTGTGGGCTGGTAGACCCTCGTCGATCTGAACATTGGTTGCGACGGTCGAGCTGACCGAAGCGGCGGATACGATGGAGCGTGTCGTGAACGGAGAGCGGTCGACGGGTGAGAAGGTTGAGAGGAATGAGGTGGGCTCCCGACTGGACGAAACGATTGACTTGGATGCGGACGAGGAGGGTAGCCTGATTGAGGGCGTATCGACGTCGGGACTGCGAAGATTAATTGGGTTGGAGATATCAGACGATCGACGTGACTCGGACGGACTGAGATGGGAGAGGTTGGCGGAGGCAGAAACAGAGGCGGGCAAGGTGTCGTCCGCGACCCCTGGTCGATGAAGTGTGTCGGCAAGCGACTCGTAATCCTCTACACGGCCATATGCGCGATACAAGGTTACCGTACCGTCGTCTCTTCCTATCGCGATGACGCGTCCCATACCTGGGTTGTACTTGGTCGAAGGACTCGAATCGTTCCGTGGTCCGAAATCGATCGGGTCCAAGGCGCTGGACGAGTACGGAGCAAACGAGATCGACGGATCCCATTGCTCCAAGCTCGCAGGTACAGCAGAGTCTCTAGACGAGTGTGCACTCTGCAGATAGGAACAGCTAGCTTGTGCCGAGTTCTCATCCCAGGAGAGCGCCGAAGTTGGCGCGGCGAGTTTGGAGGTGGTAGGCAAGGAGGGCAGTCCCCATTCCTGCAAGTCGGCTTCGAGCTGATCGTGATCAAACGAGGGCGCTGTTGGATTGGACGCGCTCTGAAAACGTGATGCTGTATAAGACGATGCAGCTGCTTCAGCGCTGACTTTGGAATAATTCGCTGTGATGAGGGCTCGATAATTGGGACGATCCGGTTTCCAACGCCTTCGATGTGACGCTGACGCGGACGCAAGCTGTCTTTGATCGAGAACAAAGGGCAGCGACAGAGGCGTCGCAGTTGTCATGATGCTGACGCTACGAGCCGATAGCCCAGATTCGAAACTGCCAGTGTGGTGGTGATGGTTGGAGTGTGATATGATGGAAGCAACAGAAGTGTCAGTTTGTGCGCACAGTCCTTCACAAATCAAGAAACTCAGTCTAAAGTGTTAGAGTGGTGAATGCCTACGTTGCGCGGCCCGGTTTAGCCGATTACTGCCGTTGTACAACCGCTCATCATCTTGCCGGACCTGCAATCTTCCCGACCGCTTTGCCCCGCATCCGGGTTCCTTACCCCACTCCCTAACGATAGTCATCACCACCACCGACGCCACCATCGCCACCGTCACGACCTTCATCCATATCACCTCCAAAGTTTCCGGCCACGATGTCGTTCCTGTCTTCCTATACCGATCGACTGCAAGATGGGAGGGTAGCACTCGCTGCTGCTGCCGGAACGGCCTCCTTCCTCTATCTTGTCTCCAACCTTCGTCTGCGTTCCAACTATCCCAAGATCCTCAAAGCGCCTGCCAAGATCCACGAACCGCCCTATCCTGCCGACATCTTCCCAAACGGGTCTGATCTCGACACACCTTATGGTAAGATCCGCTACTACGAGTTCGGCCCTGAAGGTGGCAAGAAGCTGCTCTTCGTACACGGCATCTCGACACCCTCTCCTGCATGGAGCTTAATCGCGCCTCACCTGATCAAAGCAGGCTATCGGATCCTGTGCTACGACCTGTTCGGTCGAGGCTACTCCGACTCTCCCCAAGTGACGCACGATGCAGCGCTCTTCGTCTCCCAGATCGCGCTCCTCCTCGCCCACCTGCCACACTGGGATCGCTTCGACTTGTGCGGAATGTCGCTTGGCGGACCCATCGCCTCTCACTTTGCACACTACTTCCCACAGCGCGTGGACCGTCTCATCCTCCTCTGTCCCGCCGGCGGAACCCCCAACGCCGACCTGCGTCCCGCCGTCAAACTCATCCGTTCCCACCTCCTACCCAACTTTATTCTTCAAAAACTCCTCCGCTTCGTCCCCTTACTGCCAACACCACCCAAAGGATCGCTCGCATGGTGGCAGGCGCAATATCATCCCGGCTACAAATTCAGCTTCGCCTCGAGCTTGCAGGACGGTCCGATCTTCAACAGTCAGGATGTTCATCGTGCCGTGGTACGAGATTTTGGTAGTAAGTTGAGGGTGATTTGGGGTGACAAGGATGACGTCGTTCCGATGAACACGGTCAAGTACTTTGGACAGCTCGATCTGGCGGTGATCGAAGGCGGTGGGCATTTCGTCGTGTTGACTCATCCTGAAGCTACGGCGCAGCTCATGTTGGACTTCTTGGGTGCTGGGAAGTGAAACTTGCAAATGTAAGATAGAATACAATGTATAGAGCATGCTAAAAAGAGTGTTGCGGGATGTTACGTGCGTGTGGATCAGACCTTGACTCTCCACTTCCCTCCGGCAAGAGTGAATCTCACCCTCGCAATAACGATCGATCCAATCAGCGTCGTACCGGCCGCCCACATGGCCAAAGCCGTGTACCTCCCATCCATTTTGGCCACCAATGCCGTGCTGATGACCGGTCCAACCAAAGCACCCGGTGCAGCCATACTCCAAGTCAAGCCCAATCTCGCCCCTGCGTTCTCTCTCGAAATCTGTGCAACGCACGATCCCACCGTGGCAATGCTTCCTCCGGACGCCAATCCGTAGGTGATGGACAGTGTCACCACTCCCGCCTTGGTCAACGTCAACCCCGGAATCGGCCAGAACAGCACCAACGACACAAAGCTGGCGAAACCGAACAACGACAAGACGTTGAATCGACCGTACCTGTCCGCCAGCGGGCCCGAGGCCAGACGACCGATCATGCTGGCAGCATTCATGATGGCCACCATGTGGGTTGCCATGGAAGGTGTGAATCCGACCTTCTTGGCGTACGAAGCGATGGTGAAGAAGGGTACGAAGAAGTTGATGAACAGAATGGCGACTCCAACGACGAACAGCGTGTACGTCGAAGGATCCTGCGTCAGGAGTATCGCGGCTTGCGACCATGGTTGACGAAGGTGTTTCGGTGTAGGTGGCAATCTCGGACGCATGAGGATGTTACTGATGGTGAGAAGAATAGCCAGTAGCAAAGCAGCGATCCTGACACCCCAAGCGAACCCGATACCAGGCATATCGAACAACGCCTGCAGGATGAGGGGCCAAATGATGCCTCCGAAACTGGCCGCTCCGATTATCACCGACATAGCCGTACCTTTCCGCTTATCAAAGTACTGGTTGACCAACGCACATCCGGGCAAGAAAAGCATACTTCCTCCCAACCCGAACAGTACACCTTGAACCACGATGAACTGTATCAATGTCGAACAGAACGAAACACCCAACATCGAGACGAACGTCACCAAGCTTCCGCAGATCAACACCCACCGACCACCAAAGTCATCCGAGATCTTGCCGAACACGAAGGAGCCACCGAGGATCATGAACGTCTGCAGACTTCCGATCCACGACACCGTCGATGCAGGGAGGTGAGAGAGCTGGCGGGAGACGTAGTAGCTTTGAAAGACACCGTAGGATGTGAGGAGACCGAAGTTGGTCATGATGAGGAGGAAGGTGCCGGCGACGACGAGCCAGGCTTGAAGTCCACCATCGGGTGCTGGGCCATAACCTGGATCTGATGTGGAAGCTGCCTTTTCGACATCCTGTAGCTTGGAGAAAGGAGGACGGTCGAGCTTGTCGAAGGATGCGCGAGGGGTGTTTGCGACCAAGGTGTTGGCGCAGGTGTCGACGTCTGCTTCAGCAAGCTGCTTTTGGGTTGCAGCAAAGTCGTGAGGGTATTTCTGCTCGAGTAGACGCTGGGCGAGACATTTTGGTGAGACTCCCTCTTGCTGTGAGCGGTCGGATTTGAGCTCTGGCGTCTTGGCGCTGGAAGGCGAAGAAAGAGCACTGGTACACGAGATGCTGTTTCGTCGTGTAGGTGCGGCAGTGTTGACCGCTGTCGCGTCAGCAGACGCGAAGCTCGACTGAGGTGATGAGGATGTGGATGCTATCGTCGTTGTGGAAGATGAAGAGCACGACGTGCGCAGCTCTTCAGCTGAAGGTCGTGAAGATACCATCGTGTCGACGAATATGAAGCACCTTCGGAACAAGAAACAAAGCTACTGCTGAAGTGTGAAAGATGGTCAGGAATGTGTGGAAGAAGGTGATGAAGATACTGTTGAGAATGATCAGATGTATCTACAAGGCAGCGCTGGAAGAGGGACCCATTGATATCAATGACCAGCGTCGGGCGGCTCAGAACCATAGCGCCCGACACAACCGAAAAGTCGGACCCTACACATCTCGTCGCCCGTGTCCACCACACCAAAAGACACGGCTTCCACATGTACCACTACTCATCATGCAAGAAGCCGCAAAGCCTCGGTGAAAAGAAGGGCTGACGATTCTGAGGCCGCACCGTCATATCCGAAGAATTTGGCACTATCCAAAGGCTTCTGAGGAGGGAGGCGGGCCTTTTCGTAACCAGCTCGGAGAAAAAACAAGGGCGCAAAGGTTCCACGCGAAGCAAATTCACCGATTCCAGGAACGCACGCACACAGTCTGCCACGAGTGTGGTTGCAGAGCACAACGGAGCAGTTCAGAAAGCTATCAGGAGCATGAGTGCACAAAGAAGGCACGTTGCGTTCGGCAGGAAAGTTTTTCGTTATCATACGGATCGGCGTCAAGCGCGTTGGCACTCTCCGACAGGCCGTCAAAACCGAAGGTCCGCTTAAATTTCGGCGTAATCTGGGACGGACACGGTCTAACAATATTAGAATGCTCGGCTATTCTTTCGGCTTGACACCTCCACACACTCTCGTGTCCGGCTATCGACGACATTTGTACGCACGGTTCTCAATGTCCGACGTAGCATTCCATCTGGACTTCCCCTCCCGCCCAACTGGTCCTCCAAAGACAGGCTTTCCAAACAGAAGTCTGAGGAGTAATCCGGGTCAAGCATGTAGAGGAGCGAACGCAGCGAAGACAACTTCAAAAGTGGAGATTCCGTTGTTGATGGAGACGACGCACGGCAACGCAGAATGACGGACTGGTCGTCACAGCCGTCGATCGCTGATGCGGCGAGATTGATGGACTCGCTCGGTCTGGCGCAGGGAACAGAGACTAGTGTATCGAGCGCCATCAGCAGCAGGCAACCTGGTCCGCAACTGCTCGACGCTCGGCATCCACCTCGAAGCCCTGCCTCGGAGGTAGGGTATGAGAAGCACCATGGGAAGCCGTACGACACTCGACGGTTCAACGCTACTGGTTCGGGCATCGAGACTGCACCAGGGCCTGATTTCTCGTCACTCTCAGCATCACGTTGGAACAAAGACTCGACTCGGATCCCAAGTCTTCCCGCCGAAATCATCTATCAGATAGCCACACATCTAGTATCCAGCTCCGACGTACCACTGCATAGCAGCACCGAGATGCGACCCGCAGCCTTCCCCTGCGAGCACTCCTTCCCGCCGCACACCTCACTCTTACCCAGCGGTTCGAATCTTCACGCCCTCCTTTCGCTTTCTTCGTCCAATCGAGCTTTCCGCAACACCCTCGTCCCCCTGGTCTGGCATACGATCGTCATTCGGACTCCGCAACACCTTCCCCGCTTAGCAGCGCTGCTCAAGAGCTACGACACGCTCTCTGTCCGTTCCACCTCTCCTCAACGACATCGCAAGTCTTCCATCCCCAGCTCTGATCTGCTGGCTGGTGGCCTACGCCATCCTCTTCCTCACATCAGAAGCATCCACATCTCTATCCCCGACAAATACATGGATCTAGATCAGTCCTACCTCCTGACGCTTCTTCGATCGATGCATCTTTCGCAAACGCATCAGTTGGATCACTTACACTGGTCGGCAGAAGCTGCCCCAAATCCAGCTATTTGGTCCGTACTAGCCCCGAGCTTGAGGAGCTTGGAGTTGGATGGTAGGACGTTTTATCAGGGTCATAAGGGTATGGAAGGGTTGGAGAGGTTGGAGAGTTTCAAGATGGTAGGGTTTGAGAGCACGTTGTTGCCTAGTGGCGTGGTAGGGGTGTTTTGGAGGCAGAGGAGGGATGAGGGTGGAAAGGGAGAAGACCAAGAATTGAGAGAGGTTCCGGAAGGGGAGGAAGAGGAAGGGCGAAGGGGAATTCCAGTGGTAGAGTTGCAGAGTGTGACTCCAGAAAGGAAGCGGCAAGCGAGACACCTATATCTCGATCCATCACCACCTCCCCCGCCATCCGCCGGTCCTGATCCTCACCCACCACACGCAGCTTCACCTTCGGCCACCCACACCCGTCTCAAACACCTCTCCCTCTGCACCTCCAAAACATCCCTCTTCCACCAACAATCCCTCCTCCGCTCCTCCGCCTTCCAGGGCCTCACCCACATCGACATCTACCCCATCACCCCTCAACCTCCCCTCTCCCTCTCCCTCATCTCCACCGCCTCAACGCTGACCCACCTTCGACTCGTGCTCGACATTTCGGGCGCGTTCGCAAACTACGATGCGCTGTGGAGCGATCTCACGGGTCGATTGCCGGAGTTGGTGTGGTTAGAGGTGGATCCGATGCCTCAACAGAACACAGCACCTAGCTTTGGGAGGTTTGTGGAGGAGGCAGGTAAGTTGAGGTGGATCAATGGGAAGGAGGTGGGCAGTTTTCCGCCGTGTTTCGGGGACTTTGATCCGGGCAAGTCCAGTGGCGCACTGCCGTTCTGAAGCACAGTCGGTCATGATCATTGTTCAAAAAGGGTCGCAGATGGAAGCACGATACATGGATCATGAAAGTATAGCGTTTCGGACTGGCATTACAACACCCACCAAGATCCCCCACAAAGACAATTGAACCTGAACCTGTCCAACGACGAACCCTGCTGACCGACTTCGATGCTGAGCAACTTTGGCTGTGGCTGCATCAACGGTAACAGCGTCGACATTGTTGGCATGACCGCACCCGGCTGTACTGCTGCTCCTCCTTGCTGCTGTTGCTGCTGGAGTTGCATTTGCATCTGCATCATCTGCATCTGCAACTGCATCTGGACTTGCGGTGGTAGGTTGGGATCGACCATCATGGCTGCTGGGTTGATAGCAGAGGCTGGTGGTGGGAGCAAGGCGTACGTCGCGGTGATGGGATCTTGTGAGAGCGCATGGCATCGGAGGCAACGTTTGGCTCGCATGACAGAGACGCGGACGAAGGTGGTGTCGGAGTTGACATCGTTGCCTGCGACGACACCGGGCGGCAAGCGCGAAGCCGCCGACGCAGGAATGACCGTGGTCGGGTGACTTCGCAGAAGGGTAGAAGCGTCGTTGAGGATGCTGTTGTGCGTCACGGCGTGGGAAAGAGATACTTTGCGTACGATGTCGCGACGCTGCTCGACATCGCTTCGCTTGGCGGACATGGCAGAGAGCGCTTTCACCAACGCCGACTCTTTCACATGCGCCCGCTCGTCACTGGCTCGATCGTCCAGCGCACCCTTCTCGTACAACACGCTTCGTTCGTCCAGCACGTCCGACGGCGATACGAACAGCGTCAGCACGTCCACGAGCGCTCCCGACTGCGGATCGACGATCGAGCTGAGCAGCTTTGCTTGAAGACCTGCGGCCGGATCCTGTTCCATCTTGCCCGTGCTGGCGCCTCCTGCTGGGTCCAGCTTGCTGCCGTCGAGCGTAGCCCACCAGAAACGATCCGATTCCCGGCTCTGGTTCGGACCTGACGCGGTGCCGCCTGTGCCACCGATGCTCGAGTCCGCTTCAATCTTGACGAGAAGCTGCGCAAAGTCGGCCAGGTCGATGGATGCATCGCCGACGACACGCTGGAGCGCATCACGAGCCAGCGCCATCTGCTCGCTGACTGCTAGCAAGCGTCCATCCGATGCCAGCCCTGTCGAAGAGGACAGATTCGCCTCGTCTCCCAAAGAGATTCCTGTCGCAGGCGGCAGGTTGTCCTTGTTGGTGGTGCTAGCGACCCACTCCTGGAAGTCGCAGAAGTGCGCCAGAATTTGGAGCACAAGTCGACGCGGCGTAGGCTTGTTGAGCATGCGTACGAAGTCGGACTCGAAGCTGTCCTGAGCGACCGGCTTTGAGGTGTTGTCGGCAGTTCCGGCACCTGCGTCGCCGCCCGAGACCGCCGAGGTCGCCAAGGCGAGCTTGCTGACGTCGTCCAAAAGCGTCAAGAACCACTGCAGCTGTGCCAAGAGAGGCCAAACGCTTTCGAGTTGGTAGTACACACGCTCGCGCGCCTCGTTTGCGACCACGGGCGCAGTGGCTTTTGCAGCAGCGGCGCCGCCTTTCTTCTTGCCGCTTTCTGCTGCTGGCTGTGTTGGGGTCGCAGTGACTTCGGTCTTGACACGAGCAAGGCGCAAGACTTGGAAGCAAAGACCAAGTTCGAGGATGAGTTGCTCGAGGCGCGCTCCAGATTTCGATGAATCCTGGCCGGCTTCCATGGCTGTGCGAATCTTGAGCAGACGAAGCGCTTGATGGAACGGAATCGAATTGGAATCATGGCTCGGACCCTTTTGAGTTGCTCCTTCGATCTTGACCAACACATCTTGCCTCTTGGACTCGGTGATCTTGAGAAGGTCTCCGACTTCAACCAACAGCTTTGCCGCTGACTCTCTCGCAGCGTCCGCGGCGAAGGCTCTGCTGATGTCGCTTGGATCCGTCTTGCGCAGGCACGCCAAGGCGAGGAACTGCGACATACGAAGTTCGTTCACCTTCTTGTCCTCTTCGACCTGCTCTGCGGCCCCGTTCGCATTCCGCAAACTCGATGCAGAAAAGTACGACGGCAGCTTGCTGAGCACGATGCTCTTATTCGATGCTCCCTCGTACGTACTGGAAAGCATCGCGAAGAGTGCCCCATTACTGGACACGACAGGATCGGAAGACCGCGAAAGCGCTTGGACAGGCACCGAAGATGGAGGCCGTTCACCAAAATCGATGCTGTTGAGGTCGACGAAGCCGACATGCTCGGACAGCAGCCCTGATTCACCTCTTGTAGGCATTAAGACCGTGAAGAGCGCAAGGTCAGCCGTGACCAAGCTGGGAGCATCGGCAACCAAAGAGGTGATCAGTTGGTTACTCAAAGTCTTGGACTGAGCAAAGCGAAGCTGCCAATCGAGCCATTTTGGGGCATGACCCGTTTTCCTGCATTCGAGCGAGGCGAAAGCATCGCTGAGCTCGTTTTCAACTTTGGTCAGATCCCAAGTCGCCACATTGGTACGAAGGTTTGAGCTCGTGTCGCCGAGTGCTGCCGAGTCTGCGGTGGTATCGAATGCTTCCACGTAAGCAGAGCATGCGACGAGCCGCAGACCAGCTGACTTGCTGGCATCGTTGTCTCTGCTTGAGCCCGTGCTGCCGACTTCGGCCCAAGCGAGGGTGGTGATGTCGCTGCTGAGGTCGGGTGCCTTAGATCCATCGGATGGACCGTTGTCAGCTGACTCGCTGACTTGGGCGTAATCGGACAGCGACAGAGAGGCTGATTGCAAAGGACGCGTGATCATCGTTACAGTTTCTGCACGTAGGTCAATAGTGATCTCTGTAAGATCGATGAGTGCAGGGCTGCTCGTGTTCCGTCGAGATGCGACAAGAAGGGCAGAGTCGTTTGCAGGCATGCCAATAGCGAGATGAGTGAGGCTTCCGTCCTCGATGTATTCTTGCTCATCGTCAAACGGACGCCCCTCCTCGGATGGATTTGCGGAAAATGGAGACGTGTAAGAGGTGGCGTCTTCGGCGGGGTCACCGCCAAGGTCGGGAGCGGAGTCAAGTGTGATGGGCGACGGCTGAACACTAGGTGTGTAGAGCAAAGAATGGAGCGTGGTGGTGAAAAAAGCTGATTGAGCATGAAGGGGAGAGGCAGCGTCTTCGCTATTTTGACTTGAGTTGGCTGCGGCTACTCGGTCTGTCTTGCGAGAGCACATGAGTGTGACTTGACCGTGATTGCCAAAGAGGACGAGCGCTACATCTTGGTCGGGTCCCGAGTTGTCGGTGGACGCAGAAGCAGAAGCAACGCAGTTCGGGCCGCGTGCAGCGAGCCTGGTGAAGGAGCTGGCGCCGTAGTAACTTGATGGGGAAGATGCGGGGCTGAGCACAATAGGTCGTCGACGATTGAGCCAGACCGCTTGCTTGACGCAGCCAAAGAGTCTGCTAGCGCCGCTTACAGAGCCGCCATCGGATGGTGGCGTTTGACGTGTATCAGTAGGAACAGGTCGGCCTTTATCATCTACCTTGAGAACATTGTCCGACTTGGACGAAGTGGCCCTTTTGCCCGTGCTGGATGTGGAGTCGCATGGAACGGTCTGAACCAGCTTCCAGTCATTGAGCGCGGCCGTGTCAGCACGCGACCAGACGCAGAACACGGCTGGTGGCCGGTCTGCCGGTGTGATGTTTAAGATACTGGTGGATGCATCTTGGGACGCAGCTATTGTTGGATCTGATGCAGACACGTTGCCACTGATCTGGGCTGCTGTCTCTGCGCTGGTCGCAAGTGGCGGGACGGCCAGGTCGTTCGAGCTGGTGGCGGCCTGACCCGATGTGACCTGCGAAGCATTTGGCTGATGATGAGCCTTTGAGGAGCTGTGGTGTGGTGTGAAGTAGGCGCAGAGGTAGAAGCCGCAAGGACTGAAAGAGATCTGTGTGGGGTCGTTATATCGCACAGGCCGGGTTCGTGTAAGAGATGCTGCTATTGCTGCGCCGGCCTGCTGCGAATGCCCAGTCGATGAGCTGAATGTAAAGTGAGCAGAGTCTGGATACAGGCAGCTGGGCTTGACAGGCGATTTGGAAGACGATGCGAGCGGATACTGCACCACCACATGTCCGCTCCGTATTTTGGATGATGTAGAAGACCGTCGTGTGTTGGAGGCGGTAGCTAGAATGTTCTGAGACGACCATGCGATCTGACGTCGATCGGCTTTGCCTGACCTCAGCGTCTCGATACGATCGAGAGCGCTGATGCCGTTCTCGAGGCACTGTGCATGACGGATCGTTTGGCGCTGTTCGGTGGATATTGCCTTGCGTATCGACCTCTTTGTCGAGCTGGTGGACGCATCGCCGGTGCGTTGACGCTTGGCCAGCGATTCAATCGACATGCTGGAGACGAGCTCGGATCGCAGTTGATCCTGCCGTGGATGTCTGTCGATCCTACGAAGTACGGAATGGGTCAAGATTGGTGAGTGAGGTAGCGGAAGGCTGCACGGTCTGGCAAGCTTCCGAAGCGCTAGGACGTCTGTGCAGCAGAATTCCGTCTTCCGGATTTCATTATTTCGAGGGGGCAGATGTGAACCGACAACAACCTGACACGTACTCGAAATTGAGGTCTCAACTGTTGTCAAGTAACCAATGTCGATCAGACCTTGCTGTTGTTCTTCGTCCATGTGTTATCTCCAAAACAAAATTTGCTTTGACAAAGAGTGCTGTGATGCAAGCTACAGTAACTTGAGCTTGCCGACCTTTCCGAACGAGAGCCAATGTGACCAAGGATCGACACCGCGCGGATTTCGAGACGGTTGTCGCGAAGAAGGTGAGGCTTGACAAGACCGAACGAAGAATGTTTCAAGCTCAGCCCAGCAGATCGCGACCCGTGTAGCGCTTTGGCAACGGCACTCTTTGTCAAGCGCCTGGGAAGGCCCAGCCAGCACTGGAGGCATGGAAAGCGTTACCGCACAATAGGGTACTAACCTGCAGTGCAAAACGGTACAACGCCATGCACTGTGCAGCAGATCATGCAGCCGAAACATGCTGATCGCCCCTCTGCCACCAATTGGCTGCCGAGGGCGCCGCATCAACTGGACTGCAACTTGTCAGAGCGAGCAGGACGGGGGCAGCTGGTGAGCTGGCAGCATCGGCATGGTCACCCTGAGCAGCAGCAGCAGCAGCAGCAGCAGCAGCACGGACGCAGCATGCAAGCGAGGTCCAATTTGGATTGGCACGAGAATTTTGGGGACCTCAGAGCCCACTAGGCTCGGTCGGTGGTGCTGCTTGCCGCCGCTTTTCAAAGTACGTTGCATGCTGCCGTTTGCTGGTTGAGCCCAATTTCCGAGGAAAATCGCGTGCATGTGCAGGTCGGTTGCACGCTGTCGCGCCGTTGTCGCAGTGTGGGCGTCTTCTGGAAAGAAGGCAAAAGTGCGCGAAAGGAGAGAGAAATTCCAGGTTGGTCTTAGTGTTGATCTCGGTTGCGTGTGATGTGTACCTGATCAAGGTACTCCAAACTGTAAGCTAAGTTCGATTGTTGTGCCCCTCGTGTCTGTGTTGTGTTATGCTACAACGACGCAGTGCAACATGCGAAGATGGATCACTGCTCCTCTTGTACGAACGGCAGCTCTTGCCAAGGAACAAGTGTATTCAAGTGCCGTGCTGTGGTGTGCTGCATATTGAATTTTGGATGGCTCGGCGACCGAGTCCGCATTGCTCACTTTCGGTTCTTTGACAGCTGACTTGTCGCCGAGGCGCCCTTTCGACGCTTTCCAACAGCTCGGCCCTTCTTGGCTCAACAGAGCTTGTCCTACACTGTTGTCAGATCTCACTTCCCTTCTCTATCCTCCTCACCCTAGCATATCCTCCTCCTCACTCCCCTTCTCATCTCACTCACTGCCTCTCTCCCAGCTTTCAGGTTCTTCCGCCCACCCGTCCTCTCGCGTGTGTAATCGTTGCTCGTCGCCGGCTCGTCGAACTCTGTCACCACACTCGCTTCGGGCACGTCTGCCGCTGCATCTCATCTTCACTCTCTGCGACACCTTCCATAGCTCTTCATCTTTTCGCTTCACGACAGTCGCCCTCTTACACCATCCCACTACGCTCGTTTTCTGTCATTCTTCCCCCAGCATACAGCAATCACCAGTCCATCCTCGCCAGCGACCCGCTTCACAGACTGGTTCTGTAGCCTGCTTCCGTCCTTCATCTTGCTCAATCATCTTCCTCCGTCTCCGTCGACCATTGTCATCGAACCAGCGACATCTTCGCTCCGTTGCATCCTTCCATCCGACAAATTCGACCTTCTTCATCTCCCTACCACCCACCCGCTTTGTGGCTCTTCGCGTCAGACCCACGCATCCGCTGCATCTATCTTCTGCTTGGGCCGCCTCTTGTCTGTCCTGCTCTCCCTCCCTGCATGCGCCCACGTCTGGTTTAGTGTCGCTTTTACCGACAGCCGCTCTGGCCCTCACGCGTTAAGCCTTCCGAATCGCGACACAGTCTCTTGCTCGTCTTGCATTTCAATCGATCGCACTACCCGCTTCCGACCGGGCCCCACTTCATCTGTCGCTTCGAGGACCAGCCTTTCTCGCCCGTATTGTTTGTCCCAGTAAGTCATCAGCGGCCTTTCCAGCCAGCGTATCTTTCTCCCTCTCCTGTCCGCTCCTTCTTGCACATCATCAGTCCCGCACCTCACGGCAGGCCAACTCTGCCTCAATCCTATTCTTGTGGCATCCTTCACCATCGACATCCCCCCGTCCTCTTCCCCGCTCTTCCTCTCTCTCTTCGTGACCACAATCCGCGTGCTCTGCCTCGACGCGGTCATCGTCGATTCTCCGCTTTCTTTACTCACACTCCTTTCTTTCCATTGCTTCCCCTGGTTTCTCTTCCCCCCTATGACGTCTGCCCGTTCCGCACTTGTCCGCATCGTCTCTTGCCTCAACGCATACTTCATTCGCCAATTTTCTCCATCGAAACAGCTTCAGTCGTCGACGGTTCCTCGACAACATGGTCTTCTTTCGACCACCTTTCCAGCTGATGCTGGTCAGCCTCAATTTGGTGCTTCTTCTCGCTCTCCAATCGTCGTCTGCCCTGGCCGACGGCTTGCATCCAAACCACGGCCCTGCTCACGCCGACAATGCCGTCCGACGCCACGCAGCTCGCGCTGGTCGTCTCTCAAAGCGTTTTCCACCCGTCAGCGGCTTGAGTGACGACCGTGCTTCCGCTGCAAAGCGAGATCGACATGCACGCGACCATCACAGATACGGCCTGACACCGGCAGAGATTGCCGATTTGCTCGCCGAACAGCAGATCGAGGACAGCGGTCTCGATGAACCCAGCTTCCACGCTTTCAACGTCACCAATACCACCTCGACGAGCCATCATCACTCCAGGACTCGAACCGCTTCGGACTCGCAGGATCCCACCAGCACAGGATCCATGAGCAGATTCGCCCTGCCCACCTCCAATTCGACGTCACCCTCGCCCACCACGTCGTCTTCGTTAGCCGCTGCGTCCGCCACCTCCAGCAGCCTCCATGCTTCGTCTTCCTCATCGGACGATGGCGGTTCGTCGTCTGCTTCGTCACCCTCGACAACGGCCGATGATGGCTTTCAGAACACATTCTCGAAGCACAGGCACCATTCGCACACGTCATCGAGCGCGGCTCCCGCTGCGCCGACCTCGTCGTCTGGTTCTGACAATATCAGCTCGACCAATTCAACCGGAACCGAGACGAACGAAACCGACAACGGCGATGGCCTCGGTGGCTTGCTCGGTGGTATTCTGGGCGCTCCCTCCGCGTCCTCGTCTGGAGCTAGCCGAAGCGACTCGGCCTTTTCAACGTCATCGTCGAGCGGCAGCAGTAGTGTCAATGGAGGTCTGCTCGGTAACCTCCTGGGCGGCTCATCCACCTCGTCTGCATCGGCAGCACATTCCACGGCTGGCAGTCAAGACGATGCGCCCTCTGCAACTTCGTCTTCAAGTGCTGCCTCTGCCACCAGCTCTTCGGAGGATCCCGACAGCGGCGATGACGACACTCCGCCTTCCTCGAGCAAGCACACTCAATCTACGCAGCCCGACTTTTACAGTTTCACTCCACAGGCCACGCGTTCCTCGTCTCGAACCTCGTCAACGCCCACAGCGTCAGGCCTCTTGCAGGGCCTCTTGCCACAGCTGATTCCTTCGTCTTCGTCGTCCTCGAATGCCGCCACAGCTACACCTTTCCCGACGTCATCGCCGTCCACCTCTGACGGCTCCGGTTCGGGCTCCGACTCTGGTACGACTTCGACAAATGATTCTGCGAGCAGCAGCACCAGCGATGGCAGCGAAGGTGGCTCGGCCACGACCGCATCGACGGCCACGTCGCAAACCACCGCCACCGTGACAACGGGTCCCTCTTCGACGTCCCAGAACACTGGTGCTGTCCCAACCGGCACCGGCTCAGGTGGTGATGCTGACTCCAGTGGATCCGGCTCGGATCCCAGCAGTGTTCAGCCACCATCGTCGTCGGCATCTAGGAGCACGGCTTCCTCCTCGTCCCCTGACGACTCGGGCTCCGCCTCCTCCGCCTCTTCTTCTTCTTCCGCCACCACTAACCCCTACTGGTACGCCAACACGAAATCGCTCAACATGGCGCCCAGCAGCACTTCGTCCGCCGATCAGCCTGCCGAAACAGGAACGCAGAGCACGAGCGACAGCGACAGCGATGCCAGCAGCGGGGCCACCAGTTCCGCCTCGTCGGACGGTGTCGGAACGAGTCCCGCTGCACAGGACCTGCCGACAACGATTGTGCCTTCGGCTGACTCGTACAACCAGCCCGCCAACACCACCTCGATTGGACTGCTGTTCAAACCGGACATGAAGTGGACGTGGGTCATCTCACAGGCCGATCTGACCGCGCAGATCTTTGCCTTTATGCCGGATCTGGTGGGGCAGTCGGCCGGTCTGGAGAGCTCCAAGGTGTCGACGGTCAAGCTGGCTGGCTACTCGACCGAGGCCAACGACACTGCGACGCCTGCTTCGCTGAGCACGGCTAGGACGTTGTACATGGCATACGTACCGTCGTCGAGCGTCGAAGACATCCAGGCCATGATCGCCAACACGTCTTCGCCGTTCTACACCTCGGCAGCTGAAGGAGCGCCGCAGCAGCTGGCGAGCCAAGTGGATCCTACGTTCAACATTTTGAGCGTTGTGGGTCAAGTGGCTGCGGGCGCCAAGCAGAACGCCAAGGCGAGCAGTGGTACGAGCAAGGACGATTCGACAACGCGCAACAGTCTGATCGGCGTTGGTTGCGGATTGGCCGGATGCTTTGCTCTGGTCGCTGGTGGAATGCTGTATCGCAAGCAGCGCAAGAACAAGGAGGCAGATGGCGCTGATGGGAACGCTGGTGGTGTTTCTCGCGCGCACACCATTCGCTCTTTCCACGGTGGCTTGCGCGAGACGTGGGCTCCTGAAGCGATGGATCAGCATCTTGCCTTTGACACGGCGGGCGAGATGCAGCAGGTGTGGTCGCCTCAAGGCATCGGTATGGCGATGGGTCACCCTGAGCAGGCGGCTGCCTATCCGCACGAGGATGGGTTCGGCGGCTACGTCGTACCTGATCCGTTCCACGATGCTGCGGGAGTAGGTGCAGGTGCAGCTGGTGGCTACGTCAACATGAATCGCTCGAGCCGTATGACGGAGCGATCGGCGTACTCGGATCTGAGCCAGATGACCGAAGCGCAGCGGATCCAGTACGATTACGAATCTTCGCGTCGATCGTTCCAGTCGACGTCGGATCACTCGGGCTCGCAGGGTGCGCACAGCGAGCACAGCATGCACAGCGGCAACTCGGCGGGTATGCTGTCAACGTATCAGGAAGACTACCGCGTTCCTCGACAGCACACGACGAACCATGCGTTTGGCGAGCGATCCAACAACACGAGATCTCGTCGTCGTGGTAGCGTAGCCAGCTCGACCATTGGTCGTCCCGAGATGATGAGCAACTCGGTCTTGCTCTGAGTCTCGCCTATCTTTCGTCTTCCTTCTTCTCGTACACACTTTCTTTCTTTCTTTCTTTGCTTGCTATTGATCGTAACGGAAAAAACTTTCTTGTTCATGGATGTCGGTCTGGATACCGAACCTCTTTCTTCGTTCTCTGTCGCAGCCATGTCTTTGGCTGTTGATCTTGTCTTTGTCAAAACACACTCTTTTCTTCGTCATGCTTGCTGCCGCGTGTGAATGTGATCTGTGCGTGATCTTGCGTCGGAATGGCACTGGACCGGGTTTGCAAAACTGATCTCGAAATCACACATTGGCGCTGAGCTTCACAGCGTTCTGTCAAACGACCTCAATCTGCACAATACATAGTGGCAACGACGGCATGAAAGTAGAGTGATTTTTTGAGTTGCTCTTCTACATTCCCCCCTCATTCTTTCTGGAACAACAACGACAATCCCATGATTCCCAACAACAAATACTTCAGCTTGGGATAATCGTTCAACGCGATCGTCACGTACCCCACGTATGGCATGTACCCTTTCACCTTCCCGACCATGTTGCTCCTTCTCATCCATCTAGCACCGTTATACAAAGCGATATCGTCACTATCATTATTATCACCTTTTGTCAAGATCAACTGTTCCCCGTCCTCCGCGTTGTGAGTTTCGATGATACGGTGGACGATGGGAATGTCTGCACCGGGGACCTTGTATACAGGGATGTCACCGACCTTCAATGGACCAGATGGCATTGTGAGAAAGAGCAGATCGCCTCGATAGAATGCGGGTTCCATGGAACCGGAGAGGACGACGACGACGGGTGATTCGGTATCGGTGAGTACCGAGAGTCCCTTCCACATGGCTAGAGCGGTGGATACGACAGAGACAAAGTTGAGGATTTGGAAGAGGATCGACCGGACACCTTGACGGCGTAAGGAGGCGAGTTCTTCGGCAAACATGATGGGCTGCGATAGGTGCAGTTGGGGGATGGGCGTAGCAAAGGAGGTCGAAACGACCGCGTCTCCCGAAGGTGATGGAGGCGCAAAGATACTGAGCGCGCTGTTGGCGTTGCTGTGATAATGATGGGAATAGGCAGCGGGGAGTGGGTGAAGCGAAGGAGAAGGACAAGTGTCGTGTCACTTTGCCATTTCCAACGTGTCACTTTCCTCGCGCACAGACGCCCCATCTCGGATCAGCCGATACCGTTACTTGGGATCGGGATGCGGAGAAATTCCGAAAGCGTTGTGCTGCTGCGTATTAGCGTGCATTCGAGCCAGCCGCGGAGCAGGGTGGAAACGCGCCGTGCTGTTGTTCTTTTCAAGCGAGCCGGTCCGAAAGCCTGAACCCTGAATCGTTGAATTCTGATGCGCAGCAGCCTGTTGTTCTTCTCCTTCTCCCTCTCACAACCGCATCATGTACATATACCTATCTCCCTACTGTGCACAGTATCGCTCCATGCCAATCATCACTCGTCGCTCATAGCTGCTACAAGCTCTGCGCCTCAACACACATTGCTATCTTCCTGTCGTTGTGCAACGACTGCACTGTACCCGAGCCATGGACGATGAAGTAGACTTCTTCACTCGCAAACCTTTGCCGGGCAGGTCGAAACTCAAATCGAAAGCACGACCTCTGGCGAAGGTAGCGAGCACCTCTAGCGTCAAGCTCACCACAATCTCCAACGATTTCATCGCACACCCTGCATCCTCTGCGTCTCCAACTGTAGTCTCGAGCTCGCAGTCGGCAACCACAGCACCACTACACATCGATAACTCGGACGATGAGGGCACCACTATAACGATCATGGACACGATGGAGGAGGACGATGATGACGACGAGCAAACCATCATGTACAGCAGCGACGTGGATATTGCTAGCGACGACAGCCATGCCTCGGAGAAACGCAGGGCGAAGCGGCGCAAAAAGAAGCATGTCAAAACGCTTCCCGCCTGGGCTTCGCAAGGCGTCTTTCGTCGACCGTCCCAGGATCCTTCATCGTCATTGTCAGATCCCTCCTCCTTCGATGTTCGTTCTGACCTGACCGGCGACGATGTCAAATCAACCCAGGCGACTTCTTCGGGCAAAATGGCTTCGAATGCAACCCCGCAGAAGGACAAGGCCAAATCCAATGGCAGGCAAAGGGGCGTCAGCCTCACACCTCCTCCCGCCCCTTCACCCGAGAAGCTAAAGATGGCGCGAGAGCTTGTCAACACGACCATCGCCAAGAAGTTTGGCAATCCAAATCCCTCCGCCGCAACAGCTTCAAGTTCAGCCGCTCTATCCTCGAGCAACGATTCGTCCTCACGCCGAGTTACGAGAAGTACACGCAGCTCTGCCACCCCGGCGTTCGGACAGGATGTCCCTTCCAACAACTCGTCAACGCTGTCACCCGGCTCATCAAAGCATGTCGATGAGGACGACGTAGACACGAACGGCAGCATCCATTGGGATCCCGACCTGGCCCGCTTGATGCGCGGAGAGAATGCCAAGCACATTCGAGAACAAGCCAGGCGCGAACAGCAGGAGCGCGATGAGAGACGCAAACAGCGAGAGCAGGAGCGACAACGTCAGCAGCCAGCGTCATCACAGCGCTCGACGCAATCCAGCAGCAGAACACAGTCAGCTCCACAGCTACCAACGACGACGGCGAGGCCGGCTGCGAACGGCGTGGACGGCAGCGATGACGAGGTGCAATTCGTACCGAGGCCACCCAGAAGGCTCAGCTCTTCCCCACGACGCACACGGTCATCCACTACGACAGCCAGCACTTCCAATGTCGACGCCATCGTGATTCAGGACTCGGACGACGAAGAGCCAACGCCGACCAAGCCCAACGGCACCTCCTTTAGCGCTGCTGCTGGTGCTGCTCGTGACTCCCCATCTCCATCACCCTCCGCACCTCCCGCCGGCGAGACCCTCTCACTGACACTGCAATCCAAACTCGGCTCTATGCCCGTCACCGTGACACCAACAACGCTCCTCTCGCGCATCATCTCGCACTTCCACTCGACCAAACTCAGCACGAGCAACGTCCCGCCCACCGCTGTCAAGATCACATTCGACGGGTTCGCATATAAGCCCACGCAGACGGTGCAAGACATGGACGTGGAAGATGGGGATCAGGTCGAATTGACGTGGACATGAAAGTGTATTATAGGATATGAACGAAGCTACTTGTACAAACTACTGCGAGGGGTGGTGAGGAGATTTAGATGATGATCCGGCCTTCGGGGTCGCACTTGACGAGACCGAAGCAGCACTCGTCTTCCTTGAGTCCGTCGAGCTTGACTTGCTCGGTACTGGCTGCGACTGCTGCGGCTGGTGTTGCGTCGGCGGCGGTGGTGGTGGTGGAGGTACGCATGTCGAAGGACACGCCGAGTGGTGGGGGACCGGACCACGATTCGGAAGCTGCGCGATGGTCGATCGTTTCCGGTGGTGTTGGCGGTTTAGGCTGAGGGATGCATGATTTGCCGCTGTTGGTGGGGGGACAGCATTTGGTTTCGCCCTGAGAAGCGGTCGGTCTGCACGGTTGAACCTTCGACGCTGCTTGTGCCGGTGATGGAGCGGGGTAGGAGCCGTTCCTGGGACTGTCTCTCTCACGCGGTGATCCGCCAATGCGCATCCGTGGAGAAGCCGCTGCTGCAAAGTCGTACGATTGACCCGGTGAACTGTATTCTTCGCCCAGCCTTCTTGCTCCCATTACTGATCTTGTGTGTTGATCGGGTTGGGCTGGAATGTGTACCGGTGGTGAATGAGTCCAACCGTTGGTGTGCGCTGGAGGAGGATGATGCGATCTGGACATGGCGGCCGGAGAATCGGATGCTGACGAATTGCCGGTCGACCAATGCTGTCTCGCAGCGGGTGCGGGTGACATTGGATGTGACGGTAATCTGGATCCACCGCCACTACCATTATGTCTTGCTCCGTTTGTACCGGCTGATGGTAGTGGTGGTGGTATGGAACGACGATAGTACTCATCTATAGCGCTCGGGCTGTGAATCGAGTACCTCGGACTGAATCCGCCTGCTGGTGCCGCGGCTGCTGGTGGAGTAGATGCAAGCACCGATGGACTCGGAGTGTTGTGCCAGCTCGAACCACCGTTTCTTCTTGAAGGACCGGCGACTGATTGGTGATCTGCTGGGATGAAGTATTGCTCTGTCATGTGAACGCCGTTGGTTTCTGAAGGATCGGATCGCATGCGTTTGGATCTATGTTCTACCATCGTTCCATCCATCGACGCGGGTACAGGGATCCCATGATTCGCAAGTACACCTTGGAGCGCCTTGACAGTCTGAGCTAGCTCCAGCGTGCGTGCCTCCCACTGCGCCGCTGCATGTTGCAGCCTTCGATTCTCCTGTCTCAGCCTGGCACAAGAAGCACACCTTTCCTCTTCCTGCTCTTCCGCCTTCACCGCCGCCACCGAGCTGTCGAGCGGAGAGGAACTTTGCTTGACCCGCGTGGCAGCAGGAGATCGCGGTGCTAGGTTCAGCAGTTTTCTGAGGTGCGAATTCTCATCCTCGAGGAGTTGAACGCTGTGCTCGAGTGTAGCGAGGTGTTGAGCTTTGCGCTGTCGAAAGGCGCGCTGGGTTTGAAGTGCACGAGTGGGTTCTAGTGCCAGGTTAGGTCTGCGACCACGACCCATGGTTGACGTGCGCGCGCGGGGGGTAGAACACCGCGTGGAGTCGACAGAGTGTGTGTGTTGACAGTGATCGTCGGCGTTACACCATCTGGAGTGATGTGTATATTGGGTTGTCGTCGTTCCCGGATGATGGATGCACAGAAACAAAATTAATGAACGCTCAGCAGCCTTCGGCAAAGTAGACACTGCGTCTCTCGGTTAACCGGAACTAAAGAATAATTATGAAGGATCCGCCTCAGATTGGAAACGGAGCGGCAAGGCACGGCTTTGCAAAATCATCTCTCTTACGCTCGCGCTCTCTCTCTCCCTCGTGCCCTATCCGAAAATTCAGTTTTTTTAAGGGTGTGCTGCTGTTGTGCGACCCACGGAAACGTGCGGTGGGTGGCTGCAACGTGGGGGCCCGAGTCATCGTCGCTACCGATGAGCATCCGAAGGTTCTGACGTTGCAGGAGCTAGCTGGAGTGGTACCGATGCTCGATGATCTACGATGCAAAGTGCAGTGTCGGAGATTCTTAAGACCTTGAATGCGTTGCAACATCCGCGGACCCACTGTTCTTGGTACGCTCTGCGTGGTGCAACTCGTTTGCTACGACGCCCAGCAGAGACACCTTCGACCATCATGCTAAGCGACGATCCCGATGAGCGAGAGCAGGGTACAGCAGCTGAGCTGTCCTCGGGTTTGAACACCTGCATTCCTGACACCCCGCGTACAGCAGTATCGAGAGGATTGATTGTTCAACGAACGATGAAGCGTGTCGGATCGGACCCCGAAGCAGACAAGCGCGGCATGCGGCGGAACGGTCCAGACCCCGTTAACGTTTTTTTTGAGTTTCCCTTTTCGGAGCCATTCCGCTTTTGAGATCCATTTCCCGATTTTTTGCGCGCCAGATTCGAGAGCGAAGCGCTTGGAGCGCGTGCGTGTGGGTGGGTGTGGTCCATGCGTGTGACCGACCGAAATGGCGCCAATTCGCACAGAGTTGCTGTTTCCCCCTCCTTTGCGTCTTGGAGTTTTCTGTGTCTCTCCTCTCGCTTAGCAGGAGTGTGCCTTCCCATCGTGAAATCGGGACACAACTCGTCATTGTTCCTTCTCTCATCGCTTCCACGCACACACCGCGACTACATAAGGGCGGCTCATCGACACAGTTCAGCTTGCATCCACGCTCTGATAGCAGCACACCCCAGAGCCGCATTCTCGGCCCATTGGTCTACTTCTCGATATAAACGTGACTACAGTTACCCTCGGATCGCTCGTTCAGGTGCACGTCCTCTCTCCCTTCCACGCACTCCCTCAAAGAAAGCAGGCCTAGGCATACTTCAAATAATCTCGTCTGTCACGAGGCCAGGTCTGGGATCTACCACCATCTGCATACACCCCTCCATCGATCAACGCGGTTGCTGTCATTCCGTTCGACTTCCAGTGTCCAACCACTTGGTTTAGCAAACCCCTAAACAAGCTTTCACTGCGACATCTGCACCGCAGCAGCTTTTTCAGCTAACGTCCACCGCACACTTCCATCAGACCATGTCTTGGAAACTAGGAAAGAGTAAGTGCCACATCTCCCAACGCTCCTGCGACACCGTCACGATCCTATCTGACTCGCCACTGTCCACCCACCCCCTTGCATCCGACCCTCGCCAGAATTCAAGGAAGGCGCAAACCTCGGCGCTCGTACGCCTCTCGACCGTTCCGCCACGCCCACGCCGGGCAATCCAGGCACCGACGCCAGTGCTTCTTCCTCCTCCTCTTCCTCCTCCCACTTGCTCGCCTCGTCCGATGGCGCTCCCATCCCACGCTCTGGTCTCTTGACCATCCGCGTCATTGATGCTCGTGGACTCTCGCTCCCACCCGGCATGCAGACGCCCGCTGCCGTCGCACGAGCGCTGGCACACCACAACCCCAACGCCTCGTCGCTCGCACAGTCCTTCGGAGGCGCACACCGCGAAAACAGGCAGAGCATGCAGCGCAAACAGTGTTGGTGGCTCCCTTACCTCGTGCTCGAGTTCGACAAGAACGAGATCCTCATCGACGCCATCGGTGGTGACATCCAGGGCCCTACGTGGATGTTCCGCGCCCACTTTGACGTCTCGCGTATCTCGGAGATCAGCTTGCAGACCTACCTCAGGTCAGGAGACGGTCACACACACCAGCCCGAGGCTAGCCGCGATGGTCAGGGAGACGACGTAATGGGCGTCAGCGATATTTACTTGGGAGGTGTCAAGTTTGTGCCTGATTTCGAGAACCAGAGGACGTCGGATGCGTGGTATCCGGTGGCAGGTGGCAACGGTCAGATCCACGTCCAGGTCTCGTACAGGAGCGATTCGCGGAGCTCACTCAACATCGACGCCTTCGAACTGCTCAAGGTCATCGGCAAGGGCAGCTTCGGCAAAGTCATGCAGGTGCGCAAACGCGACACTTCGCGAATCTACGCGCTCAAGACCATCCGCAAAGCTCACATTGTTTCGCGATCCGAGGTGACGCATACGTTGGCCGAACGAACCGTGCTCGCCCAGGTCAACAACCCGTTCATCGTCCCGCTCAAGTTCTCCTTCCAGAGTCCCGATAAGCTGTACCTCGTGCTGGCGTTCATCAACGGCGGTGAGCTCTTCCACCACCTTCAGCGCGAAGGGCGGTTCAACGAGGAGCGATCTCGGTTCTACGCCGCCGAGCTGCTGTGCGCGCTGGAGCATCTGCACGGCTTCAACGTCGTCTACCGTGATCTGAAGCCCGAGAACATCCTGTTGGATTACACGGGTCACATTGCGTTGTGCGATTTCGGTCTCTGCAAGCTCAACATGGGTGATCAGGAGACCACGAATACGTTCTGCGGTACGCCCGAGTATCTTTCGCCGGAACTGTTGTTGGGGCAGGGGTATACCAAGGCGGTGGATTGGTGGACGCTCGGTGTGCTGTTGTACGAGATGCTGACCGGACTGCCGCCGTTCTACTCGGAGGATGTGAACGAGATGTACCGCAAGATCCTGCAGGATCCGTTGCGGTTCGGCGACGAAGTATCTCCCGACGCGAGACACCTTTTGACGCTGCTGTTGAATCGGGATCCTAGTCAGAGGTTGGGTTCGGGTTCGAGTGGAGCGGCGGACATCAAGGCTCATCCGTTCTTTGCGAAGCACGTGGATTGGAAGTTGCTGCTGGCCAAGAAGATCCCGCCGCCGTTCAAGCCGAGCGTGGCGTCGGCGATCGACACGAGCAACTTTGACCCCGAGTTTACCAACGAGCCGCCGATGGATAGCGTGGTGGATGATAGTCATATGCTGAGCGCGACGGTGCAGGAGCAGTTTGTCGGGTTCAGTTATAATGCGCCGAATGCGTTGGGTGCGGGGGAGAGTTTGAGGGATTGAAGCGGAGGGAAAGGTAATGGATGTTGATCTCAGTTGACAGAGGTGTTGATTGTGTGAAGTTTGTGTGTGTGAGAGGAAGAGCTTGATGAGGAGTGTGTTGAGGGTGTGGTTGAGGAGGAAGAGGTATTCGGAATTCGGGATGAGGTTTCTCCACTTGAAGCGCGGCGAGCAACTTTTTTTTTTCTGGTTCTCAGACCCTGCTTTACCGTTCACCACGATCAACAGCATCTACTTCGCCTGCTGTTGGGCGCTGCACCACCAGTATGTCGTCTTCACTTGCAGCCGAATCATCGACATCCACTATCCCGACCGCACCCGCATCCGCATCTGCGATGGACCTCGCGCAATCAACCATCACCACCCTCACCACCCGTTTCCCCGACAAAGTCCAAATTCACCTCCACCCAGCCTCCAGCCTACCAGCTTCACTCGACTTGTCCCCGTCAGACCCGCTGCTACCAGTTGCGTTGATATGGACGGTGCCGAGTCTTCGGCTGCTACGATCGTACGGGTTGGTGGGGAGTTTTACGGGGACGTTGGCGCAGTTTCCGCAGCAGAACTTGTTCTTGGGTTTACCGATTCAACTGCTGCCTGAAGAAGTGGGGGTTTTGCTGCGACGTGGGAAGGCGGTGGTTGTGGATGAAGTGGAGAGTTATAGGAGTAGTATTGGGGAGGAGAGGCGAGAATGGGAGGAGAAAGTGGAGTGGGATAGGAGGAGTCAACAGATGGAGGCGTGGAGGGAGAGACAGGCGTTACGCTCGAAACATTCTTCCACCACTACCAGCGCCACCACTCCAACCACGTCAGAGCTGGATACACTGCCTTGGCACTACACCATACCCACCACCTCGAGCTCGCTTCCCTGGTACACACCGAAAACATACACTACCCTTTCCTCCATCCAGCACGTTTTTCCCTACCCCGGCACCCGAGCACAGATCGAATCCCTCGCCCTGTTCGAGCATCTTCTGGAGAAAGGCTACTGGTGCATGAACGGGTTACGCTTCGGCGGAAACTTTGCCGTTTACCCGGGTGATCCGCTGAGGTACCATTCGCACTTTACAGCACAGCTCGTCAGCAAAACCGAGCCGATGAGCTTGACGAGTTTGGTCGCGAGCGGAAGGTTAGGTACGAGCGTTAAAAAGACGCACGTACTGTGCTGTGTAGACGAGGTTGAGCGGGGGTTGGAGGAGGAGTTGAGAAGGAGAGAAGTGGAAAAGGTGGGGGAGGGAAAGGGGTTGGAGTGTGTCAAGGATGGAAGGTTTGATACCGCCGACACGCAGGGTGGGAGGGAGAAGGGGATGGGGAGAAGGTTGGCGACGTTCGACGTGTTCAGCTTGGCTTGGGCTGGGTTTGGTACCTAGACATTGGCATCACACACTGGGTCACCGTTAACACGAGCATCCAAAGGGTTTTCCTTGAGAAGCAAAGACTAAAATTTCAGAGCACCGAAAAGTGGCATTCGTGTGTGTGTGAATGAAAGAAGATAATCCGTGACGATCTTTCTCCTCTTCAGGTGATGACCGTAGGCTCGGACCTTCCGGTAAACTCCTTCAGCTTGGACACCAACAACGCCTGCTCGATCAATGGCTTCAGCCCGACCTGCGCGTCCGCCCCGTACTCTGCCTCGTCGTTCGAGTACTTCTCCACGTACAACCTGATCGTCGCACCCGCACTGCCCGTACCGCTCAACCTGAAGATAATCCTCGAGCCATCGACGAACTTGATGTACAAGCCCTGGTTCTTGCTGACGCTTCCATCGATGGGGTCGGTGTAGCTGAAATCGCCGGACTCGGCCACCTCGAACTCGCCCAGCTTGGTGCCCTTGAAGCTGGCGCTCTCGAACTGCGAACGCAGGTGGGCCATGAGCTTGTTGGCGCCGTCGGAGTCGACTTCCTCGTAATCGTAGCGGGAGAAGAAGTTGCGTCCGTACTGCTTGTAGAAGGCGAGCAGGACGTCCGAGACAGAGGTGCCGGGCTTCTCCTTGTTGGCAGCGGCGAGGATCGAGAGCCAGGCGACGACGGCCCAGAGACCGTCTTTTTCGCGGATGTGGTCCGAACCGGTGCCGAACGACTCTTCACCGCAGATGCTGAGTCGGCCGGCGTCCATGAGGTTACCGAAGAACTTCCAGCCGGTGGGGACCTCGAAGCATTCGTAGCCGTTCTTGGCGGCGACGCGGTCGATGGCGCCCGAGGTGGGCATGGAACGAGCGAGACCCTTGATGCCAGACTTGAAGTAAGGGATTGCCTTTTGCGCCCAGTCGGCGATGATGGCGACGGAGTCCGAAGGGTTGACAAACGCGCCCTTGCCGATGATCATGTTGCGGTCACCGTCACCGTCGGAAGCGGCACCGAAGGAGATGTTTTCCTTTTCAACGGCGTCGACGAGCGACTTGGCGTAGGTCAAGTTGGGGTCAGGGTGTCCACCTCCAAAGTCCTCCGAGGGAACACAGTTCTGGATGCTCGATTCGGGAAGCCCGAACTGCTCGACGAACAGCGCGCGGCCGTAGGGACCGGTGACACCGTGCAGGGCATCGAATCGGACGGTGAATCCAGAAGACTGGAGGAAGTCCTTGATGAGCGCAAAGTCAAAGATCTGCGACAAGTATTCGACGTAGTCCTTGACGTTGTCGATGATCTGGATCTTGAGATTACCAAACGTCGTCTCGCCGATCTTGGAGAGGTCGACCTCGGGACCCTCAACGATCTTGTACTCGGAAATGGTCTTGGTGATGTCAAAGATCTTGTTGGTGACGGATTCGGGAGCGGGACCACCGTTTTCCATGTTGTACTTGAGACCGAAATCGTTGTCGGGTCCACCAGGGTTGTGCGAAGCGGTGAGCAAGATGCCACCGGTAGCCTTGTAGGAGCGGATGACGTGGGAGGCGGCGGGGGTGGAGAGGATGCCGTCCTGGCCGATGATGAGCTTCGAGACACCATTACCGGCGGCGAGGCGGATGATGGCCTGGATGGCGGGCTTGGAGAAGTAGCGACCGTCACCGCCGACGACGAGCGTCGAGTTGGCGGCGCCGGTGGGGATGGCCGAAAGGATGGCCTGGACAAAGTTCTCGGTGTAGTGCTGCTGGGAGAAGACCTTGACGCGCTTTCGAAGACCCGATGTGCCGGGCTTCTGGCCCTCGAAGGGCTTTGTCTGAACCGTGACCACGGACATGATGCGATGAACGATGATGAGGGTGGTGCGTAAGGGGAATGTTGGAAGACGGAAGGTAAGAAGAAAGGAAGATCCAACACTCAACAAGAAGCACAGGGGCCAGGACAGAAGTGCAGCTGTGCGACCCACGAACGTCTGTGCGCAGAGCAGGTCCACGCCAAATTGACACGGGAGGCCTAGAATGTCTAAAAGACGGAAGCGTCTGCCAAATTCCAAAAACGAGGCGTTCGCCACATACTCATCGGGATCGACGCCCCATCGGTCACCTCGCCGGTCTCTTTTGGCCCCAGGCCTGAATCGATTCTGAGCGTGGCTGCACGTTGGGGCAATTTCGAACTTTGCGGGAGGCCATATCTCGGACCGCCGTTTCGACTGCGAAAGTGAGCCTTTTTTTGCGAATTGTCACCTCAGAGATTGCTAACATTTTCCTTGGAAATAGCTGTCTGATTTGGGCCTACACGTGATGAGGTCGCGCGTGCGATTGCAGAGCGCAGGGACGTGAGTTTTGAGACCCTGTCGAAAGAAACTCATATGCAGCTGAGCCCTCTCCGCTCCTTGAAGGGCTGCACGCATCATCACAGGACTGGGCAGAACTGACCAAATGGCTGTCCGGTGCAAATCGTCGATCGTTGATGCTCTGCTCTGTACTCAAAACTGCCACTCCACCCAGCTCTGATGCGACTACTCCCAATACTCTCTGATAACAGCTTGTGCTCTGCTCACTGTCTTCGTTCTGCCTTTTTTCACGCCTTGTTTTTGAGACCGAATTTTCAGGCCAAGCAGTTTAGTTTTGTCTTTTTGTGGAAACTGTTTTTGGGGACATGCAGCAGTCATCATCTGAAACAGACGTCGGAACTAGAAAATAAAGTCGGGCAGGCCCTGCACATTTCTGAGCCGCAGCCTGCAGTCCAACACCTGCAGGTAAAATGCACTTCTGCGCTGCACTGTGCGTGTTTATCGGTTGCATTCGCCTCCACTCGTCTGCCATGGTCATCCGATATCTGACACTGGTTGCTGAGCCTACCTATCGGCTTGTTCCCGATGAGAGAGAACGATTCTTCAAGTGCAAAGGTGCGAGCTGATTGTCCGTCCAGCCTGGTAATAGAAGGTTGGCTGGGTGAGAGGCGGTGTGATGCGAGTGGAAACGTCTGAACGTGTGTGCGCAACAACCCTGATCGTGTCGGCGCTCTGAACCGGAGAATGCCTTCCGCTCCAGACGGCCGTGTCGGAACCTGCGATGAGCGACGAAACCGCATGGGTATCTAGAAATGCTTCGGTCATCAGCAAGCAACAGGGCGAGGCCCAGCGTGCTTCCTCACACCCTGTCTGGTCAACAGCAAGAGGATCTTGAAGGAAAAGAAAAAATAGCTGCGACAAGCTGCGTCTTTCATGCAAGGCTAATCTGTGGCCCCACACCTGAGTTACGCTCTCTCGATTGACGGGCCATATCGACATCTTCTGCCATCCCATCTTCCCCTTTGTCCTCTCACCATCTCCATCCGCCAAGCAATCCGTCTGCTTTCCTCAGCGCATGCCTCTTGAATTGCAGTCCACCTCGATCATGCCAGCCTCTAGACTCTAGTCATCCATCCGCCTTGGAAACCTCACCCGCATCTCGCACAGAGACTCTCTCGGCAAAAAGTTTCGCTTGTGTCTCCTTCCGGCAACATCAGTACTTCGAGGCCTGCTCACAACTGTCTTTCTCACGGTAGAACACAGTCAGATTCGCCTTCCTATCACGTCAGGGCAGATTCGAGTACGTCCAGTCACTCGACGACGCTTCAAGCTGTAGTGTACCACAAGCTTGACGCTCCTGCGCTTCCGGCTGAGCTCATCACAACCTTCCCATCCTCCTCAACACCCGATCGAGAGCCTGTTCAAGCGGGTTTCTCACCTCTCCCTCCGCACATAGGACGACCCTAGGCTCCCTGGTGTTACCAGACGCTCTCAGCCTCCCGTCATGAAGCGCTGGAAGCAGGTCAAGGATCAGCTGGACGCAAAGCGCAACAACAACACCACCACCACCGCCGACACGATTCCACCATACAAAGGAGGCGGCATCTCTTCGACCTCTTTTTCCGACCTCAGACAGCTATCATCCCGAACATCCTTCAATGATGCCGGGCCATCCAGCTCCAATCTCTTCCCGCCAATGACAAAGAGCTCCAGTAGGACTTCCTTCGACATCCCAGGCCGCCTCAACAACTTTATCAGGAAGTCCAATTCCAGCTTGGAACTCGACTCAGCCTCGGCCGCCGCCGCCTACAATAAGTCCGTCGGCAATGCTTTCAAGAGGTTTCCCAGACCAAGGGCCCGCACCAACTCAAACTCGTACGGGCTCAACGATCCGGCCTCCTCTTCGTCGCCTTCCAAGGTAACAAGCCCTCGTAAGTGGGTCAACAGCCTTCTCAGCCAAGCAGCTCCCAGCGCCGAGCACCTCGAAACCGCTGCACAAGCACGCCTCCGTGCCGAGTCGGATGCCTCGAGGTCATCACCCGCCCCTGTCAGCTCCCTCGTGCTCTCGAATGGCAACGCAGTATCAACGTCTCGTCTGGTGTACACCATCGACTCTGGTCTGCAACGTAACACCTCTTCCGCCGGTCGATCCGCAAGCATCTACTCATCGCATCTCAGCTCTGCTTCCCGCTCCACCCCAGATCTCCATCGCAGCTCCGTCACTCGGCATCTTGACAACGGTGCCCTTACGATGGACTTGGGCGGTCCCCTGCCGCCCATTGCTCATCGAACAGACGTTGGGGATGACGTGAGCTCACCTGCTCCCCTCGTCGTTCGCAATCTGGACGAGGCTCCCAGAGGCACATATACCCCTGCCATTCCAACAGCTTCGGCCTCTGCTCAGCTCACATCAGTCTCCAGGCTCCGCAATCCGTGGTCGCCCGACTCACCTCAGATCCAGTCAGAGGAGGATGACCACGTGGATGCCTCCATTGCACGCGATCGCTTCAACTCGAGACTTGCTCCCGGCGAGGAGGCCGTTCTCAACATGCTCGACTCGGCCTCGGCCGTCGGCACTACGCTATCCGCGCCCGTTCCTCCGACTCCCTTTCAGACCGCAACACCAGGCACGCTGGCACGTTCCCGCTCCTTCGCAACCAGCGCCCGCTTTCAAAGCCCAGCTTCCGAATACAGCCAGGATTTCCGTTCGCCGCATCTGGCAGGCACCTCTTCCCCTTCAGCCGGTGTCAGGGAGGCCATCCGTCAGCGCGAGCTACTCGACTCCACAGCAACCGGATCGCACATACCAGCCAGCCGGTCAGCATTGTCGCCAGGCACGTCTGCTTTCCTGAGCAACGTAGACTCGGGAGACTCAGAACCTCTGCGCTCGAGCCAGACGTCCTCCTCCCTCTTCTATCAGCGAAGTCAACAGCCGTCCAGCGGTGCTATGTATGCCTTCAAAAAGGTCTCACGAGTAGCGGTCCCGACCACAGAGACTTCACTGCTTTCACCGCCAGCATCGGCACCGTCCATCGCGTTTCCACGACGCGGAACCGCCGCGTCCACCACTGTGCCCATCTCTCCCATCGATAGCAGTCTACTTGGCACTTCGGCGAATGCGACGAGCCTGTGGAGCAGACCTAGCAACGCGCCTGACACTCCCTCCACCACGCAGGACCCTACTTCTCCCTTGCCTTGGTCAGCCGCGTCCTCAGAGCCTCCCAAGTGGCCCACAACTAGTCAACAGCAGCAGGCGGATCATGCCGACAAATCAAAGTCCATCTACGCCGTTGAGCCCGTCGTCATGCCGAGCGAGGTCGAACGAGGGCTCGACAGTCGGTCAGATCTGCTGCGCACGGCCATCCACAAGCCCGATCTGCTTCGTCATCGCACCGACTTTACACAAGCCACCAGCATCTTTTCCAGCACCGACGCCCTGAACAACTCGCGGACCAGTCTGCAGAAGGAGGCCCTCTCCGAGACAGATGCAGCGCAAGCGAAAGCGGCGACCTCGTCCTCGACAGATTCAGCAATCAGCCGCCCACTAGCTCACGTTCCCTCCGTCAGCAGCTCCCTTGCCGCTATCCGAGGCATGTTCTCCAAAGCTGCATCTGCTGCCCTCGCTCCCACGACCACTGCAGATTCAGCGGTTCGCTCCACAGAGCTGCCTTCCGGCCTCACCTCCTCCACTTCGGTTGCGGCCGTTGCCAAGGAGCTCGAGCAGCGTTCGGCAACATCTTCTAGACCATCTAGTCCGGAAAAGCTCACCCTGCCCGCTTCGCCAACGAAGGCCAAGGATCTCATCGCCATGTTTGAAAGCAACTCGGCCAACGCATCGCCCACCATCGAGCATTCGAATTCATTCTCGCGCACCGCCACGCCCAAGAACAAGCTGTCGCCGACCAAGTGCGCAAATTCGGCAACAAGCAGCCTCAATGCAACACCCAAGCGCCAAAATCCTTTGTCGATCTCCGTCTCTCGGTCCAATCTTGGCCTCGCAACATCCAGCCCTGCCAGCGATGTGGCTGTCGAAGACGCATCACCTGTCGGTGCCAAGCTTCGCGCTCAGCGCTTCGAGGCAGGCAGGCTCAGGGCGAGACGCGCCGGTCTCATCGGTGTTGGTGGTGATAGCGGTGATGCCAGCTTCAGTGGTCTTCCTGGAGATGAGAACGACGACGATGAGCACGATGAGAACGCAGCTCCGGACAGCGTCCTGGGCGAAGCGCCCAGTGTTGCCGGCCGTTTCCGATCGCTGAACACCGCCTCACAACATTTTCGATCGCAGTCAACTCCAAGTGATGTCAGCATCAATGTGCTTGGACTGGGCTCCTCACCAGCGAGGCAGACTGCGATCTCCAACCGTGGTATCTCTCATGCTCAGGATAAGAGCAGCGGGTCTGTCTCGACGGGGTCAGGTAGCCTAGGAAGGAAAGGTGCTTTCCGTAACAGCATGATGGGCTTCATGGGCTCCCTTACCGGGAAATCGAATTCTGCCGGTACAGCTGGTGGCGGCGGGGAGCCTGGAAGCTTCGGTCAAACGCTTGCTCCGGGCTTGCTTTCCGAGCGACGAAACAGTGCCAAGTCGGATCAGGATGACAACGTGAGCACCGCTAGCGCCGCTACGCAAGGGACCACCGCCTCGTTCCGTCGCAAGAAGGAGGAGGGAAATCTTCCCCTCACCAGCGTCACTGCCATTCAGATGTCTGGGGAGCAACCCGGGACCAAACCACTTCGCGTCGGAGCGCTTTACTACTTCAACGTACACGATCCGAATCCTCGGTGGCTTCGCGTCAAGGCAGTGTTGCTGCCTTCGGCGGTCGCCATGAGCTGGATCCCGACAGGAGGTGGCAGAGAGAATGTGGTGCTCGATCTTCGGGCCTGCAGAGAGGTTCACTCTGTTCCAAGTCCCGACCACCCGAGCAGTATGTCGGATGTTGGAGCAGCATCTGCACGCAGACAGGGTCTTGACAGGATCAGCCCTTTCCAGCTCATTTTTGACGACGGCGTTGAGAGACTGGCGGCTGAGACTGCCAAGGAGAGAGTGCAATGGGTGACTTCAGTCTGGGACGTATCGGGAGGAGGGATTCGTCGGCCCATCAGCGCGCATGGCTCTGACCACGCCAATAATGGACACGATGCGCCGGCCAAGGCAGAACGTGTCGACGTTACGCAAACATTGTCGCCAGCCAGTCGAGAAAAAGCCCTCGTCAGCTCTAGCCCGACACGGTCTGTCCCTGCTCCTCTTAGCAGCGGCACTCATGGCTCACCTGCAAGGCCCATCTCGATGCGACCCGGAAGCAGCGAGGAAGTCATCGATCGCATCGGGTCCATCTGGAAGAGTGAACTGTCGTCCGAGCTGACCAACAAGGATGTTCAGCCGAGCTTTGGGGCTGCGATGAACATTGCAGCCGCATCCGCGCCGCCACCGCTTCCGCCCAAGGAAGCCCGCGCCTTGGCTGAATCGAAGAGCCTCAAGTCTGCACCCGATACCAATGCGGCAAATGCACCGAAGCCAGCTCTCGCGACTGCCGCTTCCGCACCACTGCCAACGACGTCAGCCTCTAACAGCCCTGCTCGAGCCAAGGTACGCAGCTGGCAACGACCGCCGCTTGACTTGAGCACCGGCTATGTGCATGACATCTCCCCAAGAACGCCGACGTTGGTCGAACCAACTGCGGACACCATCCGTTCGACACCAGCTTCGTATGCGGAGGACAAAAGCAGCAATGATTCTGTCATCGACAGCGCCAAAGCGATACAAGGCGACCAGTCACCCACCTTGTCGTCTCCAGACTTGGATGGGTACGCGTCTGCGCGCTCTCAGGGCAGCTTGATCGATGAATTTGGACCTCGAACTCCTGTCAGCGAGGCCGTGTTCAACTGGTCAAGGTTGGACAAGGAGTCGGATCTGGATCCGAGTGACTCGGCTTCTCAACGTCCTGCACGCAGCGAGTACGGAACCTTAAAGAGCACCGCCTCTGCTGCAGAGCGCAAGAGAAGTCTTCGCAGGAAAGGCGACGATGCAGCCCGTATTCCTGACGACGTCGTGACTGCAAGCAAGTCGACCAGCGAACGAACGCCAGCGCAGTTGCTGCGGGACAGTGTTCTCGGACCGACCATGGGCACCCCTGACTCCTCTGATGCCATCCTCAACGCATCACCAACAGGACGCGGCGATCGTCTCGGTACGGTGATCGAGGAGACATCGTCCCTAGCGCAGAGCACCAGAATCAACGCCTCTGTACGCAGCAACGCACGGAGCAAGCTCGATGAGATGGTCGCTCGAGCCATCGGAACTGGATCGGCCAAGTCGCCCGCAGCAAAGAGCGCTCTTTCGCTCGTATCGAGTGGCAGCATCAGCTCCAACGACGTCGGCAAGCTTCTTGAGTTCCTCGAAGAGCAGCAAAAAGAGCGTCTGTCGAAGGAAAAGGAGCTGGAGGATCAGATCAGAAGTTTCCAACAGGTCGTCACAGATCTTCAAAAGAAGAACTCCACCAGCAGCTCCCATCATTCTGCGACGAGGAAGGCCTCTATCACAACAGCCGGTGGCGATAGCAAGGTAACCCACATGTCATCGCGCGACTCGGAACTGGCTGCCATGCAAAAGAAGCTCGACATGGTGCTCGATCTAGTGACCAATGTTGTAGCAGCTCCAGCTGTCCACAAAAGGGCAAAGAGCGAATCCGGTACCATCCTCAGCACCGCCAACATTGGCGACGACGCTGACAGCGCCGAGGCCGCAAGGATCGAAGGTGTGCTCGCTAAGCTGCTCCGAAAGATGCAGGTGTCAGAGGATGCTGCAATGACGCCCAATTCCAAGGAAATGGTGCGAGCGGCTGTTCTGGCCCGGGATCCCAGCATGATCGACGAGTGGGACCGAATGCCCGTGGAGCTGCGTGGCAACGAGCTCATCAAATCGATGGAAGACCGGGCCAAACACGGCAGCGATGGACGACACGAGGCGATCCAGAGCGACTACGCCATGCGCCCGGAATCTCCCGAAATGGTTCGAGGAGGGAGTGCGCCCTCGGGGTCGGCCAATCCTTCCGGAACATCTATCTTCCCCGACGTTGATCCCAGGCGGCGCTCCTCTGCGTCCATGCCACGACGCGCGTCCGGTATGAGCATTGCAGCGAGCACATCCGGGACCGACCTCAGCCGGATCCCTCCGCGTAGCTGGACGTCCGAGAGAGGCGTCCCATCGCCTCCGCCAAATTCGGAATGGGACGCCAGATCCATGCTCAGTCGGCCAGCATCGCGAGCGACGACCCACATGGGCATGCCGGGACGTGCTCCCACCCAGAACTTCCGCATGCTCGGCGATCCAGGCTCGACACAACCGACGCCACGACCGATCATGGTTCAGAACGAGCCCAGCTACGGCTCGTTGGACATGGAGGCTGAGATCCGAAGGAGACGAGCACAGCAGCAAGCTGCCAGCGGTGCGCCCATTCCATCTGCACAGCTTGGCGGCTGGTACACCCCCAAGGTGGCACAAGTGGAAGGATCTGGGACGCAGGCTTCCTCCTCCTCAGTGACGGCTGACATGTCCAACGTCAATCTCGACAAGCCAGTTCCGCCGACGCCCAGTGTTCGATGGGCACCGGGCGACATCGTCGAGGAGCCTAAGACCGTGGAAGCGGGCGCCGAAAAGACGCCAGACGGGCTTGGTCTGTCGATGACGGCGGCTGCGATGGGCGAGGCCAAGTTTTCCGGGCCACCACCGACACCCGGCGTCGGCCAAGTTTCGTCTGCCGGCAGCGCTTCAGGCGGCTCAGCCCTCGGCACGCCCAACCCCGAGCTCGCCACGATCCTGCAGGCGCTCAAGCAGAGCGAGATGGCTCGCCAGACTCAGCTTCAGCAGCAGACCGAGATCTCGAGGTATCTCAACGAACTCAATGTCTGGCTTGAGAAGGACGTGGTAGATCGATCCAAGGAATGGCGCACCCTTGCCAGCGGTGTCACCCAACTTCATGACGAGCTCAAGGCACTCAAGGAAGGTCGAGCGTTGCCTTCGTCATCCGATCCGACGCAGACTCCCTCGCTTCAAAAATCAGCTGCGGAGGGGGCTTTGCACCTAGCACCGGTCCCGCACGGTCGTGCCGAAGTCACTACGATGGGCGACAAAGCGAACGCGCCAGTTTCGCCCGGACGCCGTCGACCGGCAGGCTCGCGAAAGTGGAACGAGCGACGCAGCGAATCGCCCACGGCCAACGACGCGGACAAGTCGTGGTACAAGCCCGACGATAACGAGCGAGGCGTCAAGAGCAGCTTCAAATCGAAGGCTGCCAAAGCGGCTGCTGCTGCCAGTGGCGCGCTGCTGATCCGACAAGCGCTCCGAGAGTGGGAAAGGTTCAAGATGATGCGACGAGCCGCGGGCATGCCTGAAGATCCATTGCCAGCCGATGCGACAGGTGATCCTGCTATCGACAGTCAGCTTCCCTTGCCATCGACGGCTTTGCAGCAGCTGCGGGATGCTGCGGATGCGGAAGACAATCAACGTATCGGCGAGCTGATCCGTCAATGTGCAGAGGCTGGATACGGTACACAGGCGATCATCGAGCTGACCAAGCACGTCGAGAGCAAGGCACCCGAGCCTGACAGCGACGACGCTGACGACGAAGGGGATTCGCCGCTGGATGGCGACACGCTCATGCCTACTCCTTCGCCCTACCGAACGCGGTTTGATGTGGACGAGGAGCCGGAGGAAGCCAAATCGGACGAAGACAAGGGGATCATGAAGATGGCGACGCCCGTGCCTGCGCGCGTCGCAGCCAAGGAGAAGGCGAAAGAGAAGGCTGTCGAAGAAGTGGAAGAGGCGGAAAGCGGGTCTGGACCCACCACAGCCGCACTCGCGCTCGCCGTCGAAGAGATCCTCAAGCACCTCCTTTCGTCCAAAGAAGAGGCCAAGCAAAAGCAGACCGAAGCAGAAGCCAGGGAAGCCGAACGCAGAGCCACTGAGGCGGAACGAGAGCGATCGATGCTCAGCCTCAAGGAGCGCGAAAAAGCCGAACTCGTCGATCTCCTCTACAGTCGCATCGCCGCCGATAAGGCAGCAGAGGAAGCCAAGCAGAAGGACCTCGATCCGAAATCCGCCATTGAATCGCTCGTCGCCGCCATCAACGCGCAGAAGGAGAACGAAGTCAAATCCGCCGCTGCCGCCGACGCCGCTCTCCGGCAGATGACTTCGGAACTGCTGAAGTCGACCTCGGAGCAGAACCACAAGCTCGTCGAAGCCGTCAACGCCGCTTCCCGCGACATGCTCCGTCACAATGTCCAACAGCACGCCGACGAATTCAAGCGTCTGCTGCACAACGAGGTCAGCGGCATGTTTGAAGATGTCGGCAAGATCCGGGAGGCCAAGAGGCATCTGGAGTTTGAGATCGCGGATCTGTGGAGTATCAAGTCGAGGCATTTGCAGACGGGAGCGGGGATGCCGATCGGGTACAATGTTCCGGGTGGGTATCCGGGTAGTCCTCAGGCTGGAGGGATGGGGATGGGGATGCCGATGCCGATGACTATGCCGGTACCTCAGATCACGCATATCCATGCTAGTCCTATGCCGACGCATCCTCCTGCGCATCTGTCGCCCATCCCACCGCAGCAAACAGCAGCATCTCCGGTAGCAGCAGGTCAGATCGACTCGTTGAGAGCGCAAAAGAAGGCTGTCAAAGCAGCACTCAGACAGGCCGTGGCGGACAGTGCGCCGCCAGCAGCAGCTCAGGTTGCACCCGCTCCAGCTCCAGCTCCTGCTGCGGTCGCTGCGCCTGCGGCGGCTCCAGCAGGTTTCCTCGCAAGGAAAAAGGACGTCCTCAACCCTTTCAGCATCAATTTTGGTCCTAGAGCTCCTGCCGCATAAATCCACCCTGTCACACACTCTCTACCAGCCCTTCATGCAACCCTTCAGAATAAATAGGTTCCCCTCATCTTTGCTGTGCTCATCATTGCATTTACAAACAAGTTTCTACCGCATCAACGTGGATGTGTGATCGACCGAGAAGGTTGTGTGTTGAACCGCGTCGCCATGTCAGTCATTTGACGAAACAGCTCGGGTCGGACGGTGTGCATTCTGCCGCCCAACCGTGAATCTTCGCAGCCATAACTCACAAACACGAAATGGTAAAAAGAGTAAAAGCAAAGCCTTTCTATGACTTCTCAATACAGAAAACGAAGCACCCACTCTCCTCCACCTCAAGGTTCCGGACTGTTACTGTCGTCCCTAAACGCCGCCTTGACCTGAGCAGCTGTCGAGCCACCGGGGCTGCCATTCGCGCCCGTAGGAAGCAAGATCCTCCTCCTCGCGTTGATGAACCAGTTTGAAACCTGCGACAGCGTCAATCCGGTCATACTGCACAACGAGCGCTTCTCATCCTCCGTAGGGTATGGATGACTGGCGTGCTCCAACAGCCACGTCTTGAGCAGATCGGTCACAGGTTTCGGCAGCTTGCCTCGTCGACGTGGAGGAGGTGCGATGCCTGCCGAAGGTCCGGGAGGGACGTGAGCGGCGGGGATGGGGATGATGCCACCGGGTCGACCCATGCTAGGGACACGTGCGTGAGGATGCATGTCGCGAGGGTCGTGCGGCATGTAGTCTCCAGGACCGTAGGGGGCGGCGTAGCGAGGATCGTGCGGGTGCCTGGCTCCTGGATGCGCCGCCATGGGCGCCATCCCGGGCGAAGGGATGGGTCCGGCACCTCCGTTGGTCGGCTTGCCTCCGACGTGGGCACCAGGCGGTGGGTAGGCTCCCGCGTGCGGTGAATCGTATGGGTCGTAGTACGAGTCCGAGTAGCGTGCCTTGGCTCCTGCGCCACCGTTGACGCCCAGGGGACCGTGGTAATACTCGTCCATCTCCGGGTCCGAGATGCGCTCGCGGGCAAAGTAGAGTCGTCGATCCGGATAGAAAGGTTCGGAATAGCCGTGCGGCTCGGGCGATGGACTCAGCCTGTCGGGATGAGACACGACGTCCATAGGTGGTGTATAGCGAGGACCTCGAGAGGCGACCACCGGTGCTCCAGGTGCTGCCGCTGTGTAACGAGAAGCAGCAGCGGGTCGAGACGAAAGGGGTGGGAGCAACGGGCGCGAGTCAGCGGCATACGGTGGGGGCGACGGCCGACGAAGGTAAGAGGAGTGGGGCGCGCTTCGACTGTAAGGATCATGCTGCAGCGGGGGCGCCTGGGATGAAGGCGGCGCTTGACGAGGTGCGTAGGAAGGCGAACGAGGCGAAGGTGCGGGGCTGTAACGGTCCGATCTGCGCGACATGGGCGGATATGGATGGCCTGCTGGTGGCGCTGCGTCGTGGGCTCCGACCCGATAGGCAGTGCGTGAAGACGAGGGCGATACCGGATACGCGTGGCGCGGTGAATAGCGTGGATCTTCCATGCGCGGATCTGCGTAGCGGTCGCGGCTTGCGTACGCTGCATCACGCGAGTAGGGACCGGGATAGGTGCGTTCGGGCGTCTCGCCTCGTGCTCGTGCGCGGTAGTAGTCGCCATCCGGATACACGGCACCACCGCGCGAGGGATATTCTGCCGAAGTCTGCCAGGCACCGCCGGACCTGTCTGCGCGCTCAGATGGAGGACGTCGGGCTCCCATATCCGACGAGATGCTGGGCTTGCGTTTGAGACCGGAAGAGGCAACGGGTGGAGAGAGTTCGCGTGGATCGCGATACGCGGCTTCGCGGTAGGCGGATCTGGGACTGCTTGCGTATTCACGCGAATAGGAGGCGGCGGAGACAGATGGGATGGGTGGACCAGGCCGACGGCCAGACATGCGGGGGCTGCCTCGGTCCGAATGCATGTCCCATTCTGCCGAATGGTTGGAGATCTTGCCAGCAGGAGAAGCTGGTCGGCGGAGCGATGGTGGCGGCGGCGAAGCGCGCCGAGCGGTGACGTCGGCCTTCTCGGAGGAGTTCATGGATGTGACTTGGGCTTTGGTCCAGGCGGAGTAAGGAGAGGGCCGATCTGACTTGGATGCGCCGAGTGAGTTGGTAGGTGGCAGATGCTCGAGATCGTACGAGATGGGCAAAGTGGCCGCAGTGCTGATGGAGCGTTGACCGAAACTCGAGACAGAGTGGCGATCGAACGAGTATTCGGAAGAACGAGCAGAAGCACCTGGAGGCGAGCTGTGACGATCTTCCGAGGAAGACGGGGCGGCAGGCTGGTCGCTCGGGGTGCCGACAGTAGAGCCGAAGCGAGGAGACGGAGCGCCGATGCTGGATGAGCTTTTGAGATGCAAGGCGTCGTGGATGCTAGGCAGACGAGGAGAGTGCTGCTGCTGCTGCTGCTGCTGCTGCTGCTGCTGCTGCTGTTCGCGGATGCTACTGACGGGCCTGGAAGAGATCGAGCTGACCATGATGCGACCGGCGATGCCGGAATCGAAGAAGGAGAGATAGTTCTGCGAGAGATGCGAGGCGGTCAAGACCGGTCGAAGTTGAGCGCTGTCGAGCCAGGTTCTTCAGCTTGACCAGGGTCACTGAAGTAGGGCAGAGATGACGCTCTGCCGGTACAGTTGGGAGTTCGCTGAAGAGTTGTGGATGGCGTGCAAGCGAATCGAGTCAAAGCGGATCGTTGTTGCACGGCAAGGATGCCGATGATGATTAGAACCGAAGGGTGGATGCGGTTTGAAACGAGCGACGTGTACAAAGAGTAGCAATGTAAGGGGGGGAAGGTTTACGGCTCTGTCAAGTAAAGCGAGAAGAAGCGGGAGACGATCCGGATGATAGAAGAGACGGATGACGAAGGTGGCGGATGGAGAGCAAGAAGTATCGAATAAAATGCGGACGCAAGCGCCACTGTCGAGACCAATTGGTAGCCGGTATATAATAATTAGTGGTGGATGTGCAGAGACGGGGCCTTGCTGCGAGCAAAGCCGATCTGGGTTGACGAGGCCAAGACAGGCACTGGCGTGACGTTCGCACCGAAAGAGCGGTGATGCAAAGGTGGAGACTAGGCGGAGAGCGAAAAGAGAACGGCGGTGATGGAAATGAGAAGAGATGCAAATACGAAGGAGGAGAGAAGTCAGCGGGAGGGGCGGCAAAGATTGGCAGGGTGAGGGCGGAGTTTGACGTGGACGACTCAGCGTCGCCCGATTCGAACGCTGCAGACGAGAGCGATAAACTGTATCATGGGTGGACGGGTGGAAAAGACAGACACGACTCAGGCAAACGACATGCAGAAAACGGCCGACCGACGAAGCGGCGAGCGACTCAAAAGGCGAAAAAGGGACGGGCGTCGGGCCTGAAACTGACAGAGTGACAGAGTTGACAGTGCAGAATCAGCCAAAGAACCGCTTTCGACGGCGTGGCAGCATTTGTCGATATTTTATTTCTTAGATCAATTCTTCGAAACCTGAAGTGGTCGACGGCGGAGATGCAAGGCGGTAGGAGAGGATGAGTGTGGGCGTGGATGCATGTGCCGAGCAGGCGACCCAGAGGGCCCATCTCATCCAAGCGAGAGGCGTTGACACGCAACCAAGCTTGTGGCTGCTGTCAAACCACAGAATCTACGACCCATGTCCAGCTGCCTGGATCCTAGCTCTCGTGTCAAAAACTCCAAATTGGCAACCACCTAAAGATTACCACTGACTCCAAGGGAAGGGAAAAAAAATAAAAATTTATTAATAGGAACTCGAGGGTGGAATTTGGTCCCCGAAACATTCGGGCGGGAAAGGAGTGTATGAGAAAAATCAGCGAGCCGGCTACTGTACACTGTAGTGTACCGGCAACTCGAAGCAGCGGACCGCGATCGGAGGTTGAACGCTTCGGGGCAGAAAACCAGTGTGTGAGACACGCAGGTGAGTCGCGTGATTTTTCTCTGTTCCAAGAATCTGCCAATTTGTTTCGGCATAATTTGAGTCTCGCAACTGCAGTAGGGGCGCATCTCGTAATCTAGCGTCAAATACAGAGTGTTTGTACGAAAGAAGACAAACCAAAGCACGCATCCCACGCAGACAATCACACGCCCGTAGATCCACACGTCACAGCCCCGTGTCATGAGCCTAAAATGTCATGACGGGCATTTCGACCCACGACCCGAGCCACACGTCCATTCTGACAGCCGAGCACCTCGCCAGCCGCCTGCCTGCGTCTCTATCCTCGCCCCATTGGCCCTTCCCGCCGTATAGTTGCCCTTTGTTGTCAAACTGTCCGTTGTATCAATTTATATCCAAATAACAACCTGGCTTTCGGGATCGGCACAATGTAGCAAGCAGGTGGCTGAGAAAGTGCATGATCTTCAGATCCGTACCACAGGGTCAACACTTCGGACCAAAGCTTTCCGAGCTCCCTCAGTTCCAAGCTTGATATCTTTGTTCCTGAAGCTTTACTTGCGAGCAGGTGCTCATGCCAGAACGCAGCGGGATCGCCAGACTCTCTACAAGGAGCAGCTGAGGTGGAGGAATGTACCGTGATGCTTCATGTCGCGGCCACGCTGAGTCATGACGTCGTCCCAGCAAACGCCAAGATGCTCAGGGCTTCTCTCTCACTGGACAGCCGGAAAATGATTCCGATCAGAAACAGCTGATACAGTCTTTGGGCGACGTGAAAGCACAGCTACTAGCAGGGCTATCACTCCTGCCTCTCATTCGAACCTTGCAGCTTCTCATCGCAGCAAAGTACGATACAATGGGGGACCGCAGCTTTTGGTGGTGACTGGCTCGGTGACGGTCGGTACAATAGAGCATGCGCAGACCGAGGTGCCCAACTTTGACACGCGTTGCCGAGCTGCAGTGGCACTCTTATGCTGCGCCCGCTTGACAGGAGAATGTCATTAAGGCGCTGACAATGGCGTCGAGCGTGGTGTCGATGCTTTTTCGACATTGTTCGTGGTAGCAAGCGTGCCAGCATAAAATTTCGACCTTCGAGAACAATGGCAGCACCAATGCGTTGTCTCCGCCGTCGGCACAAAGGGGCTCAGCTTTTCCAGAAACAAAGGGGGACTTGCTGAGTTTTGAGCCGTGTGAGCTGGCACAATGACCGTCCTGCCTAGTTCAGTGTCAGTTGCCGCCCTGATGGCGATCGCACAGCTCTGTTTTCTAGCCTCGCCTAGCAGCGTGAGGCAACGCGCAGCCGGCAATGAAGATCGACCTAAACCTTGAACGTGCTTCATGTCCTTGATCGTCTTTGCACCCACTTTGAGTGTGTCGCGACGACGCCAAACCGCGCAATTTCATTTGGTCTTGCTAATGAGTGGGCTCCCTTGTCCATGCTGTCGTACGATCTCGTGCAGTGACAAGCTTCGATGTGAAGTAAGTTGCTCAAACCTGCCGAGCAGGCTGATCTTGGGGTGGGCCACGCCTTGTGACTTTCCGTCGACGAAGTAAGATGACCGACCTGCTCGCCTCCCTTGGGACTGGAGATGCCCGTGGTCCAAGTCGTTCGGCGAGACATGTCGGCGAGGGATGACGAAGCTGTTGACAGATGCGGACGTGAATCAGGCACAGCACCGTGCACTGTAGCAGCAGAAGCAGCAGCAGGACGAAAAAAGGTCCCTCAGAACGCACCTTGCCGCTTTCTGACAGGCATGAACCGCGACTTGATTTTGATTTTAAAGCGCCACTGCAATGGGTGCCACGCTGCAGCATGTCTATTCGACCTGACGTGTCGCCAAGCTTTTGCTTTCGGCACGATGCTTCCGTCGATTTCTCGTGAATTTTCATCGATTTTCCATTTTGAGCTAAGGAGGAGCTGCACATGAGCTCTAGTGTAATTGGTTACTGGGTGTACGACGTTGTCAGACTGACGCAAGGCCTAAAAAGTGTATGACAGCGGAGTCAACAGACGATTCTGTGGGTCAAATTGCATGTGCGCCTCTTTGACTGCATCGCCGCACGCTGCAGCAGCTGCTGTCAGGCTCTTTTTCGAATGTCGAATTCTGTGGAAAGCTTGTTTGTTTTTGCCCTTTTCGCCCCTTTTTGTCCTCGGCAGTTCTCGCACGCTGCAGCCGACTTGTTTGACGGCCAGGCTTGGGCGCGGCTGCAAAATGGCTTCGGCATCCATTTGCCGCGCCGCTTTTCAAGAATGGCCATGCCTCGGCGCACATCACCGTGCACCTCACGACTCTGACCGACAACGTTGACACAAGTCCTCGCACAAGTCATGGACTCTGAAACGGCATCGAGGGGGCACTGCCAAAGCGTCTATGCTGCCGACTAGGCCAAAGGCGGTTGATCTCGCTATCCCCCTCGCGTCTGTCGGTCTTTCCCCCTTCCTCCGAGGCCTCGATCTTCCAGTCGTGCCGTGACGTGCGTGCTCGATCCAATGCTAGTCGCCTCGCCTCACCTCGCTTCGAGTCGGGTTGGGCTCGCTTTAGTGCCCTCGATTGGCGAAGGTCTCGCTTCCACTGTTGCCCCTTTTCTCGACGCCACCTTTTGTTCTCACACACCGATAGCTAAAGGGGAACGTGCAGTGTGCCGAGAAGAGCGTGCAGAGTGCAGGAGAGACTCGCGTGAAGGGCCAGGTCTGTTCCTGACTTCTACTTGCGCAAGGCTGACAGGCGATCATTTTGACATTCGGGAGCTGTCACCACCCACCACACTTCCGGCAACCAGCGCCGCCATACCAAGGCGACCGAATCGTTCCGCTCGAATCTAGAACTGAAAGCCATCAGACACGCTCGACATTGCAGCGTAGAACGTCGACAGATCTCCGGTCCATGCAGCAGCCGTGAGTTCCCCTGGACGGATGGGGCAAACGCCGTGCAGGTACATCGGGGACGCTTGACGACAGGCTCAGACCGTATCAAACAGCATTGATGATCACTTTCTCATGACAAGCAATGCTGCTTTAAGGACAGCGAAGATTATCTTGACCGGCAGCCATTCTTGCAAAGCTCCCGTCGACGGTTATCATCACGTTTCAGTTGTACTGACAGCCATCGCCGAGATACGTGACAATAGCTTGATTGCGACCGTCTTTCTTTGTGCGGTTGATGCAGGAAGAAACCTCTACAGATTCTTCGTCAGACTTAGCTTGCCTTTGATCGAGCCCTTTGTCGTTAATCGATGCGACGATTGACCCTTCCCCTGATCCGGAAGAGGAAGAAAGGGTCGAGTTCGGTTCAGCCCTCCACGATGCCAGACTAAGCTTTCAGGGTAGCACAATCCCGAATCACACCGCCGATCAGATCCATTCTGGACAATAGAACTAAACGCCCTCGCCTCTCATATCGTGCAGTAGTCCACGTTCCGGCACGTCACAATCTCAGCGCCAACTGAGGCATGCGATCCCATTGTCGTGAATGACACTGAACCTTTCAAAGGCTTTCAACACCTGCATGTGTCGTCGGGGGACACATGAAGAAGGTAAGCGCTCCGGCTCTTCTCGCAGCCGGAGCGTTGGACGACGCTGAAACCTTCCAGAGGAAGACTGGCAGTCCTTGCCGACGGCTCCTGTTGTCCATCAACTTCGCTGCGCAGTTCGTGCGAAAATCCCTCTGACAAACCACGATGCCGCCTTCAAGTGTGGGCGTGCATCTTGCTCGTTATCCACGAGCCCTACTTCATGGCTGTCATGATTTTTCAAGGCAATGTCAGATCTGCAGATACTGATGGTTGCGAAAATTTCCACGACGTCGCAGTGTGGAGAGAAACAGAAATAACGCAGGGGCCTTGTTGCATGCCATCGAAATCTCGACTTCTTTCAGTGAACACCAAGCATCTCTATCGAGCAGCATCATCCACATTGCTACTGCTGCCGTTGCTGCCGCGACACACGACTGGCGTGAAGAGCGAAATCTCGAACCACCATGTCACGTCAGCATCGCCCTTTCACCTGGGGTGGAGAACAGCACGGCTCGTCCTTCTCGGATCCCACCTCGCCGGCGCTCGAATCCAGCACCTTCGGTTTCGAACCAAGCGTTCCAGACATCTACAGAAGAGCTTGGCGCGCTGTGACTCAAGGCAACCTCGGCGAGTCCTTCGCTGATGCCTCGGACGCAGACATTCACCTCGGCCTCCTTCACAAGCTCCTCACCTCGGCGGGAGATCTAGGTCCTGGAAGCGCGGAGAGCATCGTCAATGCCACTTGCAAAGGCTCCCGCTGCTCTCGCACCGACTTCTTCTGTGCACTCGGACTACTCTACCAGCTTCAGCAAGGGGAGGAGCTCAATGTTCATCTGGTGCAACAGCGACTAGCAATGGGTGGTCTCGGAGCCCCTGAACTGAATCTCTCGGAGGCAGCGCTCAACGTCCACTCGCATCATACCTTTCCGCCGACGGCCGCCTCGAGCTCTTCACGCTTGGAAGTGCGACCGCCAGCACCGATGCGCGAAATGTCAGATCCGTGGAACGTCAGCAGCGGTGCCAGCTACAACGGCGTCGATGCACGGTCCGCGTATAACCACTATGACGGAATGCCGCAGCAGCACGACGCCTTGACCAGCTACGACTCCGCATTCCGTGGAGGCTTCGCCGCGAATGGATCTTCGGGTCCTTCTGAGCGTACGAGAACCTTCAGCGGGGACAACAGACGCTCCAAACAGCTCTTCACTCACAACGAAGACTCTTCCGTGGACGCAACCTCCGCCGCCGACCGCGCCCGGCAACAGGCAACACGGCACGAGCGACCTTTCTCGTACATATCAGAGACCGCCGAGGCTAATGCGGTGGATGCAGCGCAGGATCCGTCCGCTGAATTGCCAGAGGACGAGGTGACGGTTCGGTTGCGTAGCGAATTGGAAGGCTTCATCATCAAGCACAATGTGTACATTGTCAGTTCGAGTCTTCGCAAATCCCAAGTGACACGGCGATACAGCGACTGGCTCTGGCTGGCGGAGTGCCTCGTGAAGAGGTATCCTTTCCGGTGCCTGCCCGTTCTACCTCCGAAGCGGATCGCCATGCCCATCGCCGGTCGTCATCTCAGCGCAGACGACCTGTTCATAGAGAGGCGCCGACGCGGCCTCGAACGCTACCTTCGCATGCTGACATGTCATCCGATGTTGCGCGAGGATAAGCTGGTGGAGGTCTTCTTCACAGAGCCACGACCGATCGCGGAATGGAAGAGCTCTGCGCCGGCGCTCTTCCTCGACGAGGAGGGGCTCGTAAAGATGGTAGACGAGGCGGAACGGATGAGCATCCCCGAGGATCTGGAGCACAAGCTGACGCAGCAGCGTCAAGCCATCCCCGAGCTCCTAGAGCGATGGACGGCCATGGTGGCGCTGTTTGAGCGCATCGTCAAGCGCAACGATGCTGCCGCCGCCGACTACTCGCGGCTCAACTTTTCGCTTCTCTCGGTCATCGAGACGTCGGCGAAACGCTGGAGGCCGGGGAGCGACAATGGCAAAAAGACCGAAGAGATTCTGTCGACGACGGCTACCATCTTCCAAGACCACTCGGACACGACCTCCTCGCGCGTCTCGGCTGTTTCTCTGTCAACACTGGAAGCGATGAAGGGACAACGCGACCTGATCCTCTCCTTCCGCGACCTGATCGCTCGCATAGATCGTCAACTGGTCGATCCGATCGACACGCTCAAGAAGCGCATCGAAGCGTCCCAAAAGAAGATCACCACGCTCGCAGCCTCGGCTCAGGGCAGCAGTGCGAGTACACAGCAAGAGCAGGCGACGCTGTCGGCACAGGTGAAACAGGATACCCAGTCGATTCAAAAGTACCTCAATCGACGCATCCACGCCAAAAAGACGGTGTGGGAGGAGCTCATCTGGTTCCACCATCGATTCAAGGCAGTGGAGGAGGATGTGCAAAAGTTTGTTCGAGACGAAGCCTTCTTCCTCTCGAATCTGACGAGCATGTGGGAGGCGACCGAGATGAAGATGAAGATGATTCGATGATCGAGGACACGCAGGCTGTTTCATCGAGCATTCTGCTAACGAGAGCAACGGGCCGCTCCTACCTTGGTAATCAATGACGGTCTCTACCTCTGTATACTGTATCGCGTGTCTCTCTGTGCGTGTTGCCAGTGACAATAACCAAACGAGTCGGCAGTCCCCAATGATGAGAAGGCACCGAGACATGCTTTGTCTGCCGCTAGTCGCAAAGCGAATTCGGACTGCAGACAGCTGTGGTGAGCATGAAAAGGTGTGTTTGTGTGTTTTCAGGGTGCTGCTGCAACATGCTTGCTTGGTCGTGCATGAGAGTATCACGGGAACGGGAAATTTTGGATTTGATACTTTTTTCCGGAGCTGAGCCAGCTGCACCCTGACCTTACCGCCCGTGACGCTTCCCATCCAGTCCCGGACACCATTCCCATCCGTTCCCGTGGTCTCATCCCCACCTTCTTGACAAGCTCATCGTGACTTTGTGACATAGCTGCACCTTTCAACACAAGTTCACTCCCTTCCACTTCCAAAAGGTACAAACAGTCACGCCTCTCCAGAATCATCACTGGTATAGCACACTCAGCAAGACAACTCGCCTCTTTGACTCTCAAATCTGCCTCTTTCAGCAACGACCGCACCACCACCATCACTCCCAACAAATCTGTCCTGGCAGACCCCTATCGCGCCAGCGTCGTGCTGGTGCCAACGTACATTCGCAGACTTACGCCTCCAGCCTACTAGCACGCCGACCTTCGCAGACCTGCCCTCTTTCTGACGCGGTCAACCACAACCAGTCACGATGAAGTGCACGAATTGCGGTTCATCCGCCATTGACTTTGCCAACAACCAGGCGGTATGCTCGCAATGTGGTGTCGTTCTCGAAGAGTCGCAGATCGTCAGCGACATCACCTTCGGCGAGAACTCGGCAGGTGGTGCCGTCGTCCAAGGTAGCATGATCGCCGCCGATCAGGCTCGCGCACGCGTTTCTGGTCCTGGCGGCTTTCGTGGCGGCTACGTGAGCGAATCACGCGACATGACCATCTCGAACGCTCGAACTGGCATCAACAACATGGCCTCAGCGCTCCGCATCCCGTCGCACGTCGCAGATCGTGCGCTCCGCTTCTTCACGCTCGCGTTGGATGGCGGCGCGTCAGCTGCCACGGGCGACGAGCCCAAAAACTACGTGCTCGGTCGCAAATCCGAGTACACCGTCGCAAGCTGCCTCTACGTCGCCTGCCGTATGGAAAAGACGACACATATGCTCATTGACTTTGCCGATGCCATCCAGGTCAACGTCTTCATCCTCGGTCGCTCCTACCTTAAGCTCATCCGCATTCTCAATCTGCGTTTGCCGCTCATCGATCCTTCCATCTACATTGCTCGCTTCGCCGCTTTGCTCGACTTCGGCGAGGAGACGCAGAAGGTGGCATATGACGCATCCAGACTCGTCTCTCGATTCCAAAAGGACTGGATCACTGAAGGCCGCCGCCCCGCTGGTATCTGCGGTGCCTGCCTCATGCTCGCCGCTCGTATGAACCACTTCCGACGTTCGGTGAGCGAAGTCATCCAAGTTGTCAAGATCGCCGATGTGACGCTCAAGGCGCGTCTCGAGGAATTCAAGAAGACGCCAACGGGCCAGCTATCGGTCAAAGACTTTCGCAACGTGTGGCTCGAGGAAGAGCACGCGCCACCTGCCTATCTTCGTGCACAGGAGCCAGCAAGCACCAAGCGGAAACGCAAGTCTCACAAGCACGTCAAGCTCCAAGGCGTTGCGGACGCCGAAGCATCCGATGACGCCGACGCCGATGCAGATGCCGAAGGTGAAGTGGTCGCCAGCGGTGGTGCAAGAGCTGTCGGGACTGAGGATGCGGACGCCATCGATCCTGCTCTGGAGAAGGTGGTGGACGAAGCCACCGAGCAGGAAATTCAGCAGTACCTCCAGCAGGGTCTCGCGCAGGAGCTCGACAGAGCGCTCGAGACGCAAGAGCGCGAGCGAGAAGAGCGCGCCAGGTCAGGTCAAGTAGGCGCCTCGACAACACGGGCGCTCACGAGCACCAACACACTCACCAGCGTGGCGCGCGACATTCCGGATGACAACGGAGCCGGACCTTCTGGATCTCGCGACGCGACCCTCGATATCGGCAAGGCCGGCAAGCTGTTACCTCTGGGCGGACTCGGCATGGACGTTCAGAGCACCTTTGGAGACGATGCCGCATCAAACGACAATGCGGACGGCGCCACTGCTTCGGACAGGCGGCGCAGCGTAGCGGCAGTGGATGACGAGCTGGCCGATCTGGACGAAGAGGAGCTCGACCGCTTCATTCTCTCACCGGAGGAGGTGAGGATCAAAGAGCGAGTGTGGATGGAGTTCAACAAGGACTGGATGGAGCAGATGCTCAAGAAGCAGCTCAAGCTCGAGCACGATCAAAAGATGGGCGTACCTATCCGAGAGCCGTACAAACGCAAGAAGCCCAAGGCACCTCGAGATGCGTCCACTGCAATGCACAACACATCGGCAGCCGAGAGCGCAAAGATGATGTTGAAGCAGAAGCAGTTCAGTAAGAAGATCAACTACGACGCCTTGAACAACCTGTTCCCAGGCGCCAAGGTGGTGGGTGGAGGAAACGCGAAGCGTAGCGGACGCAAGGGAGCGAACGGTCAAAAGTCGCGCAAGCGAGGCAGGCAGCAGAGCAGTGACGAGTCGTCGTCTTCGTCGGAAGACGAGGAAGCGGCGGGCCAAGGTCGCAGGGGCAACGAGAAGGGCCGAAAGGGAGCTTCTGGCAGCAGAAAGTCGAAGCAGACTTCGCAGAGCACCGCACAAGGCTATTTCGAGTCGGATCAGAACGAGTCGCAAGCAGAGATCATCGAGGAGGATGGCGAGATGCTTCCGCCTTCGCATCCGCTGCGCCGAAGGGAGACGAGACTCAACAAGCGCGGACAGCTCTCATCGGCGGCGGAAGAGTCGGCGAACACGGACTTGGGCGAAGACATGGACGAGTACGGGCAGGGACCAGCGGTGAATCTGACGGAAGCGGCCATGCGCAGTCAGCTCGGCTACTTTGACGATGATACGATGGACGACGACTGAGCGGGTCCATGGAATGGGCGACAAGCGCATCGTGCCATACAGCACCAATCGCACACTTTGATTGTAGTCAGACAATCGACACTTTGTAAAGATACCCTTTGAGCGCGCTGACGTTTTCATATCACAGCAGTGACGGAAAGCAATGCACCGTACTTGCTCAACTCGAGGTGTTTCGCATGATTCAAGTTCAAGGGTGACGGCTCTGCCGATACCGATGCTGATCATGAAAAGGATGAGCGGAATCGGCACACCCGATCGATTTATCGTGGCGAGGTGAATCGCCGACCCGGCGGTCTCGGCAAAGCAAGACAACAAAAAACCTCAAGCCCATCACAGCATGCAGTCAGAGTGGATGCAATCCAACCTGACGTGATCCTGCGCTAGAATGTGGCTCGTTTCGACGGGAATCCAGTCCAACGTGAAGAATGCCCGATAAGGTAAAGTTGGGGAAGGAACGAGATGGCTGAAACCCACGGAGGGACATAGCGCGGTCGCTGTGATGGTGGGGTGTTTGAGCACGCAACCCACTCACCTTGACCGTTGTGAAGTGTAGTGAAAGTTTTCAGAGGCCTGACTGGCGGTCTGAGTCAAGTTTGCCAAGGTCCAGAATGCGCCAAGCCAAGCAGCAAATGGGCGTCGTCCGCCTAGCTGCGTTGGAACTCGTCGGAGCACGATTGGCGGGGCAATTAGGGCCTTCGAAGTGCAGCAGCTTACTTCTTTCCCTCATATCTCACGTAGAAGCAAGCTTGAGCTCCGCCGTGATGATGGATGCAGTGTCACGCCGGATTTTCGGCCAACGTCGGCGGAGCCCTTTGCGAACTTTCGCAGGTACAACGTGCCTTGCCGTGTCGTGTCGGCAAGTGTCCGTGTTCTGAGTCGCGACCCAACGAAAGCTGAGACACGGCAAGCTGCCCGAGAGACAGAAATTGGCAAATCGAAGCTGGAATCTGGGCTCTGCCGGCCAATATGTCGGAAACTTCCAGCCCTTGCCGAGAAACGCTCGCCACTTGCAGTTGTTCCATTCGGGTAAGATAGCGGAACGTGCTAGCGGACCGTGACGTTTGCGACAAGCCTCTGGTCGCTTGTTCCGCCTCCTTGGCATCTTGTGGCAATGGGGATACCCGGACCTTGGTGACGGGCGCAATACAGCGGTGGTTCCGTTCAACCCCTCCTGAAACTCATTTCACATCACCTCGTCACCCTTTCCTGTGTCCTTTCCAACCGAAAGCGAGCAACCTTTTCTCCCATCGCTTGAGCTCCCACTTCCGTTTGCTACACCGTCATCATCCCTCTCATCTCACACGATATCGCCCCGATATCGCCCTATCAACCGCGAGCGCTTTTCGCCTGAACGACATCATCATCCATCTTGAACTTTAGACGCCGATATCGACTAGTTGTTCGTCCTTAACGCACGCCACCCTCGGCCCAGTATGAGGATCTCGACCAGCACCATCGTCGCCACTCTGGCGATTCCAATCATCACAGCATCGTCAAAGTCGGTGCCATTCGCCCCCTCTTCTGACCCAGGCGTCTATCCCGGCGGTGATCAAAACCCACCAAGCGGCTGGAGCACCCTACCCGACATCGACGGCGCACGCATCGACAACTCGACGCTCCGTGTCGGTTCCGGCTCGGCCACGCTCTTGCACTACATCGATGCGAACTATAATGCAAGCAATATCAAGCGTGCCGTCATCCAGATCCACGGCGAGAACCGTGACGCCTGGAACCAGTGGATCTACTCTGATCTGGCGGCGAAGAGGGCAGCGACAGGCGGGAGTTTCGATCGCGACGAGGTGGTGGTGATGGCGCCTATGTTTCTCACGACCCTTGACGAGGGTGCGTACCCCTTCGATCCAAATCAGGATTCGGGCAACAAAGTCACTACAACGATCGATACCGGAGCGACATCTTCGGCAAGACAAGGTTACGTACAGCCAACCGGGTTCGCTGCTTCTCCATCACCAGCTCTCGAGGGGCGCTCGTTCAAACGTCGAGGGAAATACCCAGTTCCACTTCAGAAGGTCAGCACGACGCAAGTGATGATTTGGAAGGCGATCGCATGGGGTGAAGGCGCAGAAGCATACGAACCAGTTGACGCCGATGGAGCAGGAAGCTTCGACGCGCTCGATGCAGCTGTCGACTTCTTCCTCGACAAGACGCGCTTTCCTCAACTTCGAAATGTCGTCGTGGCAGGCTTTAGTCTAGGTGCGCAGCTTACCAACCGTTACGCCACCTTCCGAGAAGACACATCGGAGGACGACAGAATCATCTACTGGATTTCGTCGCCCAATTCTTTTGTCTACCTGCAAGCCAATCGACCACTCCCGATCGGTTCCTCGTGCAGGGACACGTACGGCGACTACAAGTACGGCTTGAACGGTACGCTCCCGCGCTACGTTACCAGGTCCGATAAGCAGCTCTCCACCTCCAATCTCATCTCTCGTTACCTCGGTCGAACCGTCTACTACCTAGTGGGGCTGCGCGACAAATCCGCTGGCCTGGACAGCTGTGCACCCAACTCGCAAGGTCTCGGCCATCTCGACAAGATGTACTACTGGACAGAGCAGATCGTCCCCAACCTTCCGGGCAGCACCGGTGTGGATGGCCAGTTGCCGGACAATAACCTGATGCGCTATGTAGAGGATACGGGGCATCAGGATTGGAAGATCATCACCTCGGATCCTGGTGTAGAGACTTTGTGGTTGAAGCAGTGGAACGCGGATGGTACGGATGCCAATGCTCCGCAGAGCGGAGGTACGGTGGCGGGGCAGACGCCGAGTAGCAAGACAATCGCAGGGATCAGCAACGGCGCAAGGGCCGTTGGAGGGAAGGGCACGGCAATGATTTCGGCGGCGCTGGTCGCTCTGCTGGTCGGATTGGTGCTGTGAGCTCTGTCCAAATGGGCGTCCCGCTGTTCTTCGTTGCATATTTATAGCATAGCAAAGCATTCTAGAGATTCGTACATACACTCAATTGTTCTTTTTCCCATCCAGTCACCCCTGACAGCACCTACAACTTCAGGTTTGTGCCGGGCTGTTTGGAGGTCTCATGACCTGGACTCATGTATTCTAACCTTGTTTCTCATCCTTGCAAAATTTAGATTCGCCCTTTGTTGCTCACACTTTGATGTTGGCGTCGGCACGGAATCGGTGGCCTCTTGCTATGCTCATGCGAACTGTTCAAGGCATGCGCAGGCGTTTTGTGATGGAAAAGCTTGATTTTGGCGCTGAATCCTGTCAAGTCAAGTCTCTTCCGTCTGTGCACCAGTCACAATTTCCGTCGAAACGCTTTTCCCATCCTTCTTCTCGGTCTCGGAATCATCCTGCATCGACAAGCCGCGCAATGAAATGGTGGCGTCTTCATCAACCTTTTCGATCTTCTGCGTGCGGTCCTCCGGATCGCCTTCTTCCTCTTCGTCTTCTTCTTCCTCCTCGTCCTCATCCTCATCATCCTGTTCCTCCTGACCGGAGCCTTCCTTGACCCGTTGCGCAAGCGTAGTCCAAGCAGGAGCATCGGCATCGCCTTCCTCGTGATCAGGTCTGCTCAAGGTCGCCGTAGCCCTCGGACTAGGTGCCGGTGGTGGAACCAAGCCTACCGCATCCACCTGTTTCGCTGTCGACGACGACGGCGTCACCTCCGGTTGCAGTTGCAGCTGCGGTCCCTGTTGCAAGCTCTGGGCGAGCGAGGACCGCATCGCTGCCGTCCCGCTCCTCTCCCTCTTCGCTGTGGTGCCGTTTAACGTGAACAAGGGTGCTGACGAAGTGCCACGCGAGAACTCGGCTGCGTCACCGACCTCGTAGGCATCTGCATGTTCTTGCGCATCGCTGGCGTCCGACCCTTGTCCGGGTCGTGGAGGCAAGTTGTCTGTCGCTGTGAGATCGTATGTCTCGACGAGGACCAGGAAGCGTGAGTAGAGCGAGGTTTCTGCCTCGCACGCAAGGAATGTGTCTTTGTGGTAGCACCACGCATGAACAAAGATGCGGCTGAGACGTCGTGCGATGCTGCCGAAGTGACGAAGGCTGGTGTTCGGAACGTAGGTTCGACTTGGGAAGTGGCGTGCCGAGTTGAGGAGCGAAGTGGCGCCGTCGAGAGTGTGAACCATGTAGTCGATGGCACAGCACTGCTTCTCCTCGCCGTGAGAGGCGCAAAGGTACATCCAATCGCCCGCATTCATGGCGGCGCAGGTCTGAGGTCGAGCATGTTTGTCGCACTCCTGTTGGAGAGAGGTGAGCCAAGGAGTGGTGAGGTCGAGCACGAGGCGACGGAGCTGCTCGTAGACCCACACGTCGGTGTCTACGTTTTGGAGCATGCCGTCGTCTTCGGGCTCGTCCTTGGCTTTGCCCTTGTCTGCATTGAGGGACTCGATGTCGGCTTCGGTTGGCAGTGAGGTGATGAGTTCAACGTTGTGTGGATCGCGACGCACCAGCATGGCGAGGTACTCTTGCAGCTGAAATGCACTGTCACCGCCAGAATTGCTGGAAGAGGCCTCAGACTCGGACGCGTTCACGGATGATGGAGAGGACGATGATGCTGGCGAGAAGGTAGACTGCGATGTGCTGCCTTTTGATTCTGACGATCCGGACGCAAACCGGCTGAGCCTCTGCTCGGACAATGAGACGATCTCGTCCAGCTTTTGACCTCGGCGTACGCGGTGATGACTTGGTCGTGGCAGTTGCTTGGTCGGCATCTTGTTCGGTGCTGCAGTCGACTGCATGCTTTCTGTGATGCTCATGATGATGTTTCGAACGTCACCGTGAACGGAGGCAGGTTTGCGATAGTGATGATGGTGATGGTGAAGAGCAACGTGGAAGTTGATCAAGATTGACGCCCCCACTTTTTTCGGCGCTTGCAGATCGCTTTGTGTCTCTTTGGAAGGCCGTGATGCGCACCCACTTTCCACGCGCGTCTCGGCCTCTCCCGTTCTGCCTCGCTGCGTGTCGTCTGAGCCGGAACCAACACAGGGGTCAAATGTTTCGTCGATGCGCGGGGTGGCTTTGCCGTTCTAACATCGTCATCGCGAGAATTCAATCGGGTCAGATGAGGGAGGCAATCTCGTTTTCTCACTATGTCGCAATGCATTCCAATCTCCGGACAAGCTTAACGCCGGCTCCACGGGAAATTTTGAGTTTTGGCCTTGCAGCAGATCCGTTCACTGTTCTCGGCTGCCGAGGCTTCACGTGTTCCCGTCCATGCTCTGCACACTCAGCCAGCCACAAAGAAACTGCTATCGTCCTCAGAGAATTCAGAGAGAGACATTTATGCATGACTAGAGATCAGCCAACGTTCAGATTGTGACACAGCAAGATTTGACGAAGACCAGTTCAAGTAGCAAAAGCACAGATCCAAGTGCATGCGGCGGCAATGCCGATGTGTGCCAAACCGAAAAAGCGATGTCTTGTGATTTCCACGGGCGATCCAGGGTCTCGTTCCGACGCTGCAGCACCGCAGCGAAGCCGCGCTTGACGGCTGTAGCAATCTCACGACAGCAAGCCACTTTCAATGTAGAGAGTCCTAGTCACCCGCTCGGGACACTTCCGAGAGGGGAGAGTCGACCTACGGCTCTGCTAGGACGCCCTGACGGACAAGTCAGGCACGAATGCTGTCTTCGCTTACCGCGCCGCTTTTGCTCGCGCAGCTCGCCCATTCTCGCTTGCCTTCTGTTGCTTCGTTTGGCTTCGCTCTGGTTCTGACTGCCCTTTTGCGATTGTCCACGTCGACACTCCACCCAGGAGACTTTCGACGTCCGCTGTCGCACAGGTTGGAACAACGCAGATCATGCAGCCCAGGCTTTCGCTGTCGCAAGGCATTCCGGCGCTCGAGTCGAATCTGCTTGACAGCTCGATGTGGCTTGTCTGCCTCCGTGGAAAAAAACGAGTGTGGAAGGAATGTGCGCTCTGTGCGTTCGGCTGAAAGCGTCCAAAATTGTGGCTCAGTCACTAAATTGAAGGCTCTCGTTCGCTATCTTTGACTTGCCCCTCCTTCCTGTTCCACCATCTGTCCATCTTTGATCATCCCCGCCTACCGTCTTGGCAGCGCCATAGTCCATTCTGCTGCAGAGCCTTCCATGGCTTCTCGGTGAGAGTCGTTGCTGCATATACAGCGCTCTGCATCGCACACCTCTTACTACGTAAAGCACTCGTCTGCGACAATCAATCCGGATCACACCGACTTTCTGTCATTCTCTCCTGCACCGTCCGGCTGCTTGTTCTCATCGACTTCGTTCAAATCAGCTTCGTTCCAGACCGCTCTGCATAGCAGACCTTATTCTTCTTCACTTCCGTTCCGCGTCCCACGTCTCACCAACATGAGTGCCTACGACTTCAACCTGGCCAGCAATGGCGCCATGCTGCCGACACCGCACCAACAGCAGCAGCAACAATCACAGCAACAGCCTGAAGGTGTTCGACCACCGCCCAAGCGTCGCAACCGTAAGGCCGTCTCGTGTGTCTCTTGTCGAGAGAAGAAGATCAAGTGCGATCGTGTCGTCCCCTGCAACCAGTGCATCAAACGTGGCGAACAAGACCAATGTCGTATTGAGCAAAAGCCCAAAATTGTTCACGATCACGCCCACTCGCACAACGCATCCTCGCTTCAGCCTCAGTCCAACTATGTCGACCCTCTGTCGCCCGGATCTGCCGCATATACCCAATTTAGCGCCGCCATCTCTACTGCGAAAGATCAGGTCAATGCCGCCCAGTCGAGCGGCAGCCCACCGCCCGCAGAGGTCGAGGCCATAAAAGCACGCCTCGCGCAGGTTGAAGCTTTGCTCGCGGGTCAGATGCCTCTGTCCAGTGCCAATGCCCTAGCGCCCTCCTCGCCGGCCGGTTCCTCCAACTGGAATGCGTACAGGTCCTCCGGCAGCTCCGCCCCAGCCGAGCTCGATCTCTCGCGCATCAACTCTCACAGTCCCTCAAGCTCTTTCCCTGGCTCGCATCACCACTCGTCCACATCGCCGCATGACCCATCAGAGGAAACAGATGACAGCGACCAAGACGATGACACCGCTCCGTCCAGCCCTCGTGCCGACAGCCGCAGGGTCTCGCCTTCCAACCGGCTCAGGACAGATCAGATGCCCATCTCGAGAAGGGAGATGGATAGCGACACGGAAGATGCAGCCACCGTCCTCGAACGCCTCGCTATGGACGGTTCTTCCGAGAGGTGGAATTCCGCCACCAGCGGTTGTCCAAGTCAGAATGCTGGCTCTGAGACCGCCACCGGTCAGAAGTTTGAGCGATGCAAGGAGGTAGAGATGCAAGGCCTTGCAACTGGAGACAAGTTCGAGAGATGTCTGCAGAAGGACAAGGAGGTCGGTATCATGTCTTTGCAGGACCATGCACCGATCAACGCCACGTCGTGCCCGTCTCAGACCCAATCCCCAGACAGTGTCGTCTCGCTTCCAGCTCCAGGTGGGCATGGTGCTGCCGGCATGCTACTTCCGCCGCTCTCGAGAGCTCAAGACCTCGACGCAAACGGTGACGGTCATCCCTCTTGCGCTTGCCGCGAACCCAACGTTGAGGACGACCCATCAACACACAAGCACGACCACACGCAAGCCTACGAATGCCTCAAGAAGAACGAACCCTTATCTAAGGAACCATCTCCGATCACAGTCCCGTGTAAGCTTGCGTGCGAGAACAAGGGTCTCTTTCGTCTCAAGAGTGGTCCCGAGACGCTCTTTGGTTGGGGCATGGGTTGGGCCTGGTCTGCCGGCGAGATTCTCGTTCAGCAAGATCAGCAGAAAGCCAAACAGGAGGGCAAGACCTTTGTCTCCGGTCCTCGCACCGAACGCGAGGCTGTGCTGCGTGCAATCTGCGAAAGTCTCCCTTCCAAGCAGATGGCGTATCAGCTCATCGAAGTCTACGAGTCGCGCGTCCGCTACCTCTGCGGTCACGTCGTTCACGTGCCGTGCCTCAAGCGAGAGATGGAAGCTTTCTACGCCCTCGACTCGACCGAAAAGCGCGCTCGGGTCGTCAACCACGTCGATCCCGGCTGGCTCGGCATGTTCCTCATGGTTCTCGCTCTGGGTGTCCGTTTCTATCCCTGCACTCCCAAAGCCGGGTGGCAACCGGCCAGCCACCTCTTCGATGGCAAGACCATCCACGCATGGCACTCGGCGGCCAAGTCCTGCCTCGTCCTCGCAAATTACCTCAACTCGACCAGCATGAGCGTCATTCAGGCCATCTTGCTCCTCTGCCTCTTCAGTTCTGTCTCTGCGTCCAACTGTGGCGGTGAAGCCGACTCCGGCTCCACCAACATCGCTCTTCTTCGTGTCGCTATCACCAACGCTCAGGAGATGGGTTTGCACCGTCTCGGTGACCTTGACAAGCAGCCTCAGCCGAATGAAGCTTCCTCCAAGATCATTCGTAGAGAGATCGCCAAGCGAATTTGGTGGGCGCTCGTCTTCCGCGATTGGAGCGGCGCCGGTACCGGCTGCTCGAAGGATTACGTTGTCCGGGCTGAGCACTTCAACACGCCACTTCCAGGCAACTACAACGACGACGATCTCATGTCTACGCCGCTGCCTCCGCCTCGACCCCGCGAAGAGTTCACCGAGATGTCGTACGTTCTGTCCAACCTCGAGTTTGGCATGGTGGTCAGGGAGGACGTCGATGTTCGATTCCGTCGCGAACTGCTGACAGCTACCAACGGTGGCGACCGTCGCTTGACCTGCGTCGAGGCGCAAAAGCTCGACGTAATGTACCGCAGCGTTCTCGAGCATGCTCCTAGCTTCTTCAGGGTCGGATCCGAGATTGGTCGAGTCACATGTATCGAAGTGCAGCGCTGGTTGCTGCAGCAGGCCGTTTTCAGCAAGCTGCTCCGCATCCATCGACCCAACCTGTCGAGCCGAAAGGAGTCGCGCACCAATTGTGTGCTTCTGGCCCGCTCCATTCTCGACATGCAAAAGAAGATTCGATCGACGTGCACGGTCATCGACCGTCTTTGGGTCAACCTCATGCAGAGCTTCTCGGCAGCCATTGTTCTCGCGCTCCACTTGCTTCACACGCGACCCACCTCAGAGCACCGTGTTTCGGTGCGATCCGAGATCTTGGAAGCCATCCGCGCTCTCAAGCAGGTCGACGGCAGCGATTGCGCTGCAAAGAAATGCATCCGTGTCATCGAGGCGCTACTCGAGGAAGAAGAAGAACGATGGCAGGCTGGCAACGCAGCACTCGCACGCAAGGACGGCAGTGCGCCACAAGAGGCAGTCAAGCCCAAGCGCAAGCGTCAGATGGACGTCGACGGTGGCGATGACGAGGCGATGGCTGTCAATGGCGGTGGTCGCAGAAAGAACCTGCTAAGCCTCGCTCAGAGGGTTGCGCAGGCCACCCGCGAGGACAGCTCTTCTCAGCAGCGCCAGAGTCGTGCTGCCGCTGTCCCCACGGACGACCCTTCCAAACGTCAAGCCACCTTGGCCGCGGTCCGATCCGCATCAGGCTCTCAGAACAACGCTGCGCTCGAGGTGAACGGCGTTACAGCGCTCAAGGACGATGCTTCCCTGTTCCTCATGAACAACACCACGCTGCCGACTTCCGGACCTAGCCCGCTTCCGAGCTCCGGCGGAAATGCGAACGAGGTATCGTTCCCTCAAATGCTGCACACGATGCCGTTCCCGAGCAACCTGTTCAACTTAGACAGCGCAGATGCTTCGCAGCGCATTGTGCCGCCCAACGGTGCGGATCTGATGCTCAACAATCCCATCACGCCGCCCGGTCAGACGTTCGATCTGGCTGCTTTCCTGGAGCAGGTCACCAACTCGCCCGGCAGCTCCACCGACTTCAGCATGTCTTCCGGCAATGAGGAGCGCTCCGGTTCGACTTCATCGGATGTCTCTGGCTCGGCATTCGGCGGCAGCACCGTCAGCATCGGCGATGCTACCGACAACACGAGCGTTTCCAGCTTCGGCGAGCCGCTCCTAACTAAGGAAGCCATCCGTCGACAGCAACAGCATCTGCAAGCCAATACGACGGGCACTGTCCTTGGCAGCAACGCGCCCGCCCGTCAGGCTGATAACGCGGCTGCGTGGACTACGCAAGCTAGCTCGCCCGCTAGCGCTCGTCCCGACCCGACCACCGACATGGACTCGTTCTGGAACTGGATCATCACGCAAGGTGCCAACGGCATCACTGCCCCTACGACGGCACCGGCCAATCCGACGCAAGCTGCGCCTGTGCTGGTGCAGCCTCCGTCCTCTTCTGCCTACAGTAGTAGTGGTCTGCCCGTATCGAGCGAGACCACCTCGGAAGCATCCCACAGGCAGGCACCTCAGACTAGGCAGTACGCAGCAGCTCCGTCCACCTTCCCACCCACGCCTCAGTCTGTCCACAGCGGCCTCACACCATTCCTCGGTCCCAACGGCTTCTTCAACGGCACCAATGCCGAACCGAGAGGTACGAACGGCTATCCTACTCCAAGCTCGCTCGCGTCCACCTCGACGCCCCCCTCCAAGTTCGGCGCAAGCGGCAACTTCGATGCAGCACCCATCCTCGCCGCAACACCGGAAGCGCAGAAGGGTGCGGGCGCTGCAACCGGTGCCATGTCTGTAGGAACGCCCAGCGCAGGATTCGGACTGGAAGCATTCCTAGGCGCCCCGCTGTACGATTTCACCGACTTTGCCAACGCCTGGACTGCCTCGAACCCGGGCAGTGGTGCGCCGGTGGGCTCGAGCATGGGTCCGATCTCTGATCCGTAATCTCTTTCTTGTACACCAGTTTCCTGTTCTTTGTACTTTTATTGCTGTGTTTCTCAATGTTGCAGCTCGAAAACGGCTATGTGTGTTGTTCCAGATGAGATGTTCACGGAGTCGTTTGCGATGTGGCACACGCACAGACATTCGACGCTCGAAGACACACGAGATATTATGAGAGAGAAGCATTCCACAAAGCTTTTGACGGGTCTACCAATTCTGAACCCAACCTTGTCTGGGTGGCACCCTGAACACCTTGACGATGCCACTCTTCAAATCGTCCAGCCTCAAACTGACCTCTTCCGGGAGACCCTTCCTAGAGCTGGGGCTCTGCAGCACGCACCTGAGCTTGTTCTTCTTGCTCTCCACCTCTACCACGATGGCAGGAGTGGGTTCTGTCGCGCCCAAGGTGGTGTGGTACGGAGCGAGACCTTTCTTGCCTCGGAAGTCGGCCTGCGAGCAGAGGACGATGTCGCCGGGTCGAACTTCGTCGGCTCCCGTGTCCATGACGGTGGGTCCGACTTGGGTGAGGATCAGCGCACCGAGTGATGACCCGACTGGAGGTAGCGAGGGGGTGGCCGAGATGATCTGTTGGACAAGCGCGCGCGGGGAGCCGTCGCCGATCGGAGCGTTCGACTGCTTGGCGGAGTCCAAAGCGAGTTTGGCAATGTGGGCACCAATCGAGGAGGACCACTGTTTCAGCTCTGCACTTGACGGCTTGGACGGTGCAAAGTTGTGTCGTTGCGAGAGCGAGGTGTGCGTCTCTTCGTGATCATCGTCTTGGAAGCTCAACGAGATGACCGTGGTGGAATAGTCCTCGAACAGCATGTACACGTCAGCTCGATGCACAGTTACGCCGGTGTCGGTGCTCGAGGACGTGTCGGCGTACAAAATCGCATCGGGCCGACCAGCCACCGTCGGCGGCAGACGCAAAGGGTTGACGCCGTGCCTCCACCATCGGCTGCTTGGCATCAAATCAAGGTCACGAGACGACTGTCGCGCGCCGACATTGACGCTCATGGGCGCGTTTGAAGCAGCAGGCGTCGGAGGCAGGCTAGCTTCCGTCCTTGCGGGCACAGATGCGCCCGGCAACTCGGTCGCGGGCGTCGTGTTCGCCGACGGCACACCAGGCACGTCTGAATGGCCAACTGCTCCCATCGATGTGTACGAGGCGGAAGAGCCTTGACGACGGGGTGGCACACCAGCAGCACCGGGGAGTGGTGGTGCCCTCGACGAAGGCCGAGGGGGTGGGCTCACAGGAAGGGGAGGTGGACTGACGGGCAGAGGCGGAGGGCTCGTCGCTAGCTCTCGATCTTGAGCCAACTCCTGCTCTTCAACGGCCGAGGACTCTCGAGAGTGCGCGCTGATACCTTGCGGAACGGGTGGCTTCATCGAGGTGCGCCTTCCCAAAGCACTGTTGGCCGGGCTCGCAGAGCGTACTGCTTCATCCAGACTTGGCATAGGCACCGTGCTAGACGGTCGACCAGGCGGAAGCGTTGGCGGCGCACTCACATTTTCGCCTGCTGTCGGAGGCAAACGAGCGGGAGGTGGCGGCGACATCGGCTTGGGTGGCGGGCTCGTGGGAACAGGCGGTGGGCTTGCAAGTCGTGCCGGGGCTTCGGCGCCAGCAGCATCCGGCGACTTTGCTCTCTCCAAGGCGTCATCCTCGGCCTGTTGAGCATTCATGCCAGGAACGGCAGTGAGTCCAGGAATGGCCATCCCGCCTCGCGGTGGACCTCGAGGGGACAGTTGCCCGTCAAGTTCGCTCGGCTCCTCGGCACCATCCGCCTGATTGCTGTGCTCTTCCGTCTCTCCCGCATCCTGCGCAGGCGCTTTCCTAGCAGGCATGGGTGCACCCATGATCGGAGGAGGAGCCATTCCGGGGAAAGCGCCGATCCTTTGACCGCCCAGGGCTGCCATTCGGCGAGCAAGGTTGGCTCTTCGTTGCGCTTCTTGCTCCTCCTCTGTCAGCTCTTGTTCCTCCGGTTGATCGGAAACTGTCGCTTCTGATGCATCCACGCCATCGCCCGCTGTAGCAGGAGCATCAGCAGCGGCCAACAACTGCTCGTCTTCCGGATCCTCCGTAGGTACAGCCATGCGCGGCCTGGGAGCTGCGAGGACAGGACCTGCTTCGTCTTGCTCGACTGAGCGAGCTTGTGCTTCGGGCTCATCGACCTCATCGGCAGCAGCTTCAATTGGCGTTGGCAGAACAGATGTCGGAATGGGCGGAATCGCACTTCCGCGTCTGGACGTGGAGGCGGGAATGCCAGACATCGACGGGCTCTGTGCACGAGCAGCAATAGCATCTTCGTGATCGGCGGAAACAGGAGGTGGTGGCAGAGTAGTTTTGGGTACGGGTGGACGAGTGCTCGGTGGACGGCTAGGTGGCTTGGGAGAAGTCAAGTCCTCTCGAGGCACGTTCGGAACGGCACGAGGCTGACCGACTTCTGCTTCTGTTCCAGGAGACTCGTCTTCGATGCCACGCGCGGCTGCCGAAAATTCGGGTTGAGGAGCAGCAGCAGGCTCGACCTGATCCTCGTAGAAGCCCTCACCTCGCAGGTATTCTTCCAGCTGTCTCTGGTTCTCTGCAATCTCCGGGTCGCTTTCTTCGAGCTGCTGTTCAGCATCGTCGTCCCGATGCGTAGCAGTGCTTTCCGCCTCAATAGGCTCGTCGGCACTGGCAGCCTGAACGGTCGTCTCATCAGCCTCCTGGTCAACGCGTTCAGCTTCCTCTTCTGGTGTAGCAAGAACGGCAACCGGATCGGCGTGATCCACAGCAGCCTCTGCAACGTCTTCCTTCTGATCAATCTCGGCAGCAGGATCGGCGGGCTCGCTCGCGTCGGCAAGAGCCGCGCCTCCCGCAACACCGGCAGCAGCAACACCTGCAGCGAAGGCGGCGGCTTGAGGCGCCGGCTTCCTCTTGCGCGGGGCAGCCGTTCTTCTGGGCACTGCAAGCACCTTTGGCTCCTCGTCGGCTTCTTGACTCGTCGGCGAGCGAACGTCGCTATCAGAGCTTTCGGTAGTGGCGGCAGCAGGGGCGGACGCATCCTTGACCTCATCGTTGCTTGTAGGGGCTGCAGTCTCAGCAGGGACGCTGATGCCGGGCTCAGAGGTAGTGCCTTCGACAGATCCGACGCTGGAATTCGTCTTCGTGCGGGCAGGAGGAGCGGGGGCCCCAAACGGTGAAGGACCCCCACCCATGCGACGAGCGCCGAGGGCTGCCATACGTTTCGCAATGGCGGCACGTCGCTCCGCTTCCTGCTCTTCCTCAGTCAAAGCCTCCTTCGGCTCAGCCGACTCTTCAAGCTCTTCAGTCTCTTTGACTGAGCCCGCTTCTGCGCTGGCGCCTTGTGCATCATTTGCATCGTGGTCATTCTCCTCGCTTGCGACGGGTTGCGCGTCTGACTGGGAACTTTCTTGTGCCGCGCTGGGCTCAGCCGTAGGCTCGTCGACACTCCTGCCGGACTCGACGCTCGACTTTCTCGCGGGAACCGGTGCTCCTGGAGCGAGTCCCATGCCCTGCATAGCAACGTTGCGACGATCGGCTCCGATCTTGCCTGGGGCCGCCGGCTTAGGCTTGGTCTGCGGAGCAGACTCATCCGCGGCTGCCTCGTTGCGTTGGAGGGCCGCCATTCTTTCCTTGAGACTCATCTTGATAGAGGTTTGCGCGTCGGCAGCACTGAATGCGCCGCCTGCGGCCGATGGTTCGCTCGAGGGTGTTGCCTCGTTCGTCTGCGCTGCAGTTGCAGAAGCAGCCGTCTTCACAGCGGCTGTTGTCGAGGCGGACGCTGAGGCGCCTGGAACGAGAGGCTTGGCCTCGTTTGAGGCAGCTGCAGGTCTCTTCCAGCCACCAGGCTTACCCTTGGGGACCGGAGGAGGCGCCGACTCCGCCGGCTTGTTGAACGCAGCGAGTCGATCACGGAAGGAGCTCGACATCCCTACTGGCTTCGATGCGACGGCAGGTGGAGACTTTGTCGGTGACGAGGCAGTGGCTTTCGAGTCCGGAGTCACTTCGGCCTTGGAAGCGTCGGCAATGCTACTGGCGGCAGCGCCACCTGCAGCGCCTAGGACAGCTGCTCCGGCTGCCCCCTTGGAAGCACCATCAGTAGCTTTGAGTGCGTCAGGCGCAGCCTCGGCTGCAGCGACAGCAGGTTCGGCAGCGTCAACTTGCGTTGCACTTGCGGCTGCGGCTTGGTCATGATCTTCATCGGGAGAGGGCGGTCTAGGCGGCAATGGCGCGCCGAAGCCGGTTTCTTCGGTCTCGCTCTTCCGTGCTGCTTCTCGTGCCGCTTCTGGGATCGGCTCAGCTTGATGCGATGGCGGTTCCTCTTCGACAACAGAGCCTTGAAGGCCGGCAGGAACTTCACTTGAGATTGCGCCGGGAGCAGAGGTCGGTGCTATGGCAGATGCAATCTTGGCTTCAGCTTCGTGCGATGGCGCCTCTTCGAGCTCGTCTGAAGGCTCGACAAAGCTGCCGGGAAAGGTGCCGTTCTTTGAGCCGTCGAGCGTCTCCCCTACCAGCCAGTCGTCGTCATCGTCGTCATCGTCGTCTGAAGGGTCGGTCTTTGGAGCCACGCCTGTGACACGGATAATTTCTCCTTTGGCAAAGGTGAGGTCCTGTTTGTGCGGACTCTTGTACTTGATTGTCGCTTTGGCGAGGTATGGAAACGACGGCATGACTGCACGTATGCTGAATGCGTTTCTCACTTCTCACTTCCTCTTTGAGATGGAGCAGAGGCAGCGCGAAGATCCACGATGGTGACAGAGTTAGTTGGACAAAGGGTACGGCACCAAGCTATAGAACGCATAGGAACCGCAGCTCGCAGCGGGCTGTGCTCGACCCCTGAAGCTGGAGGCTCAATACTCACTCCAACACACGCCTACGCACGGATCATTTGGTGGAGGCTGGACGTTAAAATGAATTGACCGCCTACCAAGTCAGTATCGGTCTAACACATTCGACCAATTTGTGCGTTGCAAAGGGTCTGGACCGACGCCCTCTTTTGAAATTGAACGACGTTCTGACGTGCTAGGATGCTGGCTCGATGCACGGCGTGCATCCGTAAGACAAATAGAGCTTGGCACTACGAAACGGCTTCTCCGAGCCCTTTCTTGATCAGCGCTCCTCTGCAATGCTGCTTCCGGACCTCTTCCATCATCATACCGAGAGCGACTGTCGACTTGGTTTGTGATGGATGCTGGGACTTAGCAAGCCGCGAACGATTCGATAGCAACAACCTAGAGGCGAGTAGAAGGAACGAGCGGCGCCAATATGTCGGCGGTACTACGACCCGTTAGAGCAGCGTTGAACCGAGCGCATAGAGCATTCAGCCTCGAGCTACAAAACGAAGGCAGCGTTGCTCGAGACCACCTCGCGTCGGAAAGGACGTTCCTGGCATGGCTTCGCACCAGCCTTAGCCTGGTCAGCATCGGCATGTGAGTTCCGCAATCATACAATTCAGGCTTTCGGCCGGGCCATCCGGAGCGTGTGACCGAGCGACAGGGCTGGATTCTGACCAGGTTTGCTTCTTCTTTCTCACATCAACAGCGCCGTGACACAGCTCTTCCAGCTACCGTCTCTCGTCGGCTCACCCGATGCAAAGCGACCTGGCGGTGCGAGCTACCTCGATTTCCAAAAAGATCCGGTGGTAGACTGGTCCGAAGCTGCACCTCACATCCTTCTCTCGCAGAGACTGGAGAGCATAGCCAAGCTTGGAAAGCCATTAGGCGGCTCCTTCATCCTGCTTGGTGTGATTGCGCTGGCGCTCGGTTGCTATAGATACTTTGCAGTCCAGTCGACTCTGGTTCGCGGCAAGTTTATACCCTCTAGGATCGGAAGTGAGTATGCTCCAATCCACCACACCTCTGTGATACCCACCAAGATGACTCTCTGACCGACTGTTCTGTCTCATCCTCGCTCTCGCTGATATCAGTCTCTGTCATAGCACTCCTGGTCGGTGCGCTGGTGGTGGCCGCGACCGCTGTGATACTCGCCGGACGCCATACATACTGATGCTTTGTGGAAGCAGTCGTCCCGCTTATCCAGCGTGTATACACACATAGAGCTTGACAACAATACAAGCCTTCCGCTTTTCACTGACGACGACAGACAATGACACAAGCAAGGAGAATGATGTTGGGATGGGTTAGATTGGTATATTGTATTGCTGTGGCTGCATCATATGGTCAAAACGTAAAGAATGAAACCGAGAAGCGTCCAGTTGGGTTGGGAGGGGATCCGTTTAGGAGTTGAGTTCCTTCTGGGCCTTGCCAGACTCCTGCTGGGCCTTGCCGGACATCTCCTTGGACTTGTCACCGGTGACGGCGCCAACGACGTTGTCGATCTTGCCCGAAACCTGGTCCTTGGTGCCCTCGGCGTAGCCCTTGGCCTCGGCCGCCTTGATCTCGCTCTCGCCCTTAGCGTGCTGCTCCTTGCCGGTGGTCTGCCAGTCGGTGGAGCCGGTCAGGTTGCCGATGGTCTCCTTGACGGTGCCAGCAACGCTGTTGTAGTTTCTGTGTTGTATGAAATGCGTAGTTGGAGAAGAGCGACGTGGTCAGATTGCCGAACGGAGTGGCATGATGAGGAAAGAGCCGTGTTGGCCGGCAGAGAGCACTTACCCGTTGGCTTTGGAGGGCTCAGACATTGTGAAAGTTTGTAAGAGTGTTGAATGTGGGTGTGAAGAGAGTTGGTTTGTGTGGATGGAGGAAGAATGTAGATACGAGTAAATGTCGAGCCTTATATGCTTTTTGGACGAGCGCACGTTCAGAGTACGCTCAGTTTACGGACAGGTCCTATGACCCTTATGTGGAGGAAAAGCCGAGGAACGGAGACCAGGGTTCACGGACGGGTTGTCGGATCTGACCCCTGAACCGGCCACGTCGATGGGTCGGGTAACGTATGACCTCAGAATGCCTCGAACCAGACAGCGCCGTACCCTTTGGCTTCAACAACGTCCAACCAGCATCGCCGCTCCGCAAAACTCCGCCCTTCCTTCGCACACCGGTCGCCTAGGCCATGCATCAAAATCGGCAGACGCTCGGCTTGCGTTCCGTATCCAACACCGTCACTCTGCAGCCGTCTGAGTCGTATTGTAGATCAAGACGGCCAACATGCATGCGCAACAACGCTGCAAAGTGAATACAGCAGTCCTTGCTGCCAAATCTGAATGGAACACAGCCCAGGCTTGACTGCGTCATTGCCACACCGGGAGTGTGCATTGCGCGTAGCTCGACTCTCCTCCCGGGTCAAGGACGTGATTCTGGCGGTTACTGAACATCCGGGCCGAATGTCAACCTCGCGGATGCGTACCTGCACAGCCAAGCTCGCTCTACGTCATTTCCGAGACCTCCCACAAACGTCGACATGAGCTACAGTGGAGAACGAGCCATGCGGCTGAGTCTAGACCGCGTCATCACACTTTTTTTGGAACCAGAGGCACGGTCTCATCCCACAAGAATTACCTCTGCCACACCTTTCCCGCTCGAGCCATGCACTGAATCGAACGAGCTGCAAGCCACCGGATCAATCGTTCGCTTCCGCTTGTGAGTCCGACACGAGGTACAGTAGAGTCTTGCATTCGATGACACGAACGGATCGCTCGTTCATTTTCACACTCCGAAGCCTTGCTCGTGTTGCTTTTCCCCACGTTTTTATTTTTGGCTCCCCCCCATTTGCTCGGGATGACGTCATCAACCAACGTGACGTGCGATGCGCTTTGGTATAGGCTTACCTGCGACTTCCAAATTTCGAAATCACCCAAGGCTGCTCAAGACCGCAACGTTGGCCCTCGGCGACGACGCATCATGATGGAATCGGGCGTGATGCACGCCACGGTGGGCCGTTGCATTCTCTGCGGCGATCGAAAGACGTATCCCGATGCATAGCAAGTTGTCACCCCACAGCATTTGCCGGTCATGCCTGCAGAAAGTGTTCGCTTGCGGTGTGTCTTTCAACAGATTGATCGACTGCGGGCGTTGTCATCCCGGTGCAGGACGCACCTCTCCGAGAAGCCAGCGCACTGCCATTGACCGAGGCTTTGGGGCGAGCTTAAGACGCACCTATGAGTCAGATAGAGCGCATGATCGACAACAATGTGGTCGGAGACAACGCATCCCGTCATAGAACAGCTCTCTGTCCGGCAAAGCATTCACAAGGTAAGGCGGAGAGAATCGGACGGTGAACTATGTTGCATTGAAAGGAGCCGTGATAAGCCGGCTCTCTGCATGCTTTTGGTTGGTGATGCTATGATGCCAAGGCACAGAGCGATACTCTAGTGATTGTGACCTTCATGAGCCTCTGGATCTTCGTGATCGGGCCAGTCCTCAAACCCATCCTCAAAGATCTCTTGCAGTCTGTGCTGCTTGTCCTGGACGTCCTGGAGGCTCGGATCGTTCATGATATCCTCCCACTGCTTCATCTCCTCGTCTGTGAGGAGACACTTGTCGAGCGCAGCGCGCAGCCTCTCCTCGCCGCCGTCGCGCATGCTCTTGCCGATCAACACGACCTCTTGCCTCCTGTCACCCCACGGTGCCTGGAAGTCCTTCTTGATTGCCTCTACAATCTCCTTATCTTGAGGCCACATATCAGCGTCCAGCTCGCATCGCCATCGTGCACCGCCTTGAAGAGTGAGCATGATTCCTGCTTGTGACCACTCGCCGAACATCAAAGGTCGTGTAGCTAGCCAGACGAATCCTTTGGATCGAAGCAGAGGCGCGAACGTCTCGCTGGCGTTCTTGGCTTCTAGACGGGCTTGAGGGTTGAGCTGAGGTTGAGCTTCGACGTCGTTGTCGGTTTCCGCTTCGTCCTCCATTTCTTCGTCCCCGCTATCGTCTTCGGCAGCTTCGTCGTTTTCCATGTCTTCATCCTCGTCCTCGCCGTCGTCGATGTACTCGCTCTGAATAACTACAAATACCTCGCGGATCGTCTCCCACAACCTAGCGGTGTGGAACGGTCTTCGTGCTTTGTATACAAAGCTGCCGATTCCATATTCTTCCGTTTCGGGTTTGATCTCTTCGTTGAGACTCTTGAGCCAGCCAGCTCCCAAGGCAGCTTTCTCGTAGCTGAACAGGTTGGTGTTGAGGATCTCTTTCAGGTCGATACGGCTGCGCGTGGTTGGAATGATCTTTGCGTCCGGATTGAGGAGCCGGATGAAAGCTCGCACCTTGTCCACCTCTTCCTTGCTCACCAGATCGCACTTGTTAATTAGGATCACATTGGCGAATTCCAGCTGGTCGGTCTGAAGGTCGGAGATGTTGCGATCGTCTTCTTCGGGTACGTCGTGGTCATCCTTGTGACGGTCGACGAGGAAATCGACGGTGTTGTAGTCGTTGAACAGGTTGACTGCGTCGACGACCGTGACGCAGGTGTCGAGGCGTGCGACAGCGGGAAGGCCACCTTGCTTGAGGATCTTGGCCACCTTCTCGTGCTCCGCCTTCTTCTGCGGGTCGGCGCGGATCTCGTCTTCGAGATCGTCGGCCATCTGCGTGTACATGTCGGCAAACTCTTCTGAGAACGTTTCGGCCACTTGCATCGGCTCAGAGATACCTGTGCTCTCGATGAGAAGGTAGTCGATCTCTCGGTTTTCGGCTAGAGCCGCGACCTCTTCGAGCAGATCACCACGGAGGGTGCAGCAGATGCAGCCGTTCTGCATCTGCACCACCTTTTCTTCTGCTTGAGTTACGCGGTGATTGGACAGAAGGGATGCGTCGATGTTGAGCGCGCCCATGTCGTTGACGACGACAGCAACGCGGAGACCATGGTCTCTTGAGGTAAGGATGTGTTCAAGAAGCGTTGTTTTGCCCGCCCCCAAAAATCCACTGAGCAGCGTCACCGGGAGACGATCGACCCTGGATCGCTTCTGCTTAGCCGGAGCGATAGCGTCTGAAACCCGCTTGCTTGTTTTCGATTGTGATGTCTCGAGCTTTGCGGCATCGAACTTGCCATCGGCGGTAAAGAAGGAGCTCAAGAAAGTAGCTTCCTTGCGCATCTCTTCCTTCGATCTTGGCTTCCTGTCCTCGTCAGCATCGACCTTCAGCGGTTCGTCCTTGTTGAGCAGCTTCTTGGTATCGAAGCCCCACTGTTCAAGGTGCGCATACACGAGATCGTTTGGCTCGATATCTCCTGCTTTGCGTGGCAAGATGTGGACATGCAGATGAGGAACCGTTTGACCAGCCGCTTCGCCATCTTGGATACTGACCGTCAGGGCATCGGCCTCAAACACCCTTTCCAGCCCCTTGGAGATCTCCTGGACGCTCTGAAACAGAGCAGCGACGATGTCTGCGGGAACTTCGGCTAGTCTGTGGTATGGCGTGGTGGGGATAACCAGAACGTGTCCCGGAACAATGGGTTTGAGGTTGACGATGGCAGAGCAAGAGGCGTCTGCTGAGCGGTAGAAGGCCTGATCGGTCACATCGAACGATGCAAACTTGACCTGTGCATCATTGCTCTGCTTGTCGCTGATCTTTTTGTCGTTTCGCTTGCCGGAAGGTACAGCTGGCGCCGCTTTTGGCGAGACTGCGATGGGTGCCATCTTGTCTCGGATCGTACTTCTTGGTCTTGGTGGAGAGATAGAAAGGTAGAGCCGTTGAAGTTGTGAAGCATGATCAGATGGTGCAGAAAAACCTTTTGAAGGATCCCTTGTGGTCCATCGAGCGGCAACGTCCTTCCTGCCTGCGTGAACTGCCTTGCTTGGCTGGAAGTCGTGGAAGCCAGCGGCAAAGGAACCTGTTCTTGCCCGAGAAGCAGGCCTTGGTCTGACCAAGAAGGTCGACCACGACGACCTTGTCGGTCGAGCAGCCTTGACGGTCATGCCATAGTCTTGTGCGACGATGCTTGGGAGGCTGCGAAGCTTGGTTGAAGCCGGATCCTGTGCGTCGACGGTGGGATGAGTGCGGAGTGAAAGCGTTTCGGAATGGCTGTCAAACAGAGCCAAATTCCGAATCGCAAGGGTCTGACCAGACTGTAGCTGCACAGAGGCTCGGCCAAATCAGAGACGCGAGATTGCAAAGGAGCGAGGACCCTCGCGGTGATCCGTAACCTTGATAGTCGCACCTGCCTCGTCGTCGGTGCTATCTCAAAGCCTCGATCAGAGCCGCCGACAGTCTCAGAGCAGAATGCATGCAAGTACTTCAGTTGAAACTCGGCTGTCAATCGTTCTCAGTGGCAACCCTATCAGTGACGGGTTGCACGAGCCGAAAATGAGCAGGGGCTTCCTGTGCTTGCCCAATCAGAGAAGACACTTTGATCATCGGCGCTACACTGGAGGTGGCAATGTCGGCACGAAGAACGTTTCGAGCAAAACAGAGGTATCATTATTGGTCGACAAGACAAAGAGCGAGATAGCGAGCTGATTACAAACGAGCTTTACAACTAAGTTACGGATCCGGACTCTGGGAAGTGTTCTCGTACCGTTCAAGCCTTGCCCATGACTGACTTGAGCTTGGCCATCCCCGACTGCTTGATCGATTTGACCTTCTTCAGGCTGGCACCATCCGAATCATCTTTGCTGTAGTCGGTGGGGCCAGACTTCTGCGATGCTTTGCCGTTAGGCGAGCCACCGTTGGCGGCGCCGTTTGCGTGACCGTTGCCGTTGGCAGCAGCGTCCGCCGTTTTAGCAGCCTCCTCGTCGTGAGAGATGACTTTCTCGGTGTCAGCGTCCAACGCTTTTGTCGTGTCTGCCTTTGAAGCAACGGGTGCCTCGTGGAATGCATCATCGCCATCATCCGCAGCACCGGCGGCAGCAGCACCACCGGCGGCGGCACCAGCAGCTGCACCAGCCGCAGCTTCACCGCCACCACTGCTTGCTTGCTCGTCGGCCTTTTTGCCGACATGCTCCTCAACCTCCTTAGGATCAGCGCCGCCTTCGATCTCCTCGATCTCCTTCTTCAGCGTTGCCACGCAAGCCTTGCGACCGACAACGTGTCGGATCGTCTCGCCGTCCTTCTGCTTGTAGTTCCATGTGACGACACCTTGTCCGTCGATAGTGCCATCGCGGTGGTACACGGTCTTGCCACGGAAGTAGGGTTCGTGCTCAAACTGAGCAACGCGAAGTTTCTTGACGAGCAGCTCCCGCTTCTTGTTCACCTCCTCATCCTTGCCCTTGGTCTCGCACCACTTCCGCGTCACTTGCTCGTACTCCTTGGCGATCTTCATATAGTTGTTCCACGTTCTCTTCTTGCCCTCCTCGTCTTTGGTCTGGTCGTTTTCACCCTCTTCGGGCTCGACGAACTCGAACTCGCTCGTGTTGTTGCCTCCCATGTTGGACAAGAGACGCTCCTTGGGCACAAGATCCAGGTCCTCTGGCTTCTTGGTAAATTTGACCTTGCTTCGAACGACAGGATCAAGCATGGGTCCCAGAAGCTTCCAGATGCCCGAAAAGATCCAAGGTGCGTTGTGGATGTAGAGCGTGCCGAGCGATTCGGGGTAGTAGGCCTCAAGACACTTGACGATGAAGAGAATACAGTTCCAGTCCATGTTCCTGAGACCAAACCCAGTCAAGTCGAACAAGAGCACCACCTTGTCGTTGGGAGGCTGCATGAGCAGACGGAACGACTCCATGGCGTAGATGACGTACTTGGACATTGAGGCTCCTGGCTGTCCCCAAGTCAAATGCTTCTTGACGTGGATATAGCAGATGGGCTGCTCGTTGTCCGTGGTACCCATAGCGTAGGTCTTGCCACTTCGCTGCTGGTCGAGGAATTTTTCGATCTTTGCGTTGCCCAAGTCGCCATTCTCGGCAAGCTCCTCGACGTTGTTGTCGAGACGCCACTTCATGCAACCGGCCATCATGGCAAAGGCACGCGAGACGTCCCACTTTCGAGCTCGCAGGAATCGCAGCACGTCCGTGTCGGGATTGTCCATCTTGACAAACTTCCAAAAGGTGTTTCGAAGCGCCGAAGCTCCGTAGGTATTGAGAAGCTCGTCGAGGGCGGCTTGCTCTTCACGAGCCTTGAGTTCGTCTTTGGCCTTGTCGTCCTTAGGGATGCCGGCGCCTTCTGGGCCGGACTTGTTCTCGTCCCAGCCACCCAGGTCTCCGCCGCTCTTTCCTTTAGCTTCTGCATCGGTATCATCGTCGGAAGCATTCTCACAGACTTCCAAGAACTTCATCCAAAGCTCTTGAAGCTTGCCTTCCTGCTCCTGCGTCAGATTGCCTGCAACCAGGATCGAGAAGAAAGGGCTATGTGTATAAGCGAGCAGGTTCTGTGAGATACTGGGCCTGTGCCATAACGTTGACAGTCTGAGCTAGCAAGCTATGCATCTTGTCCCCCCAGCAGCATCAATCATGACGATCGAGGGTCACTGTATTCGTGCAAATACTCACCGACATATCCTTCCTGGATTTCGATCTCTTTCTGACCGATTTCAACAACCATGGTGGGCCTGTCTGAAGCACGATTGTCGCTGAATGGTGAACACGCAATAAAAGGTGAGAGGAATGGATAGGCGCTGGGATGTGCTTGTTACACAATGTGTGAAAAGTTCGGTAGAGGGGTTGATTTCGAGACGTTGAAGGGGGAAGCGATTGTGCAATGTAGAAGGCAGAGAGAGTCCTCCGGCATATATACCTCCTGGACGATAAAGACACGATCAACGTTGCAGCCGGTTTCGGGCCAATACATGAAAGCCAAAGGGGGGTCCGAGCCCCATCTTCTGGTTCGTGCCACGCTCACGGCTAGGGAGCGGAGAGGCACGATTAGGCTGCAAGTGGCAGGTCTCGCGTAAAGGCTCGCTTGGCGTGCACACAAAAAGGCGGAGAGCGGATCCCGCGTATGAAGCTTGCACGCCGCTTCATTGGCAAGAACAGCGAAATCGCACTTGCTGGTGCAGCGGCTCCGATCAATTGGCATTGACGGCAGCCGCTGCTGCAGCACCTCACACCCCACTGTAACTGAAAGAGCGCAGCTGCGAAATGAGGCCCTGTAAAGTCTTTTCCTCCGCTCTGAGCGAGGGGACGTGCCCCATTTTGGCCTTGTGATTGCGTTCGCAGGAATTCGTTTCGATAGCATCATCGTGGCATGCGAGAGCTCATTAGTCGGCCAGTGCACAATTGATCAAAAAAAGCTAGAGGCCTATGCGAAGTGCGGGGCGGAGCTGTGACATCAGAAGTCACGGTCGAGCGGTGTTCAAAGTATGCTCCGCTGATGAGCCCAGGTTGAGGGAACTCGTTCGTTGGAGAAGATGTCAGGAGGAACAAGGCAAATCTTGGGCGAAGCGATAACCGAGCTGAGAATGCGTAGCCGAAGCCAATTCCAAGAGAGATGTGAAAGTTACGGCTTTGAAGCCAAGCACAAAAGTCATTCGATGGTCTGCACGCTGCCGCCCTTTCATTGCTTGAGGCTAACGACACAAGAGCCGGAGCGGGAAGGCTTTGATGAAGAAGCAATCGGCGAAGTGAAGACGCCTTTCTTGTACTCCACCTTGCAACCGCGGCTTGGGGCAGCGAGGATAGACACAACAGAATTCTTTTTTTCCCCGCATTCCTGGAGTGTAGTGCAGCCAGGAGACGAGTTGGTACCCCGCACCTCTGCTCGTCTAGCAGTGTTCAATGCCTTGAGCTGTCGCTCATACTCAGCGAGCCAAGCTTGCCGTCCTTTTCGAGCCTCCTCTGCTTAAGCCATCACAACCAAGATTCGTGCTGCTTGTGCCATCTGATTCCGGTACGCTGGTCATCGATTGCCAAGCAGCAGTCAGATCGCATCGGAGTTTCATTTTATGCTTTTCAACACGTTCAACACGCGTGACAGAGCTGCAGACAAGGTGTCCCTTCTGTGTAAGATTGCAAGTGCGTGACATTTGCCATGAGCATTGTCACGTCGGCACCGTCAAGTCGGTCTCTTCGAGATGTATCGCCATGTCGTCAGAGATCTCGTACCACCAGTTGATGCAGAGACACAGACCACGGTCGACGGCGCCTTGACCGTCGATGTTCTCCACTTGCACGTCTTGCTGTTGCGCCACGTGGTGAAACCAGCCGCTGGGAAGGTAGAGGGTTTCGCCCTCGTGAACGCGAATTTTGAGAGCAGGCAGAGCGTAACCGTACTTGGTACAGGAAGCGTGTCTACGAGACGGCAGCTGTTGGGACGAGGTCATGTTCAGATCGCGATGGACGAAAGGGGCGTTTCGTTTCGCATGCTTGGGCAAGGTGGGATCGATAGGTATCCACCTTGTGGTTGCGTCCTCGTCGTCCTTTCGCAGTCTCAGATGAGCACTTGTGCTGCCATCCGGTGCCGTGTCGTACACGTACCTGTACAGGGGAAACTCGTCGTCATCGCACAGGAAGCATCCTTCCGCTGGCGGATACACGGTGAACTCCTTCCAGCCTCGGATCACTGTGAAAAGGTTTTCATAGTAGTCACGATGCATCGAAGTGCGGGACGCAGAGGTCCCGATCCAGATGTTGGTTGCCTCGGGAGCCCGTCCAATCGCCTCGGTAGCCCATGACAGATCGCTGCGTCTGCTTTCTTTCGTGTCGAGCTGTCCTGCGTCTGTGTGCGATTCGAGATCACGCATCAGAGGCGACAGATCGCCGTACTCTTGCACGCTCAAGTTTGAGTTCTGGGATTGCAGGTAGGCGATCGTGTCTGCTTGGCCCTGTGCTTGCCTTGAGAGTCGCTTCAGAAGCTCCGAGAACGATATCTGCACTTCTAATGGAAGCGCAAAGACCACGTTGCCGTGCTCCGGATGTTCAATGATGTCGTCCGCCCTGCCGTCCGGGGTGATGGCCACCACGACGCTGCGATCTGGTCCCATGCATGTTTCCACGTAGCTCGTGTCCTTCCACTTTGCCAGTTGGGAACGGTGGCGCACGCAGTCGTCTATCAGGACAGGGACATGCTGTTCGATGATCTCTCCGAATTCGCTTGCCGAGGGCGGCTGCGCCAACCGCTGTGGCCAGTCCTGTGTAGGACTGTCTTGCGCAAAGGGGATCCCCTGCCGCTTGCGTGATTGGATCGCTCGATCTCGAAGCAGCAGCAAGAACGGATCATCGCAATCGTCACCTGTCTGTTCCATCAGGATGGCATCGACACTCGGTAAGGTACCTTGGCCGCACTGACGAAGGAAACGCTGCCTCGAACAAGGTTCTTCAATGACGGCAGGAAGAAAGCTGTGAGCTTCCGTCTTTCAGGGTCCACCGGTTTACAAAATCGATCGGCATCGGGCAAAGACCGAGGGGAGATGAAAGTCTAAAAATCTCATTCGCCTTCTCTTGGACGCACGTCGCGTGCCTGATCCGCAAAAGCTAGGTCGGATTTGCGTGTTTGGCAAAGAGGTGTTGGTTTCGAACAGCAACGCCTCTGCACGTATTGTGTGACTTGCAGAGGGTCGCAAGTCGAGCCTGTCGTAAGTTTGCTCGCTTAGCCAGCCAGCCAGTCCTCCACCTGCAGGTCTTGCATACAACACCGAAGCATCCTTCGTTCTGCAAACAGAACCCTGCATGCTGCCGAGCGAATTCGTGACAACCAGGATCCTTTCACATCAGGCTGCAGCGAAACATCTGGCTGAGCGAGCTAGTTTGGGCGCTCCCGATCGCTTGCATCAGTCAGCTGCTCAACCTCATAGCCGATGAATGCGCCCTCGAAACTAAGCTTGGATTTCGTTGCGGCTCTGCCGACTGTGCCTCCTTCACACTCTTCCACAGACTGCAGCTACGGTACAGCCCCGTACACATCCGCTCATCGATATCTGCATTTTCGCAGCGACCGCATACCGTACACGGAAGGCATCCGATGTCTCAAAGCCACAGACAAGGGGTTGCAGGGTCATAACAGCGGTACAGCTGCATCGCACGACCTGGATCGCGCATCTTCGCCACGACGGTTCTGCCGAAGCGTCTCATGTTGACCAGATCGACATGAACATAACATCGCCACCTCCGGTCATGGCCTCTTCCGCGCTCTCATCCACGAGCGACAGGCAAGCATCTCTATCTTCAGCTTCACCACAGGCTCCAGACTCATCCTCTCGACCAATGCAACAGCCAATGATAATGGAGCTGAGCTCCAGCACAAGCACCAGCAGCATCGACAGCAGCCCTTTCGATCAACCCTCTTCGCGACGACTATTTCACGACACGCCGACCGGGTCGCACCACCCACAGCTCGCAGGACTCGTCTCACCGACTCCGACGGGCTACATGCACAACGGGGTATCGACACCCACCACGTCTGCTGATCAAGACGTCTTTGGCAAAATCGATCACACACCGTTGCGGCAGGAGACGTACTCCACGTCACCTCTGCCAAACTCAAGGTCTTTGCAGATGGGCGATATGCTGGATCATGTTCTGGATGCAGACCAGTTCTCCAGGCTGTCAGTTGGCAACATCATCGCCCCCGAACGGAATAGCTCCAAGAAGCCGCCAAAACGACTTCCCACGGAGCCGGGCAGCATGACTGCGTCTCCAACCCCCGCCTCAAAAACATCGGCACGGCCTCGTTCCACGCTCACATCGATAACCGCCGCCAGCAACAACGCGAGCGCTTCTGGCGCGCATACATTCGGCAGCAGTCCCGTAACGAAGCCCTTCCAGCAGCGGCCCTATCCTCCGTCCGAGGAGCTTTTGATGCAGGTCAAATAGCATATGGCAGCCTTGCAAGAGAGCCCACAGACACACTGAAAAGCAAGCAAGACGTTTGATTTCGAGAAGCAGCATCATCAGTATTGTCGAGGTCGGATGAACTTTCATAGCACTGCCATATTGTCTAGGCGCCGATGTCGCTCTCCGACAGAGCCAACACCCCAAAGTCGCGAGCGAGCTCGTCAGCCTCGGCGCTGCCATCGCGGATTCCAAGCTCGGCGAAACGACGCTCCATCGACGCCCGGTCCTTCGAAGCTGCTCTGGGCGTCTCGTCGTCATCATCGTCATCATCATCCTCGTTGTCATCGTCGTCTACGTCGTCGCGTCTTTTACCGGCCGGCTTCTTGCAAGCAACCTGCTTCTGACGTTTGCCACAATCCACCGAAGTGTGCCCATGCTTTTTGCAAGTCGAGCATACAAGAGCTGGGCAAGTGTGCCTGCTGTGAAAGGGTCCACGTTCGTCGTATCGGCAGTGGACGCACCATGCAGGTCGGTCAGGAAAGAGCACCAGGTAAGCAACGCCGTCAAAGCTGAACCAGCCAGGGATCGCGGCGCGTGTCTCGAGAGGTACAACGCCGTTCTGCGTGAAGAGCTCGAGTAGGACGAGAACTTTGCCCTTGAATTGCTTCGACTCGGAGCAGTGGGCGGACCACACATCGACGACAGTGCCGGCCTTGCTGATTCGCGGATGTTCTTGCAGCGCAGGAACGAGAGCTCGAAGATTGGTTCTAGCAGGCAGCGTTTGGATGCACAGCGCGACATGCTTTCGGTCAGGCATGGCACGGTCGACGAGTTCCGGCTGAGTGCCGTAAAAGTCGAAGGTGATCTCGCCCTCGTACACTTTCATCACGTCGTCTCCGTTGGCAAAGATGACATCGACAAGGCTGCGACCGCCCTGCAGAGGTCGGATCTCGAGAGGAGTGAGATTGTGCTTCTTGCACATCTCGAGGATAGCTTGAAGCAGCACGTTGCGGTAGCTCGGCTTGCTGGGTCGGTAGCGAGTCGAGAATCGCCATCGGACGCCGCCAGGAGGCACGCCAGTCGTCTCAAGCTCGATGTGGAGATGCTTGCCGCTCATCAAAGGCTTGGTCCCTCGCGAGTAAAGGAGCTTGTACTCGAACTCGCTCATCTTGTCAAAGCGAATATTGTCGCAGGATAAAGGTCGGATGACCAGAAGCGAGTGAGCAGGGGAGAGGTCGTCCTGGAGGCAATGAGAGGATCAAGTGGAGCGAACTGACGGAAGGAGGCTGGATGGATCCTGAGGAAGAAGAGAAGGTGTGCTTATAACGAACAGACACGACCTTTGTCAGTCAACGACAGTCGGCCTTACTTGGCCATTGCATTTCAAGGAGGTCCATGCGTTCTTTGACTCAGCCATTGATCAAGTTGACCAGAGCCGTGCGCTTCGGCGCACGCTCGTGCTCGCGTCTGCGATGTGTCGCATGCCTGATCACTTGCGCAGCCAGGTGAAGACAATGATTTCAGGGAGAGGATGCGGTCCGAGCGTTGACCGCTCCGACAAGGTTTAAGCCACGAGAACATGAGATGAGATTCTTGCTCAGAAGACACCGCAGAGGAACCTGTATCTCATTTGCGTCTGCAAGTGAAGAGAGTTTGGCTGGGCTGAGCTGCGCTGCTCTGGTGGGACGCTCTTGATCGGCTTTCCTTGTCGGAGTTGGCATTCGTCAAACGGCGCTTGGTGCGTCTGAACGTTAGTGAGAGTGATAGAGAGTGTATGGATGTGACGACGAAAGTCGATAGCTGTCTAGGGGGACGAAAAGTGATCTTAGGGTGAAATACTGTATACCGGTTTCGGGCGTGGCAGGCGCTATAAGTTGTGAAGATGTGGAAATTCACAAAGCGCGAACCAGCACACTCGTGTCACGCAGCTCGAGTTAAAGGATTGCAAACATACAGCCCCAGAAGCACTGAGGAAACCAACCGAAGCTTAGAAAGTGACCGACATCTAAACCCGGCCACGATGCTGTGGAGCTTCGCACTGGTGATGTCGAGCTTTCTGAGCCTCTGCTTACTCTTATGCTTCGTGAGGAACTGCACACATACAGCGTGAGCAGGCTCATGGCGACCGGCCACGGCAGCGGACTCAGCCGTGTAAGTCCACGAGCGGCACGAACCACCTCCCTGAGTTGTTACTTGACCAGCTTCCACAGAGAAGTCCATCCGACATGGAGATATAGCTCAGTGGTAGAGCGTCTCGTTTGCATTAGTAAATCCAAATCTCGAGGAGGTACCGGGTTCAATCCAACTCTCGTTCCAGTCGTTTATAACAATGGTGGTGTGAGCACCCAAAATGTTGGCCGAAAAAGGTCGTGTCAAAAAGTGCAAAAAAAATGGAGACATGGGGGATTGAACCCCAGACCTTCTCGAGATTTGGATTTACTAATGCAAACGAGACGCTCTACCACTGAGCTATATCCCCTATCAAGCTGTTGCTTGTATACTAGTCGAGCTCGTGGAGCGTATATAAATTTTCCAAATTTTCGACATCGCTTGTAAGATGCTTGCGTTCCCGAGTCTGCGCGAGCTCTTGCATTCGTACTGTAATCATACAGGCCCTCTTGAAGCTTCACTATTATGCAAGTGAGAATTCGATAGGGAATGGCATCCAGGCATTGCAACAGTGATGTACGCTCAAACAGCTATAGACAACTGATCATTGTCGATAATTCAGATGCAGATGTCGTAGCTGAAGGAGTGTCGGGGAATAGGCTTTGGATAGTTTGGTCGCCGAACTCGCGGACAGTGACAAGTTCAGAAAAGACCAGAGGGATCTCCTGTGAGGGATCAACTCGGTCCCGAGCTGGCGCTTGTGCGCTACAAAGAGCGGAGATACTGACTGCTCTCTCAGCTCGTCTCGATGCGGGCCATCGGAATGAGCTCGAGCCTGGCGAGCTTGTAGAGACGAAAGGATAGGACCGCTGTCCCAGTCATCACTCGATTCACATCCTCATCATGAGTTCCGTTCTCGCTCGAGCCGATATGTGTGTGCGTCTGCAGGCCTCTGCAGTATCGAGTGGTGCAACTGTGGAAGATCGACATGGAAGATGCATTACTGGCTGGAAACACTACTGGACAAACATCTGCAAGACAAGAGACTACTGGACGGAGAAGCGAGGATTCGGACGAGGCAGACGGAGACAGGCCGACTATTTGGCAGAAGCAGAAGCGTTGGCGGTGGCAGCTGCGTTCATCAAGCTCTTGAAGGTGAACAGCGAGCCACTGAGGAAGCCAACCGAGAGGAGACCACCTGCGTACATGGCCTTGGCCATGATGGTCTTGACTTGGCGTGCTCGACATATCGAGGGTCTAACTGCAGCATTTCCTCGTTTGCGGAGGTACAGCTGGGAACGGCGCTTTTTGACGGGCGAGGGCAGCGACGAGCTCGATTCAGTTGCTGTAGCGGGGGGGCTAGAGTCGGGGGTCTGTTCGGACAGCTCGGGAGACGGGACGACGGCGGATTCGAGAGGGCTCGACGCTGCGGAGAAGGTAGTGCCCCGTCCAGCATTGGAGTCCGCAGCTTCATCCTCGTCCAGCTTGCGCTTGAGCGAAGAGCGGATTTGAGATTCTTCCGCTTCCGCACGCTCCAGCTTCTCAACATCGGATGTGTTGTCGGAAATAGTCGGAATAGGAGAAGCGGCTTCCACAGATGTTGCAGGGGAGTGACATTCCTGAGTCGCCTTGTAGGAGGACATGTAGTCCTCACCAAGCGTTTTGGCCTCGAGTTTCTCCCGTTCGAGCGAATCGAGCTCAGAGGCAGCCTCGATAACTTCGTGGACCCAGTGCACGGATGGGACATCGAAAGGATCGGTGCTTTCGTCCGAATCGCTTTCCGAGATGTAATCTTCGACGTCCTCGAGAGATGGAGTTTCGAAGGTGGAGTTTGCGACGGTGTCCAGCTCCTGCACATCGTCTCCGTCGCTAACCTCGTCCTCGCTCGTAAGGTCGATGGTGTGCGCGAAGCTGAAGGAGCCCGGTTTGAATGCGGTCGAGCCGATTGGCTCGAAGTTGCCGAGAGCTGGTCGGACATAACATCTGACAGGGAAGTAGGTTGTCTCGGAACGGCTACAAGCCCTGCCAAATTCAATCAAATCGCCGAAGTGCAGAGGCAGAACGCCGTTCACACGAGTCTTGGGAAGATAAAGGGCGTCGTCGATGTGTGACAAATCGACATTGCCGGTGAAAGTACTGTTGAACCGAGCGACATAAGTGCCATGAATTGAGCCGCGATCCTGGAGGATAAGCGAGCCGTCCCTCCATTCAAGAGAGGCATGTTCGCGGGACACGACCTTGGCACCAGGGAAGGATATGTCCGTGTCGAGGTTGTTGATGGGAGCCGCGGCCTGCTCGAGGCCGGAGCGGCAGACCGTACGAACGGTGCCAGGATCAAGGCGGAAGACGATGAAGTCTTGCGGGTCGGTGCGGCTGGTTCTGGTTGGGCCCGTCGGCGACGGGTTGGTCCATACGAGCTCCAATCCGCCCAGTTCGGATGCGGAAGCGATCGAGGACATAATGAGATGGTGATGCGTCAAAAGGCGAGACTGAGATGATGATGGTGTATGGAACCAGCTGATCGAGGAGGCAAGATAAGGTGGTCGCGCCTTTGGAGCGGAGTCGGACTGTGGTTGGCTATCTTCGACTCAGCCTTTTCACTTCTGCTTTCACTTCTCTCTTGTCACTGTGACTTTCTGTAGAGGGGAACGTGTCTCCGCACCAGCGGACACTGTCGAGGCTCCTCTTCTGAGCCTATTGCACGATCGGCTAAGTTCAGACAGAGTGAACGGCTGTCCCGAGCGCAAGGTAGAGCTTTCAGCACCGCACCTAGGCTGTCTCTCTTGTATGCAGGGTTTTGCAGGTGTTGCTTTATCTGAAAGGTTGGACCCTGAAAGTCCCCCTTTTTTCTCCTTCAGATAAAGACGGGACGCGCGAAAGAAAAATGCTGAGTCGGCGCAGGTCGCACGAGCCCACCTGATGCTGATTCAACTGGATAGCCACAAAGTCAGCACGGACCTCTGCTGCGGCGCCTCCGTCGTTCACCGTCACCCTCCGAGCCTGGCTAGATCATTGGCCGACTGGCACGGCTAGGCAGAGGTAGCCAGGGTGCTCAGCTGGCTAGAGAGAAAGAGGTGGCAAGCCGGCTGAGCAATGCGCAGCAAGAGCTCAGTTATATAAACCTTTCAATTCCCTGGTAAATTCCTTACCCCCTCTCTATTTCTTAGGGTCCGATGTGCCGGGCGAGGAGGGTCAAATTCCCTCGAAAAGGTGAACCTCCTTTTTGGACGTTTGCCAAAGCACAACACAGGGACCGTCATACTGCCGTACGAATGAACAGGCTTGAGAGGCAAGCGTGGTCGCCGAATTCCGAATCGGATGCTGGCATAGGAGCGTCTTCTCAGCAATACCATTGCATTCAACGGTCGTTTCAATGACGCTCCTCCGATAGCCACAATCATCGCTGCTTGGCTCGCACCACTGTGCTCAAATCACAATATGCAACTGTTGTGAAAGACCAGCCACCTGCGCATCTTCCAACAGCTCTTCGCTGAGCCGTCTCGGCCGCACACATCGTCGAGATGCCTCCGACACCTTCGCGCTCCACCCAGCGCGGAAGCGCTCGGCAGAGGCAGAGCTCCTCGCTCCTACCGCAGGCCGGACCATCCGCAAGCACCATCGCAGCAGCATCGGGCGGACGGTCGTCGGCGCAGCCAGCAAAAGGAGCCAAGGTAACACAGACGCACGATGCAGGAGCTGTGCCCTTCGTCCATCCGGCACTCGCCCTGTCATCCGGAGTTTTACCATCTTCTTCCTCGACAACAGGCATGCCTGCAGCAGCTGCAGCACAGATCCGAGGTCGACGCCCCTTCAATCATCGCAACCTTTTCGCCCGCGACCTGCGCAACCTCATGTATGCGTATGGAGATTCGCCAAATCCAGACCCAGACTCGGTGATGCTCATGGAGGAGATGACAGTCGACTTTATCACCGACCTCTGCTGCCGCGCTCGTCCGAGCCCCTACTCTCTCGGTCTGGGGACCAGCTCGATATCCAACAGCTCGAGTTCTTTCGGCGCTACACTCGAGCAACACGCAGCGGCTGCGCAGGATCCTAACGCCCTCCTCAACGGAACCGATGCTGTACCACAGACGCTACCACCACGAGCGCCGCATCGACTCCGTGTCAAGCTGGAAGACTTTCGACATGCGCTTCGCAAAGACGTCGAGGCCAAGAAGCTTGGCCGTATGGAGCAGCTTCTGTACGCAGACAAGGTCGTCACCGAAGCGAGGCGTGTCGGAGGTGTTGAAGAGGCCGCCGAACGCGCAGGTGCCATGCAGACGGACAACCTGCCTGCGCCCGCTGCGAACGCCGACGGACCTTCGCAAGATGCCAATTTGGAAGATCTCGATGTCGATGAGGATGATTCGCACGATGGAAAGCCTGCCAAATCTGGTAAGGGCAAGTCCAAAGGCGGAGGCGGCGGAAAGGGCGGCGGAAAGGGCAAGGGAAAGCCCAAGGGTGGAGCGGCTGCTTCGAGAGCTGGATCTGCCAGGTCTTCCGTTGCGCCTGCATAGCAATGTCTCACGCACGTCACACGATCGGACAGCTATCGATGTATTTGTATTGTTTGCAAGTCATTCCACATCATGACGGATGCTGTAGCTACTGTGCCGAGGACGACCGTTGGAGTCGCGCGATCAGGCGCTGCAGTTGTTCGCCCGGCACGTTCGCACTCGATGAGCCACCTCTGGACTCGAGCACTTCTTTCAGCAGAGCATCGCCTCTAGCGACGAACAACGACCTGAGAATAGTCTCCCTCCTCTTTAATTCAGTCACCTTCTCACTATCCGCACTGCTGATCTTTTCAAGTGCGGCACCGACATGATGCGCCGCGACCTGCCAAGCCATCCCCTGCCTCGCCGCCTTCGTCTCGGCAGCACCCGCCAGATACCGACAGTAATGCTCGAGCATATCCTCATCTCCGTCCGTCCAACTGAGCAGCCAATCCGCTACTTTTGTCGGCGGCATACTTCGCAGATTCTCGCTGTAATCGTTCCAGACCAATCGGCGGAAATCGACCGCGATGCCGTGATCCCCTTCAAAGATGCCACCGCAGCCTGCGTTGGCCACTGTCATGATCGCACGGGAGAAGTTCGCATCCCCGAACGAGACGGAATCCCATAGGCCGACGAGGTCGGTGAAAAATTGGTAGAAGGTCATGCTGCTACCGTACGTGGTGGATGTCCAGACGTCGAGTGTGACAGTGCTGATGAGGGTGTCCTTGGGGTGCTGTCTGCGCAGCTCAACTAGCTCGTCAGCGATGTCGAGGAGCGAAGTTAGGAAATCGGAAACGACCGGATTGCGGAACAGATCCCGGCCCGTGAGCGATCCGGTCTGCATCTGCTGCGCATCACCAGCTACGGTCTTATCCGTGAAGGTGTGGGGTTGATCCTTCTCCAGCATAAACACCTTCATGACTCCGAGCAGGATCTGCTCCGGACTTGGGAGGCTGCTGAGCATCGCCTTCGCTTCCGCTGTTGCTGCAACCCCGTCGTCACCTTTCAGATTGCATTGCTGATATCGCTGCAGAAGGGCCCGGAAGACAGCAACGGCAAGTTGGAGCGATTCTTGCACCATCTCCAGCTCGCTTGGCTTCCAGTCCTGGCCAAGGTTGTCGGGACGGTTGAATACAGTCGTGTTGCCGCTGTGAAGAAGATCGTCGAGTGGTAGCAGCGGCCAATCGGCTCGAATCGGTAAGCCGTTTGCGGGGCATTTCCACAGCTTGGAGCCGGTGATAGGATCGATGTCCTCTTCGTCATCCTCATTCTGCTCGTCGCCGGCTTCTGAAGCGCTTTGGGATGGCTCGTTCTTACTTCTGCTCTGGCACGAGCTCGACTTGAACAAGGACTGGACTTGCGACAAGGGCAAATCGTCACGACTTTCGACAGCTTTTCGATGATCCGTCTCTGGCATACGATTGGCTCCAATGACGCATTCCAAGAGGAATGGTTGCAAAGTGTGAGCAGGCGCGGATCCTGAGAGCGCCGTGGCGGCACTCATGACAATCTGCGCAACTCGACTCGCGTGTCGCTCATCGAGACGAGTGATCGCAGCCAACTGAAGCGTCATTTCAGCTTCTGGCGACGTGCACAATGTAGCAGCGACAAAGTCAGAGAACGTCTGACGGTAGACGTGTCGCCCCGACGCCATGGACTCTGGACTCTGTAGCGCTTGCCACAAGGTGCTGCTAGAAATCAGAGCCAGACCCTCCTGAAGCATGACGCTGCTGACCCCGCCAGCCGTTGAAGCGTTTGGCACTAGACTCGAGTTGTTCTGATCCGCGCGCGCCAGATTTAGACTGAAGTCGAGATATCTGTGACAGGCTCGACAGGCTTGCTCAGCCCCATCCAACGCCATTGCCTGCGTTGGCGCGAACGAGAATCGTTCGATGATCCTTCGAATGTGCCATTGAATAGGCTGTGAGCAATATGCCTGGATGGCGCGACATGGCTCGAGACATTTCGGCAGGTTTTTGGGCTCTTTGCGAGTAGCGCAGCGAGTCCAAGCATCGAGGTAGGCGCACAGCGCTCCCAACGCGGGTGCCTGGTCTGAACGCTCTCTTGAGCCAGTTGTTTCAATCTCTCCAGCAGCGTCCTTGACCGACTCGATCCAATCGCGAACTTGCGTCCATGTGATGTCGTGAGCGGTCATCAGTTCGTGTGGGTCTGAGGCACAATGTGTCCACGCACCAAGGATCTCAAAGATGCGTTGGGCCGCGGTGTTCCTCGCTTCGCGGATCCAGGCCTTCTTTGATGTGTCTTCTTCTGCGGCGCCATGGTCCAACAGGTGTCTGACAGCCCAAGAGCTGCCCGCTCGCCACAGATCCCAAGTGCGCGCAACGACCGATGCAAACAGGCCGTACGATGCCAGTGAGACGAAAAGCTGGACCACCTCGTCAAAGATCTGGTAGGCTACCACGACAATAGCATCACCCGCTTCGTCATCAAACGCCCAATCTTCTTCGACTTTCCAGGGCGGCGTCACCACGAAGCGCAAGAGATGCTCGATGCTGCCGCTCAGAACGAGCGATTCTGCGATCTTGCGGTCACTGAGGATGCCCTGATGTAAGAGTTGAACAGCTGTCACCGAAGGTAACGAGCTCGACTTTGGCGGTGTTGCTCCGGCCAAGGGACTTTCGACTGTGACCGGCGGCCAAGCGACCTTCAGCCCAAGGCGGATGACAAAGTCGCAGAACTTTGTAGGGTCATCCTCGAACACCCGCATCGCATGCGATGCAGAACACGACGCGATGCGGAAGAGCAATTCCAGCGCCAGCTCAGCCTCCCAAGTCGAAGTGATGATGCTGTCTGTCCTGTCCCAGAACAAAGTAAGGATGTCGGACTCGAGCATGACATCAGCCCAGTCACTTTGGATGCCTTTCTCGACTTCGCTAGCCTCTGGTCGGTCGGGATCATCGTCCCGGTCGCTCTGACCTGCACGGAGCAGACTTCCAAATTTGAGCTCCTGGGTGCATGCTAGTGGAGGCGAGGCACCCGCGGGCAGCGACCTCACTGCACTGACCAGGCACCTCAGAGCGGCTGCTCGCACCGTGAAATGCCGATCACCGAGAAGCCAACGAGATATGGAGATGATTCTAGCTCTGAGCAGCAAAGCGTTGTCATTGAGGAGAGTTGTTGCTGCGACGCTCATTGGAAGATTGTCTCCACCCCAGGTGGGATGATGTTCGCAGATGCGGGCGAGCACGTTGAGTGCGAGCTGACGTTGTGCTGCGACTGTGCTTCGAGAGAGATGTAGGAGCTCAGCGACAGTGTAGCCTGGAGCCTCCTGGTCGTCGCCGTGATGATGCAAGCCGGAAAGATACGTCTGGTCGGTCTGAACACCGCGTTCGATGGACGTTCCGGAGAAATCAAAGCGAAGGTCTTTCGACGCCGCTTGTTGCGAGGGCTGTGGCATCATCCATTCCAAGGAGGGATTGGGCCCTTCGGGCTCGCCCGGAAAGTATTGACGCTTGATGGCCAGCGGGCCTTCCCCATCCTCTTCTTGCGTGAGAGAATTTCCTCTCCTACGAAGGGTCGATTCGGATTGGACTATGCCCGACTCCGTGGCCTTTGACAAGGCGCGTTCGTTGACTTGCACTTTGCTTGTACTTTTCCGGTTGCGAAGAGCCTCGAGGACGTCCTTGCCAAAGAGATTTTCGAGACTGCGAAGCTCTTCCGATACCTCTGCCGTGCTCATCTGACGCAGTCTCTGATCGTTTTCGCGGGACACTTCGGACAGAACAGCGGTGATTGCATCGATGTCCGCACCTCCGCCAGGATCTCGCGAGGGATCTGGCCGGAACGATGTCACGTCTTGATCGTCTTTGCCAGAGCTGTACGTTTGAATCGATTGGATAGAGGGCGGTCTGAGTCCTTGACGGAGTAAGCGCGACTTTCTGAAAGCTGACATCGGCCTGCCATCCTCGTCAAGCCAAACTTCATCCCCGGCCGAAGCTGTTTGGCTTCTCTGATTGGTTGCCGACGTTGAAGTTGAGGGTCGTGTCAGAGCTGCTTGCGTTGCAAGCGCATCTTTTTGTGGCGCTTCGACGGTATCGATATCTTCGCTGTACTGGTGCTGGCGTGTCCTGTCAGGGTTGGGTGGGAGGATAGGTGTGATATGGTCGCGATGCGATACGACAGGGAAGCCTGTGCCGGGTTCCTGACCATCGGGAGTCGATTCCTGTTGAAGCCTCTTTTGACGCTGTTCCTCATGCTTCTGCAGATCTTCGTCCATCCTCCGTCGGACGACGAAGCGAGAGCCGGATGGTTTTGCTCGCGTGGATGCATGGGAGTTCGATCTCCTCTCGCCGACCGATCGCTCCTGGATACTGCCAACGACGGAACCGGCGAGATTCAGTGTCGCCTTTCGTTGCACTACAGGCTCTGCGTCCGCTTCGTTTGCTCCATGTGTATCGGCTGCAAACTGAACGGACCTTGATTGCGTCGCGGCAGGCTTGTGCTCTTGTGGCTGCCTCGCTGCGCTGCTTGGAGATGGATCGGACGGTTTTGGTGACGACGGATCTGCACCATCTTCTACCTTACGCGTGCGAAGCTTGGCTCCGCCGGATGGCGAGAACTTGCCAGAGGAAGAAGCAATGATAGGTGCTTTCTTGCGGACGACTGTCGCTGCGGCCGGCCAATCGGCGACCGACCCGAGTGCGGCTCTGCGACTTGACGATTCAAAAGACTCGTCGTCTTCTCCGAAGTCATCATCGAGCTCGGCCAAGTCAAGGTATCGAGGCCGGATCTGCTGCTTGCGTATCTGTCGCTCGTCCGTGAGAGGTTGCTGCGAGGCCATCTTGGGAAGGTACCTCCACCTGGGGATCCGTCCTGTAGAGTCAAGGGCACAGCTTGAGCAGAGGCAAAAGGATCCAGAAGCCAGCGCAGCCGAGACAGTGGCTTATACCGTCGTAGTGAGGCCCGATCGTTGGGTGCTGTGGGCTGATACTGACAGTGTCGATCGTGGTGAGCCCTTGATGGAGCGACATCGAAGAGGGACAAGGTTAGCATCTTCCAGGTCAGTAAAAATAAAGCTCAGCTCCGGAAGTCGGGGACAGGGTCCAGTCTGTTTTCCCACAATTTGAGGTGTTAAAGCGAGGACCATGACGGAACCGAAAAAGACGAGCGAGATGGCAAGGAAACGGTTAGGCGCGCTGCTTCAATCAACCCTCGATATCGCTTGATCAGCGTTAGACTCAACTTCCATCTGCATCGCCTCAGTGGATCCATCTGTCCACATCTTCACCCACACCCACACATACACACCCACAGCATGTCGCTTCTACGTCAATCAACCCAGGCGCTCCGTGCTGCCGCAAGCGCATCCTCCAGCGCACGATGGATGAGCACCTCCTCGGTGCTTCGCAACACAGCCAACCCCAACACCGCACCCGCACCGGCCAAGCGCACCGACAACCAGGGTCGGGACCTTGCTGCCGAGCAGCTCAAGCGTCACGAACAAGCTGTTACCGCTGACCTCGTCAGCAGCGCACCTGAGGAGCTGCACCAGCGAACCGTCAGAATCTTCCGCCCTGCCAAGACCGCCAACTCTTCCGGTAAGGCTGGTACCAAAGTGTGGCGTGTCGACTTTGACATCCTCCAAGGCTCCGCACGATGGGAAAACCCTCTCATGGGATGGGCTTCGTCAGGCGATTACATGCAGGGCACATCCCTCAAGTTCCGTTCCAAGGAGGACGCTATCCACTTCTGCGAGAAGCAAGGCTGGGATTACCACGTCACAGAACCCAAGACGGCTCGTATCCCACCCAAGAGCTACGCTGCCAACTACAATCATGTACCCGGCAAGCTCAGGATCCACCACACAAAGTAGATAGCAGACATGTGTAATCTCAACTTTTCTCTACCGGTTGTCTGAACTGCCTTTATATTGCAGCCGATGAGCATGCCTGCGGTTCGAGCGACGACGCTGCATTCGCTAGCTGCGAGCAATTTCGCTGAGTCGATGCAGCCACAGCGCTCAAGGAGACACTCAAAGCTTGCTGTGTCACGCTGATGAGGATAATTGCTCACATGTCTCCTCAGGGCTCACGTTTCGTCGATGCATGCTGGTATGGATCATTGCAGAGCGGAACAATTACAGAGGGAGGAAGTCTTCACAGATTGATCGTTCAGTCCATTCTCGCTTTGAGCGTCCTTTCGATGACCTTGTCTGGTGTACTGTGAGTGCAGACGCAATTGAATCGAAGGGTCAGTGACATTGTTCTAACACGGCAATGCTTCCGAATAACAAGCAAAATCGCGATAGGAGAGAAGATGTCCGGATACTCACATAATGCGGACGACAGCACCCCAACCTGATAGTGCGTCCCGCTCTAGTGCGCCGAGAAGGATCTGAGATACCGTTTCGAAAAGCTCCTCCGGTCCCTGCATTTGACGGATTGAGCAAAAAGAATGGCTGGGTGGTCAGCTTCCAAACTGACAGCAGACATGATTCGTCCGTCTGACAAGACACTTACCAGATCCGGTTCCCAAAGACCCTCGGCCATACCGAAGAGTTTGTCGGATGCTGTGCCGCTTACTACAAAGTCCTTTGCAAAGTTGAGGCATCCGATTACATCTGTTGCCGCGATGAAAGGTTCGTCCTTCGAGTTGATACCAGCAATCACTGGTTCGATAAAGTACGGCCCGAATCTTTTCTCGTAGAGAGTCGAGCTGACGAGGTTGGCGAAGATCTCGGGCTCAATGTCGCGCTCCTCCTTCATCTTGTACATGTTGACACGGTAACGAAAGCGCTCCTTGAGCGTTGCGACGTCCGATGCCAAGCCTGGCAAACCGACGTACGTCTTTTCGGTGACGCGGAACACCTTATCAAAGTTGCACGCGACCGTCATCGCCTGCTGACCGAGTCGAAGATCCGATGCGATGACGACGCAGTTCTTGCCCTTTGCCGCCACCACACTGCCTCCGTTGTATTCCATGATACTCATACTGGGCTACTCGTTTATGGTGACTTGGACGTCACGGATCGCGGATGAGGAAAGGGATTGCAGGTGCAGGTGAGCGTTTGCCTTCGATGAGCAGCGTGATGACCAGACGAGGCGCGAGATTTTGCTGTGAAGTTGATGACAGTGGTGAATGCTGGAATGAGAGGCGTTGCAGCGAGCTTTAGGAAGATGTCGACAGCGAAGATGAGAGGCTGCCCAACACCAACGAAGTGGCATTTGAGCGAGGGTCCTTGCGCGTCCAGGCGTGCGTATTCGCATTGCGCTGCGTCCTCTGCTCCACTGCCTTTCTAAGAGGTGATCGACCTTGTTGCTCCACTTACACTCACGCTTTTTTCTGCCCAAAATAAGATGCTCCTTGCGCTTTAACACATATATCGAAAGAAATTCCCTTTTGCTGAGTCCACCAATTCACGCTCCTTCCAGCTCACTCTGGTTGCATGTTCCGGCGTTGAAAGTGTCGCGAACTTGGCAGGTTTGGATGAAATAGCCGGTGCCTGTCACTTTTTGCTATCATCTCGTTTTCGCGACTGACGCACATCCTCTCTTCCACCGCCACTCTCAACCACCTTCTCATCGCCAAACAACACGTTCCCTTTATTAGCACGCAAAGTCGTCATCGCAGCTCACAAAAACACAGCTTGTAAGCGTCCCACGCATTGAACTTGGATAGTGTTTGCTCCTGGAGCGGCAGAACCTCGAACAAGATGAAGGAGGTCACGCGCAAGATGATGACCGACGTGGCGGTCTTTGCCATGAGCCAGGTCGCCTTCTACTACGCATTCAAATTCGTCATGACGTCTCTCGACCCGAATCGACAAAAGCGCCAGGACTCGAAGAAGGTCGCCGACGCCAAGCTGGGCAAGCTCGGAATCCGAGGCAAGGACCTGCAGCTGAACGAATACGAGGAGCAAATCTCCGCCGAGCTCATCTTGCCAGAAGACATTCCCGTCGATTTTGCGTCCATTGGAGGTCTGGACGGTATCATTTCTTCGCTGCAAGAGAGCGTCATCGCCCCTCTCTGCTATCCGGAACTCTTTGCCAATGCGAGTGGGTTGCTCGGAGCACCCAAGGGAGTCTTGCTGTATGGTCCGCCGGGTACAGGAAAGACCATGCTGGCGAAAGCGCTCGCAAAGGAGAGCGGCGCCACCTTCATTAACATGCACGTTTCGACCCTCACCAACAAATGGTTCGGCGAGTCAAATAAGCTCGTCGCCGCGCTTTTCAGCTTGGCACGCAAGCTTCAGCCCTCCATCGTCTTCATCGACGAGATCGACAGCTTCCTTCGCGAACGAGCTAGTGGCGACCACGAGGTGACAGGAATGATGAAGGCTGAGTTCATGACTCTGTGGGATGGGCTGACGTCCTCAACAGACCGTATCATGGTGCTGGGCGCCACGAACCGACCTAACGATATCGACTCGGCCATCCTACGTCGATTGCCTAAGAGATACGCCGTCTCGCTGCCGAGTGCTGCCCAACGCGAAAAGATCCTCTCGCTCATGCTTGAGGCTACAACGCTCGATCCAAATTTCAAGATGTCCGAGCTGGTCAAGCGCACCGAGGGATACAGTGGCAGTGATCTCAAGGAGCTCTGCAGAAATGCAGCCATGAGACCGGTGCGCGAGTTCCTGCGTAGCAAACAAGGTCGTGAATCGGTGGCCGAAAGGAGACGTCTCGCAACCGCCGGTGTAGGTCTCAATGGGAAGTCGAGCGTCGACGGCACGCCCAACGGCACCTTGACTCCCTCTGAAACGGATATCGTACCGACCGCCTCGGCTGCTGCCAAGATCGAGTCAAGACCGCTACGGAACTCGGACTTCTTCGTCATCGACTCCGCAGCGACACCAGTCAATGGCTCAAGGTCGGCACCCATGGCTGTTGACGACGAGCCTTTGGACTGACCCTGTCAATTCTAATAGATCGGGTGGATCGGATCTTCCGGTCAGCTTTCCGATCAGCTTTCTCACGACGTGAGCGACGGGAATTTGCAGGACTTCGGAATTGGCAGGACTTCGGAGGTCGGCGCGACAGCTTGGTTGATAGGACTGGGCAGCAGGAGGAATGTGTCGTGAGCGCACTATGCAAAGTCTGCCGCTCGCACGGACGCAGCTGGTCTCACACTTGTATTTGTACGATATGATGCGGCATTAACAATAGAGATGCCACGGCCGTCGTCGAAACAGATGCGATGTCAAAGCGGATCTGACTAGTGCCGATAATGAATCACTCTTCGCGTTCATGCAAGACCAACGGCATGACGAGATACTTTGACAATGATGCATATTCCAACAAAAGGACAGCTTTTACCTTTGACTTCTCAAAAGAGATGGCTGTTTAGTAATGCTACTGCCGTTCACAAAGCCTTGTTCGAGCCTGCATCTTCCGTCCGATTTCCCCCGGAATAGACGGCAACAGGGGCAGATGAATGCGTGAGCCGCAGCACAGTGCGGAGAAACGTGGGTGTGGGTGTCAACGCTCGACTTGGGTTAATCTATTCTCTGCAGCGACCCTTTGTCTCAAGTAGCTGTGATATCATATGAAAAGTCGTTTCTGCAGAAATATTTTGTCTCAAGTATGGCTTTGGTATGAAAAGTCGGAGCTGTCAATATACGGATTGAGTGAAGAGAAATTCCGCGGCTCTGGACATGCCTTGCCGTCCTCGTCGACTTTGCCATGCCTGCGGCGTTTCCCAATCAGATAACGATACTAGAGTATATGACAGCTCCCTCTGCAATGCTGACACACAGCCTGCCGAGAGAAGCTAGTACATAGGATGGCTTGCGGTTCGTCTTTCTGGACGAACGAATCTAGTTTCCTTACATAGCTCAATCCGAGACATCGGTAAGCGCCGAGAAGCGAGACGCATCTGAGACACCGACCTATGCACTTTTTCCCAATCACCGACCGGCTCTAGGCATGGTGCGGCGGCTTCTACGGTAGCGTGTCCTGGACAGTCATCCAAGTCGGCAACACAGTAGCAAGGTCGCTTCGCCGAAAGTAGAAGCATCAGTGACCTTTAACCGTCCACACCGTGCTGTGAGCGCGGAGGCCAGTGCGGGTTGGCCGCAGCGGGGTCGCTCCCACCTGTTCCGTCACCGACGACCTGTGCATGAATCAAGCTTCGAGCATCTGCTGGCGCCAGGTGCCGAACGCGCCCGACGAGCGCCCGTCGCCATCGAGGACCGAGCGCGTACTTCACCCTGTGCCCGCTGGCACCCCTGTGTCGATCTGGTGGTGGGTGTGACCGCCTTCGCCACGCGCCAAATGTTGCGAAATTGACGGCATTCTGCCATTCCATCGCAGTTCGACGGAACACACGGCCCAACGACACACGACCAGCTCGCTTCTAACACGTCGAAACCTTCCCACGCAAGACATTCGCTTAGCTGGAGACGTCGACAGAACCGCACTACGTTGGCACTGGCTTACTGATGTGCATGTCGAGCTGCACGAGCACGAGCCTTCGTTCGCTCGTTCGCTTCCGGCGCCGTAGTCCGCTCGAGGCAAGGCGACAGAAAGGAAGCACGCATCCCCAGATACAATTTTGCACGGATGATTTGCAGCATGACAGCCATGACATTTGCATCACGCGGGCGTGACCCTCCAATAGTTGGCCGCAATTGTGCTGCTAAGCGCGACGCACCTCTGTCGGCTCGCTTGACAGCTTTGATGCATTTGTTGGACGATTTGCGTCTCGCTTATTTCCATTTGCCCCTCCAACGGGCATCGATCCTTGGCCGGCCTTTTGACGCCGCCAATCACCTTGCCCCGCTTCCCCGGGAATGAGGCCATGGCCCACCCACACCCCGATAGAACAGCTCGCAGAAAGCCCGCAGAAGCGATTCCGCCACAACAATGCAGAGACGCCTTCGCCTTCCGCCCTTCAAACTCTCGGATGCGCTATTGTCGCTGATGCTTCGCTTCTGTCGCCCCCATGGGCGCAACATGGGCACATCAGCTGAGCCCATCTCGGCACGCTCTCGCAGTCGAGCCTCGCCAATTAAGCGACAGGACTGCTCTTCCATCAAGCAGCATCTTCTCCGTCGAAACTTCGATCGATTCGTCTCGAGCCAACCTTGTTTGCATGAACGGGCGGCTAGCGTCTGAACGATCTAAGCTCTGCTCGTCGACATCGATTTCGCTCCTTTCCCCGCGCTCTCTTACTGGCAGTCGATCGACTGCAAGAGCTTTGACCTGCATGCTCACAGGTCGACTTAAGGCTTCCTTTTACCTCCAAACGGCTGCTCCTGTGACAGGCGATCAGGCGCTAATCAGCAAAGCAGGTTGTCAAATTCGCAGTAGACTTCGCCGACTACTGGACGGATACAAAGTCTTCCCATATATAGACTTTCGCTTCAGGTACAAGCGACATCTGAGCCCCATTCCTGCCTCGCACGGCGACGGTCGTCCAACAGTCCGTCCCCCCTCACTGTCAGCTCTCTGGTTGCTCTCGAGACAGTCTCGCTCTTGCGGTCGTACCGCTTGTCTCTGAAGCTGCAAGACGACCGTACATCCGCTGTTGGGACGACATGTCCTCTGTGTAGCCAAGATGTCCTACGCGACACTCAACAACCAATTCAATCTACCGCCACCCCCGTCGAAAAGCGTCTTTTCAACCGTTCGCGACGAGGCCGGCCGCGCTTGGTTTCCCGACTTTACCAAGGAGCAGGATCCCGTCGGCTCACTGAAAGACTTCATCGAGATCCTCTTCTACCCGCACCTTCAACAGAGCACATTTGTGCAGCTCAAGGTTCTGTCGGTTCTCACCGCTATCATCGGCGTTTGGATCTTTCTCATCATCCTTCGAAGAGTATGGGAAAAGTCGTTCTGGCTGTTCCGTCTTGTGAAGCGCAGTAATGGTACGCTGATCGTACCCAACGCCATCACCGCTTTCGTCGCCATCGAGAGCATCTTTGCCATCCTTCTAATCGCATTGTGAGTGTTACCGTTTCTATACCTGATTCGACCTCGGTCCGTCTAGCTGACCCCTTTCTCTCACTTATCACTCCCGTTAACGCTGCCTCAGATGTTGGGAGGTCGTTGCATGGTACCAATATGGCCGGTCGCCCAAGTACATCATTCTCTGGATCGGTCTCACATGGCTCCCTCTAATTCTCGGCGCGTGGTGCACCACCGTCGGCGTCATCTATGCACGTCCCAATGCACTCAGCTTTGTCTCGCCGCAACCTGGAAAGCCGCACGGATTGGCGCTGCGAATGGGCGTGACCCCTACGACGGTCAACATGTTTGTCTTTTGCATCCCCTTGATTCAGACCGCCAGCGTCGTTGTGCCTGCCGCGCTTGCACAGATGCGTTTCAGCCGCGCATTCGAACACCACCGTCGCTGGGCTGCATCCATCACACCCGGTGAAACGCTGTCCCGCGAGCTACTGCTCGAGGCGCAGCAGATCTGGTTCCAGGTGTTGGATGCTGCCTACATGATCTCTATCTGCATGGCAGTGTGGGAGGCATGGGTCTGCGGCCTGTTCGTCTGCTACTGCCTTGCAGGTACCTCCCTCATCGCCATGCTGCGGAAGCAGCTCGCGTCGCTCAAGTCTTTCAAACAAAATCGATCCTTTAGCGAATCCTTTGCCGGCGAGAATGATCGGACGGCGCCGAGGGATGCGTTTCCCAACGTCATTGTCTCGAGCGATTCACATCAGCGTGGCGATCACAGCGACGACGTAGAAAAGCAAGTTCACGGTACCACGAATGCGAATGACAAGCTTTCCGTACAGCCGCCACTTCGTTCGCTTTCTACGTCCTCGGCTGCGTCCGACAGTGCCACGCTGTTCTCGGGCAATCCTAGTATCGAGCGATCCGGGAGCTTGAATAGCACTGCCAACGGCAAAACCACCCGAACAAGACGCATGGTAGGATTGGAAGAGGAAGACATCGCCGAAGAACAGACACGCTCAATGTACTTTACGGCGGAAGAGCTCAAGAACGAGAACCAGCCCTCCAACAGCTTCTTCCCTCCCGTTCGCCCATCGGCCTTCGAAAGACCGACGCAGGCTCGCTCCGTGTCGGGCACGCAGCACTCTCACAAGCGATACCTGGAAAAGTTCTACACCAACTTCGTCGTCCAATTCGTCGGTCTCTTGCTGTGCATCCTCTTCTTCGTCATATTCGTCGGAAAGCTCGTCACGACGTGGTATTCAGCTTGGGAGGCCAACGATTTCGCCACGGCCTTGCAGATTGCACTGCTGGTGGTGTGTTGGGTAACGATCATTCTGGCGAGCGTGATCATCTTTGCCATCCTCAGTCGAACGTACGAGCCGGTGCTTTCCAACCTGAATGTTGCCACTTCGAGCCGCTCGAGCGGCGGACGTACTCGTCGTCTCAGCGTGACCGCCAGCGATGACGGATCGGTGGGGCAGCCAAGATCCTCAAGGCGTCTGAGCGGTGCAATGACGTGGGCCGCGTCGGCGTTGTCACCTCGCTCGAATCCGGACCATCGACGAAGTCAGGAGTTTGGGCTGGAGCAGGTAAAAACCCAGCGTAGGGGCAGCCGAGCTGGATCCCTTTCTGGCATGAAAAGGACTTCGCTGCATACGTACGCAGAGCTCGAGGGTGAGCAGCATTCCCCAGACTTGGAGGCCATTCCATGCAGTCCGAAGAGCCAACCGTTGTCGTTGCGTAAAGCTACAACGTCAAACGTGACGCCAGACCTCGAGGCGCCGATGACGCCGTCCGAGCTCATCAGCGACTCGCACAAGCAGCGTGCGTTTGGAGGGTCGAGAGTCAGCCCGCCGAGCAAGACGAGTCAGAATGGTGTTATCGTGGAACAGACGGTCAGCACCATCGTCGAGCATCCGGTGATGGAAGAGTACTATCGAGTGGAGCGTCCAGCTCGTGCCGCCGCGCGTTTCTCGCCGTCCAGGTCGGAATCGTGGGACACACATCACACCCACTCAGCCTACTTCAACGAAGGCGACCCATCGCCAATTGCCCGATCCAATGTGGACAGCGACTGGGTCCGCACTCCTGCCACACCAGCGTCTATGTGGGCACCTCCCACTTCGTCTTCAACCAAGCCGCTGATGACCGAAGCGCAGAGGAACTGGCAGGGCTCTGCTACATCCTTCGCTCCTCGCTCCTATCAGATGTCCGCGCCCTCTCAAGGGGAAGATATCTTGCTTCACAGATCTCGTCCTGACCACTCCTTGCGACCGGCTCCTCGACCACGATCGGCCAAGAAGACCAGCAAGAACGACGTCGGACTGGGTATAGCTGTAGCACCGTCGTCATCGTCGTCGCCATCGCCGCCCTGGACAGCACCTCAGGTGTGGGCTAGCGGGCAACCAGACCCTGCACTGGTGCAGGAAGACGCCGATATGCGACTGCGCATGGCGATCCACCCGTACCGTGTCGTTCAAAGTAATCACATCTGAACGGTCACGCTTTGTACATCATGCTTGCGGCAAAACAAGTCACTCAGCTAGAACCTGTAGCGTTCGCATTGACCGTATCGAAAGCCTGTGTGACAAGATGCAGCGAGCGAGCAGCGTCTCCAGCTTGACAAAGTGGACAAGCTATCGAGCAAGCTTAAGCAGCTGGACCAACTCAATAAGAAATATGTTATACCCTCCCTTTGACACATCTTTACCAGAATCGACATCTTGAAATCCAAAATACAACCACGAGTGTGATCGACTTCAAAATGCTTGCCTGCTTGTATTCATTTTGATCCACGTCTGGAAATTGGCGATCAAAAGCGTCCGAGCAAGCACCCAGCGCGATACTGAATCGAGGAAAATGCTCGCCTAGGGGCAGCAGACAGCCAGCTGCACTGTACTCGAGGCCTGGCTGCCACCCCAGCTCTTAGTCAACCTACTCAGCCAGCCAGCTGCAATTGTCAGAGCTTGGAGGGTGGCTCCTGCGCTTCTTTCTGTTCGATGTTCGCTGCTGCTCCCTTGTCAAAAAATCACCGCCGCCGATAGAGAGGTCTCGAAGCTCGAATTCCACCCAACGCACGCGCGCACACACCGCCCCCGAAAGCAGCTTCTCCTCGTCGTCTCATTCCTCCTCCACCATCAAATACATTTGCTCCGACAATCCGCACCGTTGGTCCTCTGCATCCATCGACACATCCGTTCGTCTAATTTGCCAGACACAGAAAACAAGACAAGATGGATCCTTCCAACATCAACACGGAGCTCTGCCCCGTCTACGCTCCCTTCTTTGGCGCTATGGGATGCACGGCTGCCATCGTCTTCACTTGTCTCGGTGCCTCGTATGGTACTGCCAAGTCCGGTGTAGGTATCTCGGCCATGGGTGTTCTTCGACCTGACCTCTTGATCAAATGTGTCATTCCCGTCATTATGGCCGGTATCATTGCCATCTACGGTCTCGTGGTCAGTGTGCTCATCTCGGGTGGGATTGAGACGCCCATGTCGCTCTACGCCGGTTTCATTCAGCTCGGTGCTGGTCTCTCGGTCGGTCTCGCTGGTCTCGCCGCTGGTTTCGCCATCGGCATCGTAGGTGACGCCGGTGTGCGTGGTACCGCTCAGCAGCCTCGTCTTTTCATCGGTATGATCTTGATCCTCATTTTCGCCGAAGTGCTGGGTCTTTACGGTCTTATTGTCGCACTCATTCTCAACACCCGCGCGCAAGACAACCCGCTCGGCTGCATGCTCAAGTAAACGCCTGGTCTTGCACCACGTAAGGGCCAAGCAAGCCGCTTTGGTAGCTTGTGGAGATCCCCCCTTGCCCACATGAACACTCTTCGAACCTCTCACATGCATCTTGTTGTGCGCACCAAGCACGGCACGGACCGATCGATGTGCGTGGCACGCTCTCGACTTTTGCAGCCTGCAAGCGGATGCAAGCGCACGACCCTTACCCGCTGGGCCCCGAAAGTCGTGACTTGGAACAGCGGTCTCGCCCGCAGACGGATATGTATTCCTGTTCGTATCTCTCTTTTGCCCTCCTCTCAATCCTCCCTGTTTCGTGCTTTTGCTCCTCCAACACAATCAATATACACCGCATTCTGAACAAAGTCATGGTCTCTGAGGTTGGCTTCTTGCCGATCGTGTGCGATCGGGGAGGTGGAAGGGCAGCGCGGGTGTTGCGCAGCTGCGGGTATCAATTGGCGTGGTAGGCAGTACAAATACATGTGCGTGTGCAAAAGAGCTCTGCTGTTCTAGAAGTGGTATCACAGTGGAGGTTGGGACGATCATCAATCGAACCGCGCTCTCTTGACCTGAGAAGCGCTCGCACGTGTGACAGGCTGATCGTCGACGTCTTCGAACTCGATATCCTCGTCAGATTCCTCCTCCTCGTCTTCGGCCTCTGCGGTACCATCGTCTTCGTCGGCCTCGCTGGTGGAAGCGCGTTTGGATCGAGGATCGGATTCGGCCGGTGGGTCGGGGACGATGAATCTACCGTGATGACCGCGTCTCGAATCAAAGCTGGGTTTGGCTCTTCTCTGCGTCTCTAGCGACGACTTCAACCCGTACACTGTCGACTGCAGTCTTGTCGCCAAGATCGAGTACAGATCGGGAGCCTGGTAGATCGAATCGTTGACGACGTAGTATGCTGCCAACGGTGTTGTTTCCGTGGGTGAGGTCCTCCAGCGTTTCTGAATGACGAAGCACAACGGCGGTCTGCTGTGCACCAGCACAAACTCCAACCCTGTGAAGCGTTTCAGTTCTTGCTCTTCCTGTTTGGCTGGCATGGCACCTGTGAGGGCTTGGATCCCGTTGGCGATGTTTTGCATTCGAATCTGTTCGTTGTTGCTGCGTCGGTCGAAGAAGGGCGAGGTGGCAAAGTAGGACATGACGTTGTGTTCGGTGAGGGGGTGATTTGGGTCCGGTTTCGCGGTGGTGGTTGAGGCGACTTGGCCGGTTGATTGGAGATGGGAGAGGTAGGAGAGGAACTCGGGATTCTTGAATTGGACGTGGAGTAGGTTCGGGGTTGCGTCTGGTGGTGCTGGTTGGGTTGACATTGTGATGAAGCCGGCAAAAGGATACGGCTGTGATGGAGGTTACGCTGTGATGCGTGCCGCAAGAGTGATGTTGGGAAGACGGATACGCCAAAGTGAATGATGGAGAGGAGCCGGAGGAAGCAGATGATGAAAGTGATTTGAACCGTGCGCTCGGTGGAGCTACACAGGGTTCGCGAAGATTTCGAGCGGATCGGAGATTCCGACTGAGAATCTGTGCCGAAGGCCGTTCAAAAAAGTGACGCGTTGCTTGCCGAAAACAACACAGCGAACCAACACTCTTTTATAATACTTCGAGCTCCTCCTTCTTCTCTTCCATCAACTCCATCAACACCCCTGGCCAAAACATCATCTTGGAGGGTACTGGTCGATCATGGCTTCTGGACTATCAGCAAGAGCGCAAACGCGCTTCACGGAAAAGGGCATGCACTCCGAAACGCTCGACAAGTACGACGATCTCAACGATCCCATCCCCACCGAAGAGCAAGAGAAGCTCCTTCGCGAGCTGAAAGCCAAGAACGACGCTTCCAACTACTTCTACCGTGCGGCGCTCCTCTTCATGGTCCTCCTCGTGTTTATCACATACCTCACTCCAATCCCATCCTACATTGACGGCACGCACCCCGAAAGCCACCTCACGCTCTTCCACCACGGAGTGCACGTCATCGGCACCGAAGACCATCTCACCTACCTCCCCGCCTTCCCCATCTACCTCTTCTTCTTTGCTGTTCAAGGATACCTCCTCTACCTCTCCGCCCTCGAACTTCTCTCCCTCCTGGGTCACGACTCTCTGCTCTCCACCATCACCCGTCGAAACGCCTCGCTCTACCGATCGCACCCCTTCGGCACCGCCCCCTCCTACCTAGTCTCCATCCTCTCCGATATCCGCTACTCCACCGGCAACAAGGTCAACCTCCACGAGCGCGCAGACCAACCCGCCGCCATCGGCTCCGAAAGCAAGGCCCTCTACGACAGCCTCTCCAACCCGAGGCTGCTCTACCTCTGGTTCCTGTTCGTAGCGGGTCTCCCGCTGCCGCTGCTGATCTTTGGCGCGGGCAACTTTAGCAACGCCGGCTGGTTCAGCTTCACGCCCGCGGTGACTGGGCTGGTGCTGGTGATGGAGACGTGGATCAGGAGGAGCGAGAACCAGTTGTTGGGGTTGGACGGGCTCAAGTACGATCACAAGTCGGCGTAGCGGGCGGTCAGAGTGGATTCGATCGAGACGCACGCAGACGCTCCGATTGTAGATGTACATTCTTCAGAGCATCAGCTCATCGCACGGAAATGCTCACACACCATTCACATGTCTGCATCGCTTCTTCGAAATGGTTTCGCATTGTCCGCATCCCCAGGTGCAAAGCGCCGATCTAAGCCGTTTGAGCTTCACGCGGGCTCTAATAGCGTGGTTGATACCCGCCCTGCTGATAGGCTCCTCCCTGATGCTGTTGTTGATGGTACGGCTGCTGCTGATACTGCTGCTGCTGAGGCGGCTGAGGTGGAGCCCTCGCCCCGTACCCCTGCTGCTGTTGAGGTGCAGCCCCGTACTGATACTGACCGTACCCGCCCGCTGCCCCACCACCACCGTACGCCGCCTGCGCACCCGAATACTCCTGCGCCGCTCCTCCATACCCCTGCGAACCTCCGTACCCGCCTTGACCCGGCGGGGGCATACCGTACCCACCCGCACCACCGAATCCTTGCTGGCTCGGCGCCGGACCCGGCGGTGGAGGGGAAGCGTACCTGGACTGCGCGGGCGAAGCACTGCTCTGCGCGAAACTCGGTTGGAACTGTTGCGGTGGAGGTGGCAGCCCCGTTCCTCCTGACACTGAACGTTGGGGTGCATCGTACCCGAGTGGGGAGTATGGTGCAGGTGGACGTTGTTGGGGTGGAGGAGGTTGTTGAGGAGCAGGTGATAAGCGGGAATCCATAAATGGACCGGTGGAGAACATCGAGTTGTAAGGATCGTGAGCAACACCCGTATGCGATTGCTGCTGCTGGTACGGCTGCTGATGAGGCACCGGAGGAGGTGGTGGTAGACTCGCCGACTGTAGTTGTCTTGCTCCTGGCAGAGCAGCTGGTGGAGGGCCCGGCGACAAAGGACCGAGTGTACCTCCTCCATACGCGCTTCCGTAGCTCGCCTGTCTACCCGGAGCTTGTGGAGGCGGTGGCCCACCACTACCCAGTCCACTTAAACCAGCCATCGAACCAGCCAACCTGTCAGCCCCACCACCACCTCCAGTCCCCTTCTCCTCCCACTCCAACTCCGACACCAACCTCTGCCTCTCCGTCTTCCTATCCCCCACATATCTCGTCACATTCTGCCTTGTCGCCTTCACAATCTCCTGCAGATCCGCATAAAACTGCAAGCCTTTCGCCACCCCAGCCCTCACCTGAGCATTCGAATCCCTCGCCCTCCTCAACCTCGCCACCAGCTTGTTCCTCGCCTTCTCCTTCTCATCCCACTTCGCACCGGCAGATCGACTCGCAGGTAGCTCGGCCAACTCCTTGAACGTCGTCTCCACCTCTGCCAGTAGCGACTGTTGGTGATGCAGACTCACCGCGATCCTGTTCTGGTGCGGTTTGAACTTTTCCAGCTCGGCAGCGAAGATGGACGAATCGACGTTCTGAGCACGCCGATTCAGGACGAGGACTTGCGAGATGTCGTCGGTCTGGATCTTTTCCTTGAGGTCGGCGAGGACTTCTCCGCGTTCCTTCTTGATCTTGTTCAGTTTGAGAAGCGCTTCATCGATCTGCGAAAGTTTGGCTTTGACAGCGGCGATCTCGCTGTCGGAGGCCTTCTCTTCGTCGGCCGAGATATCGATGAGCGAAGCGGGGGCATTCGATTCGCCATACAACCCCGTCTGTCCAGTAAGCGCGGCCGCAAACGCAGCTTCGAGTGCTTCGCGCCCGGAAACCAGCAGCTGAACATCTTCTCGGATGGATCTCCAAAGCTTTCCGATCTGCGCATCGTTCTGGGAAGCTTGTTGCATGGCTTCTTTGTTCTCCTTGAGGTTGAGTCGCATCTCTTTCGTGTGCAGTCCGGAAGGGTCTTGATTCCACTTGTGACCGAATCGAACGCGCTGCTTCTCGCATTCTCGGTTCTCGTCGTCGAGTGCAGCCAGCGCCGCATCGATATCGTTCGCGGCCTGAGACTTGATGCTCTCGATCTTTTGCAAAGCCGAGTCGACCCCAGCCGCACCCACCCCAAGCCCGTCAGCACCTCGACCCCCTCCGCCCTCCGCTTCTTCGTTCGACCAGCGCATCACCTCGGAACCCGGATCAGCCAGCGAGTCCAGCATCGCACTACTCCCGCTTCCCTGCGCAAGTGCACGGTACTTTTTGAGGCTTCCAGGCAAGCCCAGGTATTCGAGCGAAGCTTGCAGTTCACCCGTCGCAAGATCGTGACGTTCCGATTCGGCTCGAGCAATCTTTGCCTTCTCTTCCGAGTACAGAGACGCTTTTTCGTGTACACCCAAGGGCACAAGATTCTGAAAGAGGTCGGGACCGATGACACGCTGCACTTCGGGAGCTGAAAAGATCTCCTGGATCGGAATGGCGGTGGCAGCAACCAATTTGTCGACGGCAGGGAGCGATGATTCGGAAGGAAGAATGTCGTGGTAGATGAGGTCGTTGTCTTTAACTGCAGTCTCTTTACGTTCGGCACATCGAGCGACTTGGGCGTTGACGATGGCGACGAGGGCGGAGGCTGCATCGCTGGGCAACGAAGGACGGTCGGCAGCAACACTTGCCGTTGCTGATGCGCTGAAGGTGGTCAGCAAATTGCGTGCTTCCTTTGCTGCTGTCTCTGCTACCGTCAAGCGGACAAGACAGGCGCCGTGCGATCCTGACGCATCGTCTGCAAGAGCCTTGTAGTACTGCATGACCGAGGTGAAGTGCCTCGCCTTGACCTGAACTAGATAGGTCCAAGAACGTTCAAACACGCCCTTGGTGACGTGTTCACGAGAGTCCTCGACCAGCCCCGTGTACGCTGCCGCGGTCTGACTAGCGAGCTTCGAGATCAAACCAGGGCCCTTCTTCTCTTCGAGCGTCTTCTCCAAGAACACCTCAGATGCCTGTGCGAGCGTGATACCGACCAGGCACTTCACGACGTCCTTGCTCATATCGGTGCTAGGAGCATGAAGAAAGTTTTCGTTGATGTAGCTCAGCATTCCCGCTGCTTGACGAAGAGCAGTGTATGCACGTTTGAGACCGTCAGCGTTGCCCGACATGCGGGGCTGAGTCGAGGCTAGCGATGAGAGTGTGGCAGCGATGTTGAAGATGATGCTGGCCTTCTCGTACGCCAAGCTCGACTGGGAAATGGCCTTCTGTGTGAAGGCATCCTTCCAAGGAAAAGGCACTCGAAGCTCTGGAAAACGAAGTTCGAGCATCTCGAGCATGTGAAACCATTTGAAGAGGAGATCTCTCCCCGTCGCATCCGAGGCAGCACCTTTGACCGCATCTTGACGTGCACGGTTGAGCTGCGATGTCTGTTCAGAGTACTTCTTAGGATCTTCACCGTAGCTGTTTGCGATGAGAGACTTGATTGCCGAGCCCAGGTCGACTTCCTCTGTTGTTTTGAGAGGGAGGAGCAGCAGGGGCGACTGGTGTGCGTCCGTCATTTTGGACTAGCAGGGCGGTGCGGCCTCGACCCCGAACGTGACAAGCCGGTGGGTCTGATGCGATGCTTCTGGCGCTGGTTTGTCGTGCGTCCTGAAATGGAAAAAAAGTTTCGCTGAGGAACGAAGCGTGTGGTAGGGAGATGATGGGTTTGAATACGAAGTGACAGAACAAGAGTCTCATTCGGACTGGATGGAGTGAACCTTGTGCTCCGTGCCTGAATCGGTGTTTCAAGTGGAGTTGGCCGCCGCGGAAAATGCACCGCCGATCCACCGCACAGCCATCGAGGACCGTGCGCCGGCGTCACCAAGGGGGCAGGCGGCGCAATTTTGATCCGGACTCATTTTCCTCAACATCACCTTGTTGACCATCGCAACTTCAAACCGCAAGCAGCATACAATGAGGAGATGCTATTCAGAGGCTGGAGATGAATCTAGAGGAAGATATGTATGTGACGAAAGGCTGTTGCTGATGCTATGACTTGACAGTGAGAAAGCTGAGACCGCTTCCGATCGCGAGCCCAACACACAACCAGAAGGAAAGCAGCGTAGCTGCCAAGGGCCCCTCGCTCGCACCTTTGGAATTGACGAGCTTGCTTCTCGAAGGACCTGAGATCATGATGCAGGTGCTGACGAGGCCGTTCGAAAAGCCGAGCAACAGCATCAGACCGAAGAAGGGTGCGTCGCTCGATTGCATCAGCCCGCCAAGCCATCCATCCGGCGTGCCTGTGTTGACGCGGCTCACGGGACCCGTCCTTTGGCTCGTGGATACGACGTTGCATGCCATAAAGAGCGGAACAAACAACGATCGAAGTAACGATAGCGACACCAAGACTCGAGCTTTGCGTATCAAAGCCTTAGGTACCAGACTTGGCAAGGACCTTCCCAAGAGGTCCGAGAGGTTGAAGAGGAAAAAGTGGAACGGAACAAACAGCTGCGGCGAGGTGAGATCCACCGATCTGGAGCCGAACTTCGACGCTCCTGTATAGACGCTCTGTACCGATGATGTGAGCGCGGGAAAGATGCTGAGCGTAATGACAAAAATGTAGGCAACTGCAGCGCAATCCCACTTGACCTTGGATTGGACTAGCGAGATACGCAGCAGCGATTCGCGTGTCGACGGGGCCAGGCCGTAAAAGCCCGGCACCTTTTTGAGCCAGGAGCTATATGAAGGGTGGGAGATTGAGCGGATAGAGTGCCAGCTCTGCATCATCGGCGGCTGGTGGTCCTCGAGATCTTCATCGTCCGGCCTGGAAGACGCCTCGCGCCCGTCTTCGATCTTGTCGATGGTTGCGACCTGCTTGGCCATGACCTGGGTGTACAAGGGCGTGTTGGTGAGCCAGAGGAAGGAAGCAAGCACCCCCATCATGAGCAGAGTGTTCATGCCGAAGAAGAGGGTAGCAGCGCGTGCGATGCTGCGCGACGTCTCCTGCGCCGCTCGACCACCTGCAGAGGCGCCATCGTCCGGTACTGATTGCTGCGACCAGGCCGAGGCGAAGCCAAAGATGCTGATGCCAACGCCTACCACGCCCTGTCCTGCCAGCATGGTGCCCATGAAGGAGCCACCTGCGCCAAACGCGGTGCTGAGTGAGACGACGCTGTTCTGCAGGTAAGCACATGCACTCGAGAGCAGGCCGCCTAAAAGCAGAGTGAAGTAAAAGTACGAGTTGCTCGTCGGTCTTGTAGTGGGCGTGTCGGTGTGATGACCTGTACGAGAGCTGTGTTCTCCAATTCTTGTGGAGAGCGCAAAGCAAAAGACCGAGAGGATGATGACGGTGGAAGAGAGCGTGATCCTGCTGCGCGGGCTTGACCGTTCGAAGCCACCGGTAGCGGTTGCGTGGATGCCGACGAGGATGCTGATGACGTTGTAGGACACGACGATCCAGCTGCTGAATGTATTGGCGTAGGGAGTACGAGCGAACGAGGAGCGAAAGTACTCGGCGGGTGTGATGAGCGAGTTGAAGGGCAATAGGACGCCCATGCCGAGCAAGCCAAAGGTCAGATAGACAAAGGTGCGCTGTCTCGACGTCATCTGTTCCCAAGCGGGTGCACCTTCGACGCCCGTCTTTATAAGCGGCTCAGCTGGACCATCCTCGTGCGATGGTGTGAGAAGCGGTGAGTCGGGGCCATCGTGCGATCGGGCTAGGAGACCTTGCTCCTCGCCTCGAAGCGGTCGCATGGGAAGCGAGTGTATGGCTCCAAACGCCGAGCGGCCGGCTGTGCAGATAAGCAGGAGAATGCAAAGCTTCAAGAACCAAGTTCTCGGGATCCGGAGGATTTAGAATGGGTAGAAGCGTGTATGGCGAAGGAAGGGAAGGAGCGGTTGCGAGGCGACAAGGTACGAAGCGCCGCTTTGTGATGTACAAACAAGCTATCAACGAACCGGCGATTACAAACAGCGTCCAGTTTCTCCACACGATTCGAGCTTTCAATTTTCGCCAAGTCATCGCTGCCAGAGCGTGCTGCTGCTGTGTAATCTCGATCTGGAAATGCCATTGATGTGGACCCTGGTTTGGACTAGCCGACAGGGGGAAATGTTTGGCTGTTTCGAGCAGACCATTAGAGGAGAGACGCCCGATTCCGATCAGATCCCTTTCAGGAGGTAGATGACATGCATCGCCTATTCGCGGTTAAGTTACTCTAAGGTAGCAGAACGCAAGCTGCAGAGGGACGAAGATGCAGAGGTCCAGTCGCATTGATCCTGTACATGCTTCATTTTGTGTCGGTCTTGCCGAATCTGTAATGATCTGCAGCTCTGCCCAGATCGGAGAGAGAGCTCAGCACCCTTTCCTGTTTCTCTCAGTGAGCAGTGAGGGCGTAGGGCGAAGTGGGGCGATAGAGTGCCAAGCGCGCATTTGAACCGCTCCGAGGTCAGATCAGCAATTCGGGTAAAGTGCACGCGCACCTTCTTTACCTTTTAGCCGCCTCACATCGATTCTTGTCACCGAGAAGACTGTGCGAAAATGCACGCGTTCGAGTTGAAAGTGGCGGTGCGACGCACTCTAACTTGTCGTACCGCAAACTCACATCCACGCTCCTGGCTCGTGCTTCTTCTCCGCACTTTTTTCGAGGGCGTTGTTGCCAACAGGCAGAGTCGGTCCACGCCGGTTCGAACAAAAAGAAGCTTTGGGTGGATGAGGGAAAAAGTGAGCTGATATTCCAGACTGATTGCCTTGTTCCCACGGCGTTTCTGTGCAAACGCCAAACAGCTAAGCGACATGCTCGTCGGATATGTGCCTTGACAGGACTGTACAGTCACAGACAACGATCTCCGACGGCACAGATCTACGGTGCATTTTGCGTTCGACTGGGTTGCCTTGCGAACACCATACCGAGCGTCCTCCTCCTTCGGCTTCTCCGCCTTCACTGCTGCACTTGCTCGCATTTCTCCTTCCGCCTGCCACCATTGCAGTAAAGCGCGCACCACGGGGTCGACCATGTCACTTTAGCAGCGTAGAGCTCCGCTTCCTTCATCCACGGTCCAATAACACCTGTGCGCATGCTCACATTGGCACAGCGCAACCACATTGTCATCGAACTTACAACCAGGAGCATTTGCCACAGACGCGGAACAGTCGCAACCCTACAAGATGGCCACTCCCGGCAATGTCGCCATCATCCCGGAACGCCCCGCCGAAAATGGATACTGGAAGAACGAATGGCAAGATGTCTCGAACAAACTCATGAACATGCTATTGACACTACGTCAAGAGACCGAGGGCGGCTGGGAGGAACGAGGCTCCACCAACGGCTGCGACATCGCCATCTACCCACGCAAGCAGGACGATGCCTTCTCCGTCATGCCCATGTTTCGCGGCAAGACCCATGCCACCGCATTGACTCCACTCGAGGTGTTTACGGGCATCCGAATGACCGGCTTCCGAATGATGTGGGATACGCGTGTTCAGTCCGCCCACATCATGCGCTCCTTTTCTATGCACGAGTTCCTCTTCTACCTCGTCTGGCGTGGCATCGGACCTATCTACAAACCCAGAGACATTTGTGGCATCCAGGCGCTTCGCTGTTGGGACGCTGCGGGCAACCTGCAGAGGATACCGGACTTCACCACCACCAACATGATCCTCGGCTATCAGAGCTTGGACGAAGTGCCAGGCATCCCGGCAGAAGTCGAGGGTTGCGTCAGGGCAAAGGTTTTCAAGGCCGCTTTCTACCTCGAGAGCCGCGACGGCGGTTGCGACATCACCTACATCGGCCACGTCGATCTTGCGGCTGCCATCCCCAACTACATTCTGACCACCCTACACAGCGAGCTTCCCAAGAGCACCATGCGTCTCAGAGACATGCTCATGACATTCGGAGTGCCTCCCGTGCTGATCGACCGACAGGGCAGGATCGCACTCCAATACCTCTCCTGCAACCCAGAGTCACGGCAGGTTTCGCTCCATGCAACCATCATTCAGCCGGGCACAGTACATCTCTATCTGGACTACAACAAAATGTTCACCCAGGGCGTCGTCATCAGCAACATACTAGGATCAGCAGCAGCAGCAGTGTCGGTGAGGGAACACCTCGGTACGGATGACGGGCTGGAAAGGCGCATGCTGGCGCTCGATCTTATGCCCGAAGGTGTCGGTGGAGAGTTCAGGTTGATCATCGATGCAGCGGATAAGGAAGGCCCTGAAACAGGGACGGGACCGGGATGGTGGTGATCGTGATTCTCTTAATATGATTGCTTTCGTTTATAATCTCATCAAAACCGAAGGTCGTGGATATACAGCCTCGGAGCGGTTCAGTGTACAAAGTCGTTGTAACAAACGTCGAGTATCCGATTGACAAGATAACATTCGAATCGGTGAGAAACCGTCTAACCACGTCTAGCCTTCCTCTCCTTCCTCTTCTTCCCAATCACAGCACCGTGAGCGAAACCTTTCGGTTTGTTCTTATCAGCTTGGATCTTTCTCGCAGCTTGAAGTTCGCGTTTCTTCTCCTCCGCCTGCTGCTGCTTGGAGAGCTCTTCCTGTTCTTCCCTAGCTTTTCGCCTTTCACCGGATTCCTTGATGGCTTTGAGTTTGTCCGCTCTCTTCTTAGTCGTGACGACGTTTTCAATGGCGAACTCGATCATGAGCATTCCACCTCGCTCCTTGCCCTCGCCGGCATCTGCGTTTTCGGAGAGTTCGGCGATTTTTGTTCGCAAGCGTTGTCGTCTCGTGGTGAGTTCGGCGACTTCTTCTGCGAGCTTTTCCTTTTCTTCGCCGGTCCTCATCTGTTCCAGCGTCTGCGTTTTGGTGTGAATCGTGGTGGCGATTCGGTCCACCTGCTGCGACAGATCGTCCTTCCACCATTCAACCAACAGCTTACCGACGGCTTTGTTGCCGTTGCTCCAACGAATCACCTTCAATGCATCGTGGAACGATTTCATCTCCAAGAATCCGTATCCTTTGCTCTTGCCCAATCCGGTCAGGGCTTCGATTCGATCGTGCTGTCGAACGATCTTGCTCTGGACGACCGGTGTCGGTCGTTCACCGGGTTTTCGCTTACGGTTTTCGGCAGAAGCGGAAAGCGTTCGATCCGCTTTTTCGTCCGCATCGAGATCCGCTCGTGCACCGGATCGCACTTCAGCGGAGAACGTCTTGATAGCGTGAATGGCAAGTCGCTTGAGCATTCGGTCCGACATAAAGAGTGGCAGGGATCGGATAGACAGACGAGTCTTGCTGATGAACAGAGACGGGTTGGCGCCCATCTGCGCCTTTCGAACTTGGAACGATGTGAGACGCTTTTCCACCTCGCTCGGTGAGAGCTTAGCGGCGAAGTCAGAGTTGGGGAAAGGCACGCCCTCGCGCAAAAGCCAGGTGTTTCGTTTGTCTCCCTTTTCGCGTTCCTTGCGTCCGCTGGTTTCGAGTCGCGAGGCTTCGTCGCGCGCGACGGCGGGGATAACGTTGAGCACTCGTCCGTGCAGGTTCAGGGATGCCGTGAGTGGAGCTGCTGGATCAGCCGTCAGCACGGAAGGCATGGCGAAAGGGTTCTTTTGGTTTGCGACCGAAGCGGAAGTGGAACCTGAAACGCCCGATTCCCGTTCGATGATCTTTGCTTGTGCTAGAGCGGCGTCCGCGGAGGAGGCTTGCCAGAAGCATACGAAACCTGTACCTTTGCTTCGGCCGGTGGACCTGTCCATGGTGATCTTGGCATAGCGAAGCGGTCCGAAGGTGCGGAACAGGTTGCGGAGCTCTTCCTCCGTGGCTTGGTAGGGCAAGTTGCGGACAAAGAGGGTTGTGCCCTCCTCGGGTGCGGGAAGCTGAGGTCGTTCCGAAGCGTCGTCCTCATCAGCGCTGTCTGCATCTTGGCCGTCGGCGTCTTCAGCGTCTTCTTCGCTTTCGGACTCGTCCGCTTTGGCTTCGTAGTCCTTCTTGCTGAGCGCCCAGTCGACGGCGACGGCTCGTTCGGGCTGAGCATTGGCACGAACACGGTCGAGAGCAGCCTTGGCGAAACGACGACCGCGGGAGCCGAGAGCGGATTTGTAGGCTGCACGCTCGGCTGCACCGTGTTGGATGGGCTTGCCGTTGACGGCCTCGATGGCGCGGGCGGCGTCGTTACGCGAGACCATCCAGACGAAAGCGAAACCACGACCTTTCTCGGCTGCTGGCTTGGAAGGTGCTGACGGGGTTGCGGCTGGAGCGGTGGGCGTACTGAGAACCCCGGCATCGTCATCGTCTTCGGTTTTGACGACGATGTCAGCAGCATCCGCCGCTGCGTCTGCATTTGCCTCGGCATCTTCAGACGATGCAGCGTCGTCATTGGAGGAGGTCGAAATTGCTTCAGGCTCTTCCTCAGCCACTGCATCCTCGGCGACACTTTCGATCTCGTTCTCGTCGCCATCGTCGCTGTTCTGATCCTCGTCTTCATCGTCTTGAGCGTCCTTGTCAGCATCCTCGTCAGCATCCGACTCGCTGTCATCGGAAACAGCACCTACGCTATCGTCTTCCGAGTCGCTTGCATCTTGATCAGACTCAACCGGCGATTCTGCCTCCTCTGCCTTGACGGCCTTTGCATTCACCTCAGCAGCGCCTTCCTTGGCCTTGGCCTTGGGAATGGTGATCTCGTACACGGGGCCAAATGGCAGAAAGATGGAGCGCAAATCAGCCTCGTTGACATCGAACGGCAGATTGCGAAGGATGAGCCTGCTCGACTTATCGATCTCTGAGAGCAACACGGGCATGGTACCCTTTCCGCTGTTCTTCTCGACGTCCTGACGCATCTTCTCCCTCTTTGCAAGTGTCTCTGGACGCATGTGGGCGGCGATCTTGGCGGCATTGTCGGCTCTCTTTTTGAGAATTGCGCTGACCTGGACTCCCTTGAAGATGTGAGCGTGAAGCTTTTCGACGGCAATCATGGCGTGATTCGGAGTGCGGAAAACGACGTGTGCGACGTCGTTGGGGTTGGACGAAGAGGTGCAAGGGTAGATGACGTTGTCGACATCGCCGATCTTTCGGGCTCGCTTATAGATCTGCTTGGAGTCAGGAGCGGGAGAGCAACCGGCCAAGCCGGAAAGGATGACGGTGCGAACGGCATCGGCATCTTTCTCTTGGACCTGGCCGTTGGCGCGCGCTGGCTTGGCTGTCTCGGTACGTGGACGCTTCGAGGAGGAAGGTGAGTCGGGGTCTGCTTTAGTGGTGGGACGCTTAGCTCCGGTTGGATCCTTCTGGTCGGCAAATGTGATCTGAATCTTCCTGCTGCCACCATCGAGCGACTTTCCCTGCAGCTGTTCGAGGGCGGTTGTGGCATCCTCGGGAATGGCAAAGGTGACGTAACCCACACCTTTGGACTTCTTGGTGGCCTGGTCGATAACAACAAAGGCTCGCTTCAATGGACCGATTTCGCTGAACGTAGTCTGTAGGTCGGTGCTGGTGGCAGTGTATGGCAACCTCGAGACGAAGAGGGTCGCATTGACCTTGCTCTTTGTGGCTTTCTTCGCGGAGGAGTGGCTTGGCGTCGCTACTGGTGCAGCCGCTGCGCCCTCAGACGAGGAAGCGACGGCCGGCTGTGCAGCAGCTTCTTCCTGCTCAAAGTACCTCTTTGGCGGCATCTGGGTGACGTGAGAAGGTGTGTGTGGTGGTAGGACAGTCGAAGCCAGCAGCCGGGGAAGAAGCTCCCCAAAGGGTCTTTCTCAAGAAATTTCACTCTCTTCTCGCTGCGCTTCTCTCATTTTGCATTTTTTCTGCCTTCCGAAATTTCTTGAAGTCACAAATTGCGAGTCCCGACGATTGTGGATTTTCGATTTGGGTTGTTTGGATTACAGAGGTGTAACAGGTTCTGAAAATCGTGATCAGCCTCGGAAAGCTGTCGTGGCCCTTTTCGGCAAAGTGCCGAACCGGGTTGACAAATGCAACACACACTACCAACTCTCATTCTCCTCTCTCTCTCTCTCCATCACACACATCGTCGCATCTGGCTTTCGCTGCTATCTCGGACTCCAATCGATACACAGCATCGTGGCTTGGGGCATGATACTTCTGCCTCGCAGCCTGGCTCTTCCACGTCTGCTTCGTGACAAGGCTCGCACCGCAGCGTTCCATCGATCCTTGGCTTCAGCAGCATCCCCCTTCGCCCGCAGCATCGCTCCAACGCCAGGTCGTCACACTTTCGCTCGTTTCCAGTCCTCGACATCCCGTATACAGGCCACCACCTCGGCTGTAGACAACGTTCCCTCCGTCATGCCTACTACTCGTGCCGCTCCGAGCGAGCCCTTCCCGCTTGGTGGTCTCTTGCCCAAAGACACCACAGACGCGCTCAGCTTCCTTCGCAAGTATCCCGAATACGATGGCCGTAATGTGCGAGTGGCGATCCTTGACACTGGCGTAGACCCTGCTGCCATCGGTCTCAATCAGCCAGGAAAGGTCGTCGACGTCATCGACTGCACAGGCGCAGGTGACGTTCCCCTCCAACCCATCGAACCCGTAAATGGCACCAGCGCCAGCAGCTCGGGACACATCGAATTCACATCGCCTTTCACCGGCAGGACCATTCGTGTCTCCTCCAAGGTGTCCAATCCCAAGGGCGAGTGGAAGATTGGTTTCAAGAAGGCGTACGACCTCTGGCCAGGCGAGCTCAAATCCCGTCGCTCTGCAGAAAGGCAGAAGGCTTTCCTTGTCTCCCACCAAGCCCTTCTCTGCCAGGCTCAGAGCGAGCTCAACGCCCTTGACCTCCCCTCTGCCTCCAAGTCGTCCGAAGATGCCAGCTCAGGCTCCGACAAGAGCGCTCCCACCGACAACGCAAAGATTTACAAGGATGAGATCAAGGCCCGCGTTCAAGCGCTCAAGGATCTCGCCGCTTCCTACAAGGACGATGGCCCCCTCATCGAAGCCATCGTCTTCCACAATGGCAAACATTGGTACGCTATTATTGGCGGAGGCGAGGGTGAAACCCACGATCCTGCCACCGGCCAGCCACAGGACATTCTCAAGCCCCTCGAGCTTCAGACTTTGGACCTCACTGACGTCGAGCCCATCACCGACTTCCGCATCGAGCGCAAGTGGCAGAGCTTTGGCCAACAGGATCTCCTCACCTATACAGTCAACATCCAAGACAACGGCAACCTCCTCAGCCTCGTCACCGTGGCAGGAAGTCACGGTACCCACGTCGCTGGCATCGTCGGCGCTCGCCATGATGAGCAGCCCGAGCTCAACGGTGTCGCTCCCGGATGCGAGATTGTCAGCATGAAAATTGGCGATTCCCGCCTCGGAAGCATGGAACAAGGTCAGGCTATGCTTCGTTCGGCGCAGGCGCTCATTGACACCAAGTGCGACATTGCCAATCTCAGCTACGGCGAGGACGGCGCTTTCGGTGCCGAAGACAAGGGCGCGTTTGCCAAGGCTCTCCGCGATATCGTCGTCCGTCAACGCGATGTTCTCTTTGTCAGCAGTGCCGGCAACAATGGTCCCGCGCTCACCACGGTAGGTCAACCAGGTGGTACCACCTCATCGGTGCTTAGCGTCGGTGCCTACGTAAACGCAGGTGCTATGCAGAAGGCCGAGTACGCCCTCGTCGAGAAGGGTGTTCCCGACAGTGTCACCACCTGGTGCAGCCGTGGTCCCACCTCGGACGGTGACCGTGGTGTCTCGATCTACGCCCCCGGTGCTGCCATCACTTCCATTCCTCGCTACTGCCTCCAATCGACCCAGCTTATGAACGGAACCTCGATGAGCTCGCCCAATGCCTGCGGTTCCATCGCCCTCCTCCTCTCCGGTCTTAAGGCTCAGAAGATTCCCATCACGCCTGCTCGCGTCTTCAACGCTGTCCGCGCCACGGGCAAGGACGTCAAGGATCCGCTCGGCGTACCCTTCATCAGCGTAGACTCTGCCTGGGACTATCTTGTGCAGAACAAGGATCGTGTCGAGCAGGATGCAGAGTACCGCGTAAGTGTCACCCGCGCTGGCAAGGCGCTGGGTCGCATGGACAAGCGAGGCATCTACCTCCGCGAGAAGGACGAGACGCATAGCGTTCAGCAGACCAACGTCACCGTGCGACCCACCTTCAAGCAGGGCGAGACCGAAAAGGCGTTCAACCTCGAGCTCAGATGCGCGCTTGCTGCCACCAAGCCTTGGGTTTCGGTGCCCGAATTCCTCCTCCTGGGCGGCAACGGTCGCACATTCGAAGTCAGGGTCGACCCCACCGACCTGGCTCCTGGTCTCCACCATGCATGGATCGAGGCGTACGACACCGAGAAACCTGGACACAAGCTCTTTGACGTTCCTGTGACGGTCGCCAAGCCCGAGGTGTTCCCTTCGCCTACGGTCAAGTTCGACACGATCCGCTTCGAGGCTGGCAAGATCGAACGACGCTTCATTTCTGTGCCCGAGGGTGCCACGTGGGCTTCGCTCACTGTGCGCAGTTCCAATCACTCGTCCGCCGGCACCAGCGCCCGCTTCTGGCTGCACTGTGTCCAGCTCGAGCCTCTTCAACGTCTCAGCGAGGTCGAAAAGGCCTTCGTCCTCGCCTTGCAGGAGAACGAGCCTGTGACCAAGAAGTTCAACGTGCGCGGTGGCATGACCATGGAAGTCTGCTCTGCGCAATTCTGGTCCAACAAGTCGGCCTTTGATCTCGACCTCGACATCGAGTTCCACGGCATCACGGCTTCGCTTGTCCCTGCCAGCGGACGCCAGGAGCTGACGCTCATCGGTGGTCAGGGTCACGCAAAGATCGAGTGCCAATCCACCGTACGCATCGAAGACTTCAAGCCCAGCATCACCTTTGACACTCGTCGAACGTTCCACCGTCCATCATCGTCCACCATCCGACCGCTCTCGACACCGCGAGACCTCCAACCCAGCGGCAACCACATGTTCGAGCTCGTGACCACGTACAACATCTCGGCGAAGGAGGAGTCGAACAAGCTCAGCTACTCGTTCCCTGCGCTGGGCAACCACCTGTACGACTCGAGCGTGCCGCTGTTGACGCAGCTGTTTGATCTGCGCAAGAAGCGCGTCCACTTTGGCGATGTGTACAAGAAGGAGATCGAGCTGCCCAAGGGCGACTACGTGCTCAAGGCCCAGCTGCTCAACGAGAGCATGAAGGTGCTCGAGTCGCTCAAGAATGTGACGCTGATGGTGGATCAGAAGCTGTCTAAACCGGATTCGGCGGCGTTGAAGCTGTACGACGACCATGTGGATTTGCACTCGGAGGCTGCGCCGGCGAAGTATGCCGGAGTGAAGCTGCATCCGGGCGAGAGGATCGTGTTGACGCTGGATCTGAATTTGGAGGGCGATGCGGTGCCGAAGGAGGCGTCGCCGGGTGATGTTTTGGTGGGAACGTTCGGATTCGCTGCGGAGGGCAAAGGTCAGATTCGATACATTGTTCCTCCTGCGGTCAAGAACGCTGATGAAGGATCGGACGATGGCGCTGCTCAGGGGAAGAACGAGAACGAAATCCCGGAGCTGCTGACCGCCACAGCCAAGAAGATCAAGGATCCGAAGGAGAAGCTCGACTTTATGGACAAGCTGATCTCTGACTATCCCAAGTTCCTCGGTGCGCCGGTGGCCAAACTGGAAGCCCTCGATGCCGACGACAAGGATGCAGACAAGCAAAAGCAAGTCGTGACCACCGCCGACCAGATCCTCTCGCACATTGACGAGACCGAGCTGAAACTTTGGCTGGCCACTCAAAAGCCCTCCGCTTCCGAGCAGACGGACGAAGAGAAGAAACACAACAAGCAGATGGAGGAGAAGAAGAAGGCGTTCATCCTCGCGCTCAACCGCAAGACTCGGGTGTACATGACCCAAGCCGAGAGCTCCGGTTCGTCGACCAAGGAGCTCGAGTCGAGCTGGAAGGTGTACCGCTCGTACTTCCCGGCGGACAGCAAGGCGAAGGAGTACGGGACGCTGTTTGTCCGATGGTCGATCCTGCACAAGCGGTTTGCGTTGGCGCTGCAGAGCGTGCAGAAGCTCAAGAAGGAGTTGGGGGCAGGGACGGGAGAGACGTTGGCAGAGGTGGAGAAGCTGAAGCAGCTCGAGTTGAAGTTGGTCGGAAAGGATGGGTTGGACTGGGCTCTGTGGGCGAGTCATTTGGAGAGGTTGGAGCGGGTTGCGGCTCCCAAGGCTTACGCTCCTTTCTAAGAGAGAATTGATGGTGTGATGAAACAGATTGATTCAATGAATAAGTTATATGATCTTGACAAGATGGCTTGCGGAACAGGGGATGATGTGAGTGGAGAGAGTGATGAGCCGGGAGAGCAAGGATGCTAATCGTCGGTACCGACCGATACCTCCTGCCTGATCTCTGGTAGATAACTGTACTGATCCTGGTTCTTTACCGTCTCTTCGATGCTCTTTCTGTTCTCCCTGTTCTCCTTCTTGCTCTGCTCCTGCTTTTCGCCTTCGACGATGGCCAGGTTGGATTCGTCCCTGAAGGTCTCGAGCGCTCTGAGTGCAGCACCGCTTTCGATGCTGCGTCTTGCGAGGTCTGTCGCCTGCTTGAGGGAGGATGCGTACGAACCTACGTACAGCAATGCAGCGGTTTGGAGCAGGGTGTAGTCCTTGACGGCTTGCAGCCTGACGCCTCGAGGGATGGTGGGTAGCGAACGGACGTGGACCAGCGTTTCCGGTGCGAAGTTGGCAAAGTCCCGGGGATCCAGCGCGAGATTGGAGTCGAGCGGCTCGTGTTGCAAGGTGCTCGAATCCGGTGTAGAGAACATCTTGAGTACGATGGCAGCATTTTCGTCGGCGGAATGACTCCCCACGTGCTCCAGCGGATGACTCTCCAACCCAAAGTCCTTCGGTTCGATGGTGAACTCCTTGATCTCACCTGCATTCAACTCCCAAACGTCCGTTTTGCCAGCAGGCGAGATCTCGTCCAACCCTTCCTGTCCGCATACGATCCAAGCACGCTGCGTTCCTCTCTTTCTCAAAGCTTCGGCAAAGATTCGACCGAGGTAGTAGCTGTGTACGCCGAGGATGCAGCGTTGCGGTTTGGCTGGGTTGATCAGCGGACCCAGGACGTTGAAGATGGTGGGAAAGCCGAGGGATCTTCGGATGGGACCGAGAGGTGCTAGTGCCGGGTGGTAGAGTTGAGCGAATAGGAAGCTGAATTTGCTTTTCCGAAGGACGTCGGGAAGTTGAGATGCTGGGAGTGAGAGTAGAGGGATACCCAGGGACATGAGTAGATCCGCTGAACCGGAGGTTGAAGAAGAGGCTTTCGCTCCGTGCTTGCATACCCTTACGCCTTTGACACCCGCCGCGACCATAGCGGCTGTTGTGGAAACATTGAACGTATCCTTCCCATCTCCACCTGTTCCTACCAGATCCAGCGTTCCACGATACTCGACACCAGAGTCGTACTCTTCCGCCTCCCGATCGAGCGGTGGAACATGAACATCCAAACAACAGTCCAGAAAGATGCGTGCCGCAAGAGCGAACGTCTCGGCCTGGATGTCGAGTCGACAGAACTTGAGACACGTCAAGGCCGAACCGATCTGGGCGTGGTTCTCTCGGGAGGAGGTGAAGTTGGGATCCGCGAGGTGCTGAAGGATCTGTTCGAGTTGTGTGTGCGTGATCGTCGAGGTTCCTGAGGGGTGGTTGGGTTGACCGGATTGCGAGTCGACGGAAGCGGCGAGCGCGAGCGCTTTGAGCAGCGGGCGAAAGGTGTCTGCTGTGTGATGGGGAGTGCCGTTCGGATGGACGGCACTTGTAGCGGAGGTCGTTGGGGCCGTCGTCGACATGCTCGGTGATGATGCTACGGTGATAAGGTCCGTTGGAGAGATGAGCAAGGCTGATATAGACAGTTCCGAGAGATGCTGTGACTCGATGTCGTGCAATGAAGAGAGTGGGCTAGGAGCAGGCGACTCAGGTTGAGACTTCCCACGCCTCGCCGAAATGAGCTGGTGGGGATGGGAAAAAGGTGCAACAGCGATGTTGTCCGTGGGTGATACGGTAAAGGAGGTCGTCCGTGTTGAATCTCGACAAGAGCGTTTCTTCTCAAAACCAAAAAGAACGGCTATCAAGCAAAATTGCGCTCAACCGGCGTCCCGCAGAATTTGGCGTCCTGTCGCAAAATGACTCGTTCAAATCCCGCACCACCATACCTTGTACGCAAAGACTCGATGTACAACAAGTCAAACCGCTGAGAGCACGTGTATCACCACCATGCATCGACTGTCCTCAGCACCAAACACGGAGTGCCATTGTCCGAATGCAACCCAAGCCGCGCAAGCTCATCTTTCAGCGTTTCTCATGCTCCAACTAGCTCTCACCTGGCAGGCATCGACGTCCGTGATCGACGACAACAGCCAAGTGGTGGCTCCTTACTGAATCCATCTCACGAATTTCGACCTTCTAAAGCTGAATAGCTTTCAAAGGCAAACAAAGCGCTGCTGGTTTCAAGTAGTCTAGATTAAGGCAATCGACATGTCTGTGTAGCTGCCGTGGGTTCATGCTGTGAATCATCAGTCGACGTCTCTGACCTGCCATTCGCTGCTGCAATCAAGCCTACACGACGACTGCTTTTGAGCTTTCAGATGCGTCCGGCCTCCTTGAGCTTGGAGATCAGCTCGTCAACGTTCTCCACCTTGGCACCTCCCTCGCGCTTGGGAGGCTCGGCGACCTTGAGAATCTCCTGTCGAGGCTTGACCTGGTCCTCCAGACCCAGATCCTTGAGCGAGTACTTCTTGAACGGCTTCTTCTTGGCCTTCATGATGTTGGGCAGCGATGCGTAGCGTGGCTCGTTGAGTCGAAGATCCGTGGTCATGACGAAGGGAAGTTTGGTCTTGACGATGCCGAGACCGCCGTCGATTTCTCGTGTCACTTGGGCCTCTGCACCCTTCTCTGGCTTGCCCGATGGGAATTCGAGCTTGCTGGCGTATGTGGCTTGGGGCCAGTTGAGCAGACCTGCGAGCATCTGTCCGGTTTGCGAGGCGTCGTCGTCGATGGCCTGTTTGCCCATGATGATCAGCCCGACTTCCTCCTCCTCGCCTGCCCTCTTGACGATCTCGTTGAGAATCTTGGATACGCCCAGTGGCTCCAGAGGGTTGGCGACGGCTTTGTCGGGCACTTCAACGTGGATGGCGTCGTCGGCGCCCATAGCGAGAGCAGTTCGGAGCACATCGGCGGTCTTGGGTGGTCCCACGGATACAACCGTCTATGCGAGAACAAGAGGAGGGCGGAGCAGAGCAGATAGATCGAGTCAGCAAAGCGGTCGCACAAACGGCGTTGAACTGAGGTCAGATACGTACGATCTTGGTGATGGCGTCCTTGTACTTTTCACGCAGGCGAACAGCCTCCTCTACTGCGATTTCATCGAACGGGTTCATGCTGAACTTGACATTTTGATCGACACCCTTGCCGTCGGATGCGACACGAATCTTGACGGCTGCGATCGCCGAGTGAGGCGGCGTTCAGCGAAACGAGGATGCAGGAGCAGGCTCTGTGTCAGTCAAGTCTCGAATCCGAGCGGGCAGTCACGCAGGCAGACTTACCATAGTCGATGGTCCTCTTGACGGGTACGAGCACCCTGAGCTGGTTGACTAGAGATGCGCGCATGATGGTTGTGGTGGTTGCGAGATGTGGCAAAGGTTGGGCACGATTGTGGTTCAGAAGAAGGTGAAGCGGCGAATGCAGATCGAAGCTTGTGCACCATTCCGGGGTGGAGCAATGCGCCGCTGCTGTCCTGTTGGCTTCTGTCACTTTCGGATGAGTCGGTTCTCGGCCTCTTACAAAAGCGACGGAGCAGACGAGCGCGATTTCACGGATCAGCCGGGTTGAAAGCCTCACCCGGGCTTCACGTCCGAGAGAGATCAAAATTGCAGATTTTCAGATATGCTTGAATTTTACAGAGGCGTAACATTGTAAGTTTAAAACAAGATCAGGTTACAGCTTGAGGTTGCCCATCGACGCAACGAGATCAAGCAGCTTTGCCATGGGACTTGGACGACACTTTACGGTTTACGAGGCTCCCCATGGTCATCTTCCTGACCTGCCTGACCAGCTGATCACAGTGTTGTTCCTTCCAGCGAGCCTCCATTGACAGTAGTGAGCGCAGTCATGTTAGTCCACGAGTTGATTGGCTGAATACAGTATTTACAGGGTAGATGCTTCGTCCATCGACGTTGTCGTTCGGGGGAGGATTCTGCATCTAGACGAGGCCGTCGTAGAGCGAAAGCGCCTGCACAATGGTGGGATCCTGTTTGCTTCCCTCTTGGAACTCCTCGAACGAGACTGCGGTAGAGAGCGACAAGATGAAAGAGCGAATATAGTCAAGATCAGGGAAGATCGCATTGTTGACATCGTAGCGGAGAGGAGCAAGCAAGAACCAGTCAGCTTCTGCATAGATGACTCTGGAGGATTGTGAGCCTCTCGACGACGAAGTGTGAACTTACGCTGCGCGTTCTTGTCCTTGTCCATCATGCGGAAGATCTTGTCCACCCTCTGTTGCACCAAATTCAAAGGGTACGAGGGCCGAGCCAAGTATCAGCTATGCTCTGCAATAAGGACCAGTGCAGGTCTTGTCAAGGGCCTGCTTACCTTTTCCGGTGTGTCCTCGTCCTCTGGCAACTTGACCATCTGACCAGTCATCTTGTAAATGCTCCTCACGATGGCTGTGGAGCGGGCGATGAATTTGGAAAAAAGGAGTCAGGTTAGTTGTCTGTGTTTCACGCCTGCATCGTGTAGCAGAGAGGAGCGCCTCCTACTCACTGAGCATCTCGTCATAGGTGATGGTACCGTCTCCGTCGATATCATAGAGCTGGAATGCCCATCGTAGCTTCTCGTCGAGCCTTCCTCGCGAGGTGACGCTGAGTGCGCAAATGAACTCCTTGAAGTCGATGGTGCCGTTCTTGTTCTCGTCAAAGACATTGAACACGTATTCTGCGAACGTGGATGGATCGCCGAACGGGAAGAATTGCTTGTAGATACGGCAGAATTCTTGCTTGTCAAGCGTTCCGGAAGGGCAGTCCTTGAGGAAGCCCTTGTACCATTGCTGCAGCTCCTTCCTGTCGACTGCAGGCGCCGCAAATCAATACAAAGGTCAGAAAGGCGTACAAGAAGGTGGACGATCAAAGTAAGATGCAAAGTGAAAGAATTGTGATCAGCTGCGAACTTCTAATCGAGCATAGAGGTCAGACCATCGACTTACAGTAGGTGTTCTTCTGCAGGTCCGAGAGCTGCTCCGGCGAGAGCTTCGATTGATTCTTGCCCATGGCGTATGTGTGTGATGTCGATAGCAGCGGAAATTCCGTGATTGTACCGACGTGGTTAGCGGATGGTGGAGTGTAGTCAAGATGTAGCAGGATCCGACGACGACAAAGTTGACACTTGTTTCTCTATGCTGCCTTGGCGCACGGGGTCCACCGTTGGCGAAAGTGACACTCGGATCAAAGCAGCACAGCAGGCTGTGTCCGCATCGCGAGCGGGAACTTGCATTTCTCGCGTTTTTATGCAGCAGCGGCGTCATTGCCAATTCCAAAGCTTCCGTGGCTCGGCTGCTGCTTTCTCATCGCGTGAACAGTGCCATCGTCTGGAATTTCCTGATTTCTAACCTTGTGCCGCTGACCGGCTGGCAACAAAGGCACAGCCGCTACACCATATGAGAGGTACCAGAGTGTGAGATCGCGCTGTCGAGTGACTGACAGCAGAGCGCCAAATTTCTAATTCGAGATGCAAAGCTCATAAAGTGGCTGCGAGGGCTATGTCCAGCGTCTGACCCTCGAAAAAAAGTCTTGGCGCTCTCGTACTTGAGTCTCAGCGGGCAGCTTACATCGACACGTTTTCGCCAAGCTTTTCTTTTTTGCTTCCATGGTCAGATCTCTCGACTTTCTCGCGAAGACCGTAGGAGCGCAGCACAGGAAGCGAGCAGATTTTGTCCTTATCCCATATCCTCATCGTAGCTTAGGTTCAAACCTGACGAGAAAAGAAGGTTCTTTGAAACCGAGGCTGTGTTCACTGTTCGTGTTGAACTTGGGGCGTTGGAGCCTTTATACAGCTTTCGGAGTTCCACCGAGTCAACAGCCGGAATCTTCGAGCAACGGCAGCTACAGAGCAGCCCATTCGAGCGAGAAGGTGACGAAGAATGGAGATGTCGTCGAGTGTTTGATCCGATCGGGCCGATCTTTTTGGCAATCCGACACGATACTCCCCGATGTGACAAGTGGAGGTGTTGATGCGACAAAAAAAGCAGCAGGACGTGTGCATGCTGCGCAGCGCACGTCAAAGGCTCAGTCGAGCTGGAATTCAGGGTCCTGCTTCAAGAAGCATGCATTCATCCTTCCTCCATCCTTCTTCCACCTTTGTGCATCGACCTCTCTTTCCTCTGCGCATACACCAAGTCGGTGCATGGTGCCACCATCGCGCACCTCCATCGCTGCGCATCACCGCGACATACTTCGACGCTGAACAAAAGTCCAACGTACGAACCGGAAGCATGTCCAAACTCAGAAACTCCCATCACGGTAGCTGAGCCCGCCCCGCCTTCAGATAGCAAAACCTCATCAGGTCTCAGCACAGCTTCGACGTGCACGAGGCCAATAGACGAGACTCCTTGCCTGCAACTCGGCGACCTCGGACATAATGAATCCTGAGCCTCCTTTGCCGCGGCCCACCATCGTGGCAGGCTCTCGCTCGTCGAGTCGAGCCTCCTCGAGAGGGAGAAGCATAGCTTCATCGGGGTTGACGAGCAGATCCGCATCCCCTGCACAACCTCCTGACGCTATTGCGCGCGATCCTAGTGCCGGGCCGTCGTCTCGTCCTTTGTTTCGAGCTGGTCGATCAGCATCTCGAGACGCCGTTGCGTCTTCCTCCAATACCGGCACAATGCACATGTCGGCAGCTCGCACTCACACGCGACATACGGCAGATGCAAGCGACTTGATCGTGATCAGTAGCGACAGCTCCGAGGACGGCGATGATGATGATGATGACGACGACGACGACGGATTCGTAGCACAGTGGCCCACAAATCCCGTGATCAGACCACCTCCTACTGACTTCTTCGAGGTGGCTGACGTTCGACGAGCACAACTGTCGCCTTCCATCCCGCGCGATGGACTCTTCTCCCCTCCGCCACTGCCTGGTAGGCCGGCTGAATCTGTCCTGCTTGCGGGTGGGTCAACAGTCCGAAGAGCTGGTGTCAGCGCCGACCCGCGTACAGGAGAGTTTCTGACACGGCCAATGTCAATTGTGAGACCCGCGGATTCAGTAGCATACTCGGATCCCGACGGCAGCTTTACCCTGGTCTCCGCTCAGACGGCACCGTCGCCACCGCCTCCTCCTAGAAGCGATCATCCCATCACGGACCAGCGATTACGCTCCTCCAATCTGGCCATGCCCACCAAATCGCCGCCTCGATCCAAGCCTCCGCCAATCGAACACCCACTGCTTTCGACCTACACGTGTCCCATCTGCTTTGATGCTCCCACAAATCTCTGCGTGACTCCCTGCGGTCACTTCTTCTGCGGCGAATGCCTTTTCCAAGCTCTCAAGACTCAAGCTGTCCAGCGTGGGGCGATGGAAGAGGAAGCATCTCTCTTTCACTTTGGCGGACTCTTTTCTTCCTTTGTTCCCGCAGCCGCATTCGGAGCGGCATCGGGCGGAGGCGGCCCCTTGAACCCTGCGGTACCAGGCCATGGTGGTGGCGCAGGTCCAGCAGGACCATCGCCCGGAGCAGGACACGGTCGAGGTGGAGGTGGGGCAGGGGGCTCTCGCGGTGGTGGTACCAGTGGCGGAAGGGGAAGGAGTAAGCCGGATCCTTTGGCTGGCCAATGCCCGGTGTGCCGAGCCAAAATCAAGGGAGCATTCAATGGCAGGGAGAAGAACGGCATCGTTGGGTTACGACTTACGATGGGCAAGCCAGTCAACGATCCACGACAGGACAACGGACAGATGAAGACGAATCGGGCGGCGGAAATTGCTGAAGCAAGCAGTGGTAGCGAATCAGACGACGAGGAAGAGACCCTGCTTCCTACGAGCAAGAAGCTCGAAGCAGTCACTGACGGTAGTTTCGACCAGATCGATGCAGCTGCAGACAGCCCCCGAGCCGCTCGTCGACGCCAAAGATCCGTCAACAACAACGCATCAGCCTCGATGACAGGTCAGACTCCCACCACTCCTGGGAATGGCTCACAAACAAGGAAAAGGCGTCGCAATGCTTCCGACGCTTCTGCGGCATAGACAGGGAAGCCACATGAAGGGAAATCGTAACAGTCGGACACCAGCGACGGTGCCTTTGCAGACAATGGGCGTACACACAAGAACGCTGCTTGACGATGCGCATCTTGAAGGGCGTCTCTCGCACGCAATCACATCCTCAAAGATCAATCGCTGGACTCGCAGCGCCAAAACGTGTACCGTATGCGGAAAGGCTAGGCCCGCTAGCGCTTGGAGGAGGCGGTAGACTGACACTGCAGCCGATCAAGCGTGAGGCGTGGCACGTCGAAAAGGGGTCCATTGCTGCTAGATGTGCGCCTTTGCTCGCGCTAACGTCTCACGGGCACGGCATGTGCCTGGCGCTACCGACTCATTAGACCTCCAATCGTGTCGGCACCAGAACGATGGCGATGTTTATGCCACATCCGCCGACAACGCATGACTTTGTCTATGAGGCGCTGTAGGCGTGCTTTCGCGCTGATCCTCGCCAAAGGCGTCATTCATTCGCCGTCCCCGTCTGCGCTATTTGGATCTTGGTCTTTGCCCGACGCCTCCATGCATGTGGCCCAGCCATCTCCTGCTTGAACAGGTCTGCCATGGCAAATCCGCGGCGGCGGCGGTGGGACGGGTGATCAACATGTCAACAGGACGACCCTCTCGGGCGGAGAAAAACGAAAAGCCGAAATCACGAAGGACGCAGGAGGAAGACGGCCCAGAAATTGTCTCACTTTCAAAGCACTTCGGTGAAAGGCATAGCAATGAATCGTCTTTGTGCCTGTGTCTCGGGCGTGCAACTCCGCTCACGGATTCCGGCAGGCAAATTGATTTCGAAGCTTCCTCACTCAGAGACAGCAAACAGACTTTCCAAAGACTTTTCGCAAGCATATTGCAATGAAGTTTGTGGCACGACGTGTGACATGTCTTGCCCCTGCCGGGTGACCGTAGGTGGCGTTGAATTGTGAGCACGTTGGCGTCTCGCAGCAGACTTGTCCTTGCATTGCCGGTGGTTGTGGAGTGTATCGACAGCCGGGCCTGCTCGTCGCCTTGGACTACCTCGACTGTGTCTGAGACTGTCTTGCTCCGTGCTATTGATGCCAGAGTCCAGCCACAAACAAACGACAATTTTCGAAGATCTCCGCGGTCACCTCTTGGCAGCGAATCCTGACGCCGACAGTGGTGTCAAAGGCAAACCCAGCTCGGCCTCCGAACGGTCAAGGTGACAATCCCTCTGGCAAGTCGTACGATTTTCGCTAAATATCGGACGGTCTTCCGAGTTTCGGGCAGCACAGTCGATCCGTGTCTAGACCCCTGCGTTCCGCGCTGCAGTGTCGAGGAGAGCGGAGTGGCTTGTCTGGCCCGACCAGCGCTACGTCCAGCAAGCAAGGTGTGCGACTCATTGCTGGTACCAGGACTGGGCGTGCTTGAAGCTCTTGCTTGGCGGGCTTGTCCTTGGATCCCTGAACTCAATCTGGAAGGATATCTGTACGGATCGGCGATCACAAGCAAGAGTATAGCGCCGTCAGTCATGTTGAGCGTAGACCGGCAAACATCATCGTGCTCATTGTCAGACAGGCAAAGCCACACACGAGGTTGCAAAGCCGAACTCCAAAACAATGTTTCAGAAGTGCAGCGAAGAGCGAGCGCCTTTTGCCATTGCTTCGCTCGTTGACTAGCGTGTCTCGTACACTGTTGTACGCGGATGTCGGCACTTCTCTTTTTCCGAACGTGCTCGCTTGACTTCGCGAGCTGACGTCGCTAGACGAGGATACTCTCTCTCGTGCTGTCCGTCAACCCGAATATTGACCATAACAGGCCCGCGCTATTGCAATTAACGGGATCAAATCGGTGCTACCTTTCTGTCTCGCGTGGAGACATTTACGATCCCGCCTCCCATCTTCCCGTATTGCGATTTCGGCTATCTCGATAAGCACGAGCTCAACTCGAGGCTCCTGACCTCGCCAAGCTGGTCCTCGGCCACCGATTAGAATCAGAGTACAGTAGCCAAAGGTCAGCCTTGATAGATCTACGGACTTAGTTTCTTGCGAAACTCCTTATCCAGAAGCAGTCCAAAACACCACAAATGATTGATACCGGTCGCTCGGAACTTTTGAATTTTTTGTTCTCGTCTTACAAAGGCTTCCATAGTCTCATCGAACAATGCTATGCTCGTCCCCACATCTCCTATTGTTGAACGAAAGCGACCATTGCGTCTTTTGTCATTGTGCTGGCGACCCCACGAGCTTCTGACTGATCGCTGGCAGAGGAGGACCGACGTTCTGCGTGCGCGCTTCTCCGATCGATGACCAACTGGGCTTTGAGCTGTCAAACAGAAATTCCCATACTATCGGCACAAGATCAGTGTAGCACGCGACTGCATGAATCGCCGGTAGTGAGACATTTTTCTCTTTCAAAATTTCAAATTCTTCAACGTCGCCGTCTGCAACTGCCTTTCTCTATGGGCCGCTCGCTGCCAATGGCTCTTGCCGTGTTCGCTTCGCTTCGCAAAGGTTCCCGGTGCGAACTCGCTTCCTCCTCACCCAAGATCTTATTATAAATTTCAAACTTTGTGCTGCGCCAGTACCAGTGGACACATCTCCTTTCCTCGTGCCAAGCATGTGAGAAAGGTGCGGAAAAGGGCTGGACCCTCTCGACCTTTCTGCTCCGGTCCGCCTTGTCGCTCTCTCTCTCTACCCTGTCGATAATGATCGCCGTTCTTTCCAGGACGAACAGCAGATCGCAGTCGAGAAGAGCTCTCACAATCTCTACATCGCCAAAAGGCCACCTTGCAGCCTGAGAAAGACTTGGAAGAGTCTAGAGTCTCGTCATCGGTCAACGGCTGCATGTTGAAATGAAGTTGGAAAATCATGTCGGCGCTTGTGCCTGCAGGTCCCTGCTGCTGACGCACAGCTAGGGTATTGCGAGCATACCCGTCGCGAGATCAGTGGTGTCGAGCTGCTCGCTAACTTTGCTTGCCTTTCCGAGCTTGAGACCCTTGCCCATGCTCGTTTCTTTCTCGAAATGAAAGATTCGGATGTAGATCTAGCGTATCTCTACCTCGGCTCATACCGAATCTCTGGTCGATGTGCTTGGCTTCGGCCGGTTGAGTATAGCGAAGAATCGACACACCCTGTCATGATCAAACGATGGACATCTCGAAAGCACTGAGGGGATTCGAGAGATGATGAACCATTGGTTCTGAGCAGGGCTCAGGCTCGAGCGCACGGCTTTGGGCTGTCATCACTGCCGTTGCGGTTCGCGATTCTCCCACCCGGAACGCCTCGTTCCAACTGAGACATTCGTGAGCTCAGCGGCCTTGGATGGTTTGACACGCGCTCCTTTCAACTCCGTCCCCAAGCTTCTCACCTCTAATGCACCCTCTGCATATCGATGAGCTTCCCTCGCTCCAAGCTCGAGCCATTTTCATTTCGGTGCCCGCCCACTTAACTTGATCCCTGCCTGGATAGATAGCCTTGACGACGCCCTCCAGGATATCTTTCTTGCCCGGACGAATGTCTCACACCTGCGTCGTTTTTTGGTCCCAGCACAACAGCAGCATTTCGAGCTGCAAACACCTCGCGCTCGGTCCGGCATGACCTAGACACACTTGTCTCGCTTAACGGAACTGGGAATATTTGTACACCTCGCCATGTCTCGGCGCTTGCAACTACAAACACATGTCGAGCTGTCTTTCTGTTTCCATTGCCCTCTTCTTCCTGGTGTGCATTGTAGACGGCGACGCACCACTCGCCGCAGCGTCGGTCAAGCAAGTTCGAGACGAGCTCCAGACGATGCGCTCCGAGCGCCTGCGGTGTCTGCTGTGCGCCGTTGAGGATCTGCTGAGTGAGAAACCCCCCTTCCCAGATGTCAGCACCATTACAGTAGCGTGCTTGTGATGATACCGAGCGCTTCCTTCCTGCGCCAAGACGGAGATTGCTCGCAAAGGCCAGGCAGGAGCGACTCTACACTGAAGCGATCCGCAGCTTATGAGCAGCTCATATCTCTGCTGCACCTGCCTCATCTTTCCTTCATATATCTCCCCCTCATCAGCTTCCATCGCCACTGCAGGCCCCCTTTCCTCACCTCACAATCCTCTCCGACCACGGCCTGTCCTCACGACTCTGCACTCTCGACGCTCCGATCAATCAGCGTCCCTCTTGCTCGTCGGCTTCTTACCTTGTCCCAACTCTATCGCTAGGTCCTGGCCAATCTAGCCTTGCCCTTTCTATCTCTTGCTTTCGCTTTCACCCTCCTGCGTCGCTCCCGTCGAGAGCCGTGAGGGCTGCACACAGCATCATGCAGGGCAGCTTCGCCTCGTCTTCTACCTCGCTACCTGCTGGTGGCGAGAAAAAGGCAAAGCGCAACCTCTTCAAGCGAGTCACGCTTCGGCCGAAGCCTTCCCTCAGCGTTTCGACTTCTGCCTTTGCTTCCCCTGCCGCAGAATACTCGCCGCGACGAGCATCAGAGATGACCGCCAGAGACGCTTCGCGCCAGACGATCGATATTGGCAGGAGCGTTCCCGCTACGCCGAAGAGCGCACGCTCAACGAGGTCGTTTGATGCCAAGTCGCTCGCGCTTGCAACGCGAGTCACAACGGAGTCTGCTTCGAGGAGTAAGCGCTTCTCGGTCAAAAGCGATGCTCCGCCTGTTCCGTACATTCCCAAGTCATATCTCATTTCGGACGAGATCTTTGTCATTGCCAACCTCCCACCGGTAGCCGAAGTCGTTGCTCCGACACCGCGCATCAGCGAAAGCTCCAGCGCACCGTCAAGTTACTCGATGATGTCGTCCACCTCGTCTCGGTCATCCAGCAGTTGGCTCGATGACTTGCAAAACGTCGGCTTCCCGTCACCACCCTCGGGCGACAACGCTACGTTCTCGCCCATGTACGTCCGTAGCGGACCCGAGGCCAAATATGAACCTACTCGCTCGAGTTTGGACGATATTGATGATCAGATCGTTCTCAATCTCTGCCTCAACCTTTGCGACGACACAACCCCGACGGGGCTGGCTCCCACCGACATGGAACGGGACACCACATCCACGCGGTCTCATCGAAGGACCTCCAGTCTTGCATCCGTCCCGTTAGAGAGCCTGTCTCGCTCTCTACACACCCGAACTGCTTCGGCGCCCCTCTCTCTCGGACCGCTACCACCTCAACCGACTCAGGCACCTGCCGAGGCCGTGCTCCGCAAGACGAACGCGATCAAGAAGCGATACAGCAGGCAGCTTCCTTCGCCCAAGCTTCCCTCGCAGACCAACTCGCCCGCTCTGGGCAGCGGCAAGGAAGACGATGCCAGTTGCTACTTTGGCGCTGCCCGTGCCGCACCCAGCACGCACCGGCTCGACAGCATCTCGAGCCTCAAGACCATCGAAGCCGACCTCTCGCACGACTCCAAGATGGTCAAGAGGAACCACCAGCGATCTTACTCGAAACACTCCATCACGAGCGAGCAGGATTTTTTGGGCGTGCCGCGTCATGTCGAGCTGACACCTGGACGTGGCGCGGCACGCAAGACAGCGGCGGATTTTGAGAGTGAGGTCGAGCAGCACAATCTGCGCTCGCGATGGTCCGAAGACTCGGAGGATGGCAGTGGTGGTGTGGAAGAGGTGAGACGCTTGTTCTCCTCGCTCCTCTCTCCCAAGCTTGGTAGCGCTCCCAAGATGACGTCTTCGCTCTCGAGCTATTACACGATCGCTGAGGGGGACAGCGCCGTCAGCGGCACCAAGACGCCGGACATGATCTCGGTTCGACACTCGAGCTCGTCCTCTTCGTCGAACAGCTCCATTTCGGACTTCTCGGATCTCACCGTCGCAGCCCCTTCCTCTTCGAAGGTCAAGGCTGTTGAGGACGAACAAGAGACTCTGTTCGATTTTTCCCGCGCCAGCCTGGACTACCGAGCCATATACGCCCTCGCTCAGCAGTACGCTGCCAGCAACAGCACTTCCCCCGCACCATCGCGCAACCCATCTCTGCGCCGAGCATCGACGCTCAAGGTGAAACAAAGTGGTAGTCACAAGTTGTCATCCCTGCTTCCGAATGCTTCGGCTTCTCGTTCGCTCAGAAGCCTCGCCGTCGACCCCCTCGATCGCACTTACCACCTTCGCAAGTGATACCTTTTATACCTGTCGTCCCGCGTTCTGCATTTGCATTTTTCATTTAATCATGTTTCTCTCTTCTGTGTGGGTGTGCATATGATCGGGCTCCTTTCGCCGGCGGATGTCGATTGAATTGAGACGAGCTTGCTACACGCGAAGGTCAGTCTAAGCCTGAACCACAGCTACGAGTCTCGGCCCTGCTCTCCACTCCTATTTCCTCGGCATGCCCTTTCTTCCACCCATTCAACCCAAACCCCAAGCTTTACCCCCCTGCGACCCATCACACACATCCTCGTCACACGCACGACACCACAACCGACAACCCCCTCATCGTCCATCACACACCCAACCCCTCGACTGTCTCGAAAATCAATTTCACAAATACAAGAATTTGCATCCTCCTGCACTACGACTGCTGGCCCTGTTGCGATGCGCTCTCGTCGTGAGCTTGCTGACCACTGGGCGGCCTCTGCTGCTGCTGTTGCTGTTGCTGGGCCGCGGCTACCGCCTGCGCCTGCTGAGCCGCCGCTTGCGCCGCCAACGCCTGTGCCTGACTCGGCACCTTCTCCTCCAACATCTCGTACATCAGATGGAAGTTCTTCGACACCTTCTCCCACACAGTCGGGTCGAAGAACACGTAGGTGCCCCTCTCGTACGTAGGAGTCTTCTGCGTAGGCTCCGTACCCTGCTCCTTGGTCAACCACACGTGCAGCTCCTTGTGATACCTCCAGTTGCGCGCGTACAGCTCCTGCGCCGCTACCTCCTGCAGCACGTCGCGCGGTGTCGAGTAGAAGATGAAGAAGAGCGTCTCGTCCGAAAACGACGCAATCTTGCTCTGAGCAGGCGGTGGCGGTTGAACGTTGTAGCACGAAGGCAGTGTGAACTCGGGCTCGATTCGTGAAGATGCGAGCATGTTGTTTTCCGACCACGGCGTGATGAAAGACGGATGCAATGGATCCGACTGATTGAGGTTCAAGCCAAACGTTTGCAAGTCCACGCCCATCGAGAGCATCGAGAGATCCGGATCCGACGACTTGATCAAGCTCAGCAATCCGAGCAATCCGAAACGATCCGCTGGCGAAGTGAGGATCTGCTGCGCAGGTGTTTGGGCCATAGCACCGGTCTGACCCAGCGAGACCGAATCGGCTCGAGTCGAAGCATTGTCGGTCAATGGTGAAGATGCACCCAGGTTTCCAGCCGCATTACGGACGCTGGAGAGCGGCGATCGTGCTGAAGATGGCGAAGAAGAGCGGTTGAGGCCATTGAGCTGATTCGGTGCTGATCCTCCATTATTGCCGCCAAAGAGCGAGCCTGGTGGTGCCCATGTCTGCTGCTGCACACCCAACCCAGGTCCAGGAGGCCCCGCTCCGAGCTTGGTCGCATAGTTGCGGTCGGGCTCGCCGAACCCGCCCCTCGCTGCTGACAAGGAAGCATCGGTTCGTGCTCCACCCACTACAGACCCCAACAAACTTTGTCGATGCTGTTCGCGTTGCTGATGTTGGTGTTGAAGAGCTGCTGCTGCCGAGACCTGTTCTGCCACACCATGTGGGAATCCATCTTCACCGGTGCGACCTTCTGCCGAGCCGGTCTGATTGAGGGCTGGAAAGTCGTCCTGGCTAGCGAAACTGCGCAGCGGTGCGCCACTACGAAGTGCCGACGCTACACCACCTGTTCCTGCTTGTGTCGCATAGCTGAGACCGCCGAGACCAGGCGCGCCACCCTGCTGGCCTTGAGCACCACCCAACGCCGGGAAATCGCTCAGATTGAGCTCACCACCTTGCCCTTGCCCTTGCCCTTGCGATTGTGCTCCCGTCTGACCCGAGAGACCGGCCAGTTGTGAGGCCAGACTCGCCGCGCCCGTGGTGTTGTTTGACCCTGATCCGCCGAATGGAAAACCGCCTGCACCACCCTGTTGTGACTGTGGCATACCTGGGAATGAACCCATCATACGCGGCCCACCTTGGAGGTATGGATACATGGCTGCGTTTGCGGCAATACCCGGACCGGGTGCGGAAGACGGTGGTGCTGAGTCGTTTGTATGCTGAGGAAGCCTGTTCGCGAAAGCTGGAAGCTGATGGTTTTGCCGTTGATTCGCGGAGGCCGGTCTTTGCATGACCAAGCCAGAACGATGAAAGCGGCTGGAGGACCCGTCTGCGATCGACCGTTTGGAGTAGCGATGGCTTGTTGTGGTTGAGAGGTTGGATGGCGTGAAACCGAAGCGGAAGATGGCGACGAGAAGACCCTTCGAAATGCGATGTGCGTAGCAGCACTCCAATTGCGGTTGAGGAGCAGCAAAGCAAGGCAAGGCAAAATGCCCGCGTTCGTTGACTTCTGCCGCTGGTTGGCTGAAGAAGTGCGCTTGCAGCGCAGCCTTTTCTCTCTAGCCTAGCTCGCCTGATCATCCGCACTGTAAATGGCCGACTGAGTTGATTTGTAGCGGCGAAATAGAGCGGTTGTAGTCCTCATCGGAATTTTGTAGGTGACTTCTTGCAAAGACCTCTGATCACAGTAATCCCAACTTAAACTTGTGATCAACATAACTTCAAATTTGTGAATACAAATGAATTTTGTCCAGTAAGATGAACGAGGGTCTAACAACGAATCTCCAAAAATCAATCTGCTCTCTTGTCTACGTGTCTTGTGGCTGCAGTCGAATCCAACACACGCATTGCAATGCTGTACTGGGCTGGAAACGTGGGTTCAGCTGCTCACGGAGCAGGAAGAATATGGCCCCTGCTGCAAGCCGACAATGCTACTGCTCTCAATCGGCTCGAAATCAACACGCGCAGTCTGACATGGACCTCGATTCTTCTTCTCATCATCATCATCATCATCATCATCATCGCATCTCGTTGGCGCTTCCGTCTCGAGAACTGCTCTCGTCGGCGCATACATCCACGCCCGATTCTGGCCATTCGTGTTCAACTTCTCCTCCCATCATCACGCAGTCGCCCATCATGGCTGACGGACCCTCCAAGGATGAGCTCGTCGAGATCTTCAAGTCGCTCAAGTCAACGCAGAAGGGCAACAAGGTAATTATTCACACCACATCCCCAGCTTCCCTTGTCGACCCCAGCGCTGATCCATCCCCACTCCTGCTTTCCATCTAAACAGGTATGCTTCGACTGCGGAGCCAAGAACCCGACCTGGGCATCAGCAACCTACGCCATCTACATCTGCCTCGACTGCTCTTCCGTCCACCGCAACATGGGCGTACACATCACCTTTGTCCGATCCACCAACCTCGACTCGTGGCACTGGTCTCAGCTTCGTCTCATGAAAGTGGGAGGAAACGCTGCTGCTGCCGAGTTCTTCAACAAGAAAGGCGGAGCACATCTCCTTGCGCCATCTACCGAGGGAAAGGTCAAGTACACTTCGTCCGTGGCGCTGGCATACAAGGATGAGCTGCAGAAGAGAGCGCTTCAGGATGCGGCAGGTCAGAGCCTCAACAGTCCCGTCTACTTCCCTGGTCTTGCCGTCGCCTCGACCGATACAGCGGCACCAGCATCGAGTGCAAAGACGGGTGGAGCAGAGGAAGACTTTTTTGACGAGTGGGACAAACCAGCATCAGCTGCCAAATCGACCGCAACAGCACCAGCCAAGCAGACACCAGCAGTACCCAAGCCAACCCCTGCACCACCAGCCGCACCCAAGACCGTCACATCAGCCTCGCTGCGCGCTGGCAGCTCCGCCGCTAGAAAGACGCTCGGCGCTGTCAGCCGCACATCGTCCGCCAGTTCGACGCCCGGTACAACCACTCCTACGGGAACCGGTCCCACCAATCCTGGCACTGCTCCTACTGCAGCCGCTGCACGTCCCGCACGAGCAGGAAAGCTCGGTCTCGGCGTGAAGAAGGCCGCTGCGCCCATCGACTTTGCTGCAGCCGAAAGAAAGGCGAAGGAGGAAGAGGCTACACGTGCTGCCGAGGCCAAAGCGGCACAGGATGCGGAGGCAAAAGCACGCGAAGCCCAACAGGCAAGCGCAGAGCAGGCGGAAGCAGAACGGATCGCACGCGAGGCTGTCAAAGCTGCTATGGGAAAGACTTCAGCCGGCGCCCCCGCATCGCCTTCCTCCAAGAGCGTAGGTGGAGCTCGAGGTGCCTCCGCTTCCACTCCCGATGCGTATGCTGCTGCAAAGACGAACGGAGACATGGATCGCCTCGGCATGGGCTTCGGACGTCTCGGCATGAAAGCCAATGCTCACCAAGCCAAGCTCGCCGCCGAACGCGCCTCTGCGGCAGCCAACAACGCCGCCTCAACAGGAACCGACTCGGACGCTGACAACGAACCGAGCTACGCACGCAACAAGTTCTCCGCCCAAAAGAGCATCTCCTCCGACCAGTACTTCCAACGTGGCTCCTACGACCCCCAAGCCACCAGCGAAGCTCAACAACGTCTACAAACCTTCCAAGGTCAAACCTCGATCTCTTCCAACCAGTACTTTGGTCGTGACGACGAGGAGGAGGCCGACCAACAGGCCGTACAGGGATCCGGAGACTTCGCAGACCTCGAGGCTACCGCGAGAGACTACTACCAGAGATTCATGGCCAACCCCGATGTTCAGAGCAGCATCGATAGCTTCCGAAGCGGCGCGCTCAAGCTCTCCCAGTATCTGGAGGATATGAGTCGTAATGGCGCTTAGGAAGAGGTGGTTGAGATGGTTTCGGTTCGACTTTCTGTCTTCTTTTTAGGTCAGATGCATCGTCATTTCCCTTCAAGTCTCACATGATGTGCACCTGCTGATGTGAGGTCGGTGATGCTGAATGAGTTTCATGAGTGTGCAGTGAATACATGCTTTTGAGAAGAGATGAAGCGATGCTCACTTGAGCAACTCGTTGAGTACCGTGTCGTCGGTGATGTTGCGAACGCTGTGGGATCAGGATGAGCGAGTCAGTGTGTGGTCAGAGCAGCACAGAAGAAGCCGCCGGCGTAGGACTCACTTTGCACCTCGGTAGTTGAGCTTTTTCAACACTTCGATCACCTTGTCGCTTTCGAAGCCCTGTCATGTCACGACGCAGCAGCAAATTCGGTAACACTGGTGTCAGTACGTCATCATCTCTGAGCTATACCTGCTTCGCCTCGATGACACTCACCATGTTGACAAACTGATCGACGTGCTCCTTTTTCAGCCCTGCAAGCAGGATCGGGTCGACCTTTCCATCTTTTTTTCCTGCCGCGTTCTGAGCGTTTGCAGGTGGTTGTGCCGACTCAGACCCGTTGGCGTAGATCTCTGTCCAATACCTTGCCGTCTTTTCAAAGTCATCCCTGTCTCGAAGGTAGTGTTTGGCAACTTCGGCGTCTTGTGGGTCGTTCGGCTCGGGCGAGCAGAGCAGGGACCGGAGAGACATGAGGGTGGATTTGAGTGTGAGTACGGGCGACCACTGATCCTTGAGAATATCGAGGCAGATGGCGCCCGATTGCGAAGAGATGTTGGGATGGTAGACACGGGTGATAAACTTCATCTTGATGGGCTGGAATGGATAGCCTTCGGGCACAACGATATCCTGCGAAAGAGAAACGAGATCAAGGAGCGTCAGCACGAGGCTACGAACGAGCACAACGGGGATGTTGCAGAATACATACGACATCGAAAGTACCCTTCTCGTACGGAGAGTTTTCTGGCCCTGCAAACGTGCCGACGAGGTGGAAAGGTGATTCTGCGGTAAGATGGGAGGAAAGAGTGTCAGCTGCAGTCATGTCAGTCCGTACATCGAGCGGCTACTCACCGTCTATCAACGAGACTTGAATGCCCGAGACCTTGTCAGTTTTGCAATCGTTGATTTCCTTATTGATTCTCCTAAGTCTCGCGTCTCCCATGATTGCTGATGCTGATTTGATGCAGGAGGCAAATGGTTTTTAAATTTGCGTTGAGAGGATACTAAAGATGCTATTATGGATGACGTTGAAGGCGATTGGCCGCGTTGGATGTGGCGAAAGGGTGATTAGGTTGATGATGGAAGAAGGTGAGCCACCTTTTTGAGTCCGAAAGCCGATGATGATGTGGTGTTGGTTGCAAGCAGTCACGGTGGGAAGCAGCTCAGCCCTGAAATCACATCCGACCCAACGGCTCGCCCACGCTGAGCCGATTTTAGCGATGCAAGCTCCACATCTCCCTCAGCTCAGCCAAAGATGTAAAGCCGAAGCGCAGCCGGCGAAATTAAGCTTGTCAGTCACGGTGATTTTCTGGAAGAAAGCGAAACACGGAGAAAACTAAAATAGGGTCACAAAATGCAGGCATCGAAAAAGGGTTCACACCACTCAGCATCAACCCTGATCCGCACCCGAGCCTCCCTGCTACCATCACACTACGACTTACACTACGCAACAAAGAGTAGAGCAGCGTCATTGGAAGCGGGGGCTACCTGTCAGTCAAGATGCCATTTGCGCAGCTGGTCATCGGGCCACCGGGCTCTGGCAAGACCACCTACTGTTACGGCCAGTACCAGTTCCTCTCTCTCCTCTCGAGGCCCTGCAGCGTCGTCAACCTCGATCCCGCCAACGACCGTCTCCCATATCCGTGTGCTGTCGACATCAATCAGCTCATATCTGTCCGTGATGTCATGGCCGAACTCTCGCTCGGTCCGAACGCAGCCAACCTGTACTGCATCGAGTATCTCGAAAAGAACATCGACTGGCTCATCCAGGAGCTAAAGAGGGTTATGGAGGAGCAACGTCAGGGTAAGACGGGCCAGATGGCCGGTCAAGGAGACAGCGAAGTACCGATGGGTCCAGTCAGTGCTGGGTTCGAGTACTTGATCTTTGACCTTCCAGGTCAGGTCGAGCTGAGCACCAACCATCCGGCACTCAAGCGCATCCTTGAGGCTCTCGACAAGCAGCTCGGGCTTCGCTTCGTCGCAGTGCATCTTACCGACGCAACGCACATTACAGATGCATCTCGCTACGTCTCGCTGCTCCTGCTTTCCCTGCGAGCTATGCTCACCCTCGAGCTCCCCCACGTCAACGTGCTTTCCAAGGTGGATCTGCTCGGTCAATCCTACATTTCACGGTCGAAGCGTTCTCTCGACACAAACGATCTTGACGGCGATGACGACAGCAATCACGGCTCTGACCACGATATGGCAGATGCAGAAAACGGCTCGGGCAGCGGCGCAGCAGATGCCATGGGTCTGCAGTCTGATTTAGCTTTCAACCTCGACTTTTACACTCAAGTTCAGGATTTGTCGTATCTGCGCGATCTTCTCTCACAGCCATCTGGACCGGGCTCATCACGGCGCAACGAAAAGTATGGAAAGCTCAACGAAGCCATCTGTGAGATTGTCGAGGACTTTGGTCTGGTCTCGTTTGAGACGCTTGCCGTGGAGGACCGAAGATCCATGTTTCGTCTGCTCCAAGTCCTCGACAAGGCCGTTGGCTATATCTACGTCTCGTCCTCCCACAGCGCGCTCAACTTGAATCAAGAAGACGGAGAAGGTGCCTACGAGCCAGGACGGGCCTCGGCCACAGCATCCGCGGCCCTTCGGTCGCAGACGGGCGCGGATCCACACGCGCTCTTCAGCGTCGCTGACCGTGGCGATCCGCTCGGTTGGGGAGACGCACTCGAAGTGCAGGAGAGGTACGTCGATTACCGTCACCTTTATGAGGAGGCAGAGATGGAGGAGCGCAAGCAAAGGCATGAGAAGGAATGGGAGGACAAGGTTTGGTCAGAGGTTCGTAAGGTGGCCAAGGAGGAGCAGGCGAAGAAGGCTCAGCAGGCGTCGTCATAACAAGCAGCAATCATCATCTTTGTAACAACAGCATCACATCGACGTCATCATTGAACTGTAGAACAAGCCTCGTGGGTGAGCGAGAATGGGGGTATATGGTACAGGATCCGAACAAGTAGAGTAGATGGAGCATTGCTGTAAGAAAGGGATCAGAGGCCGTGTGAGGTGAAGACGTTCTCCTTGTGATCTGTTGCGCCTTGCTTTGTGATGAGGATATCGTGAATCTCTTGGGGAGGATCCAACTCCAGATCCTTTGCTCTCTGCCATCGTTCTAGCCTGGACATGCCCATGCAGGGTCCAAAGTTGGGATCCAGATCGAACACCCTCAAGATCTGCTGGATGCGGTTCTCGTGATCAATGTGGATCGCTTTGGATGGCGGTACGTTCATGATCTTTTTCGTTTTGCGCCAAACACCATCCCATCGCGGATCGTCCACATCGAGGTCTGGTCGTTTTGCGTCCTCCGCATCTTGCTGAGGCGTTGCTTTGGTGGTGCTTGAAGGTGAAGTTTTGCGTGGAAGTGATGCTGTAAGCGGCTTGGAAGGTGTAGAGCTCTTGAGATTTGTTTTGCTTTTCAGTTGGTCCTTGGCAGAAGCGGCGAAGGAGGATTTAGGTTTCGATTGCGCCTTGAATGAGAGCGATTTCTGGGTTGATCCTTTCGGCGGCATCTTTAGATTGGAACTGGTGGAGGGAAGCTCCAGGTGGGTAAAGACGAGTCTGCGGGTAGGTGATGCGGTGATCTGAGCCTGTGTCAAAGTCGAGCGGATGGTGGTGAGCGAGATTGCGTCCAGGAATTGACGCTGAGTGAGATGGCGGCATTGCGGGGTGGAGGATGAACCAACATTAAGTCATAAATTCGTTAATTTTGGGAGACAACTTGTTACACCGTAGAAATGGAACAACTGGTACGACTCCTGCTCGGATTCCGAGCTGCCAACGTGGCTGTTGACCCTGACCCGGATTCTCGGTCAAGGCGGTCGGTCTTGGCCGAGCTGCTCCTTTTCCGCCTTGGAATTTTGGTGGCTTGCATCGAAACCCACGCTGATCTGCAAAAGGCTGCTACCGACCTCGACCGGTGCTGTACGCTCTTCCGTGCACGATCCTCGTCTTCCTTTCACATGTGCGGACTCGACACGGCTGCCGCTGCTGCATGCCAAGTCGGTTTTGCTTCACCTCGAGGCGGGCCTTCTGCATCTCATGCACGACATCGTTCCATGTTTCGGTGCGATGCGGGTCTCCGTTGTACAACTCAGCGCGAAAATGTGCTTGTGTTCCACTGTTGGCTTCCTGTGACCAGCACCGTGGTTGCTGTACGCTGAATTACGGCCTTAGGCGCCGGTCGGCGATGGTGCTCAATTTCCGCGTTGTCCGAGCCTAGCCCATTTACCGTAAAAACAGATGGTCGGCAAACGAGCCGAGTGATCTAGCATGGCGAGCTCCACCGCCGTCCGTTCGTGCAGAGGATTTGTAGCTGTTTATCCCGTCTTCCGAAAAATCGCTGTGCTCGTGTCGCCTTATCCGAGACACAATGACCTGGATCACACAGGGGTATCTCCGCCTCAAACGCCGCTAGGTTACTAAGTCCCGTTTTCGCCGCGTTTGATCCACGTCGCTCGAAGAACGGAGATGAGGCGGTGTTTATGAACAAAGGGCAGCCTTGGACAGCCTCGACCACATCCTAGCCTCTGACGCATGGATCGCATGACGGCCAGGGCGAGAGATACATTGAGCATCTTGGGCGCATCCGACTCCTATTGGATGATGATATCAAGATATTCCCCGCCAATCGCCAGCACGTCGGCGCATCGAGAGATCTTTTTTGATCTGACGATCCAATCGTCTCTCTTTTCTTCCTCAAAAGCGAACGGCATCGGCAAATGCAGCCGACCCCAGCCGACCACAATCTCATGCCGAACTCGACGTTCAACGCAGTCTGCATGCTGGCGGGTCGGTGCTGCGCGGTCCTGGACCGTCTGAATTTCTACGTAGTCTAGACGGCCTTTGCAGTCTTCTTTTTTTTTTCTTCCCTGCCATCTCATTAATCGCGTTGTACGATTCTTGCGACCCTCATCTGTCCATGCATGAGCGGGAATGTCCACCGGCAACAATATTCACTTTCAGGATGCACGATTCGATGAGCCGCAAACCGCCGAGACCACCGGGTTACTGTATCTGCGTGATTCGGCGAATTCAGCTCTATTGCAAGACTGTGGTCTCCGCCAGGGGAAGGCATCTTGAGAGTCAGATACCGTATCGGCTATGCGCACATGTTCGACTGAATGCAAACTGAGATTGAAAGTGTCGAACATTCGAGACCTGATTGACCAGTTTTGATACTCTTCCAACACCCTGCTGGCACGCAGAAGCTGGCGCGATTCTATGCACGAGATTGCACTCCGGTCGGGCAACCCTTCTTAGCCTACAAGGCAAGCCTTCTTAGCCTACCCCTACTGCATGTGCAAGAAAGGATCGTCTGGCTCAATGGCTGGTCAGTGCTGGCCTCGGCTGCGGGAGGGATGAACTGACAATCGTTTCGGCAACCGGGTTCGGGATCCACCAGGGACACGAACGGTGCTAACCGTCGCGTTGCACAGGCAAGGAGAGCAACGAGCGAAGCGCATTTGATCATTTCGCAGCAACCAAAGATTAGGCTCCGAACTCACGGCAGCCGAATTGCTGGGAACCAGACGCAGCTGACGCATTTTCGTGCAGCAGCAAAGAAAGCTCGCCAAAATCAAAATTCCTAGCAATTTGGTCGAGCACCAGCGCCTGTCGGCCTCTCCCGGGCGGTCGGCTTCTTTACCGCTCTTGACATTCTCACAGCTCCACCGCCCAATTTGCAAGTGACTGCGACGGATGATTTTGGCCGGTAAACCTTGCAAAATCGGCTCAACTATGGGCAGCAAGCTGCAACACACAATCAAGGCAGCCGAGCAAAGCTCTTCTGCAGAAGCCGCAGAAGCCAAAAGCAGTGGGCCGCAGGTACGCAAACATGAGCGCGGGATGCATTCGCTCCTACAATCCTTTCGTACCTTCGTTCCTTCCCTCCTTACTTCGTCCTTCCCTCCTTCCTTCCTTCTTCACCACGGTCAGTCGACTCATCGCGAGCGAGGTCGTGGACCGTTTCCGTTGCACCATCCATCACCTTGCAGGCTGGCTGTTTTCTTTCCCTCCTCTTTCTCTCTCTCTACGCCGCTCAGCTTTTCTTGACAGCTTCACACGTCACCGCATCTGCACCGCTGCAGCCTCTCCATCCGTCACCGAGGACTGCAACGATCTCGGCTGCATACTCTTTTCTCTTGCAACGACCTGCTCAACTCATTCGTGAAGCCGACGTTCTACGTTCGGGCCAATCCAACGCTTGGCCTCTCCAGCATCACCGATCGACCAGTCGTAGGCATTCGATTCGTACCTCGCATCGCTACTTGACCGCAGACGGCCTCGCATGAAAAGCATCTCCGTAGGCGTATCTTCGATTTCGAGTACTCCTCCAGGATTACCGCGGGCTGAAAGCAACCTCTGGACTACGACACCTGCCTAGCGACACCATTCCATCGCCTCAGCTACCATCCACGACATCTGGCGGAGCAAGGTCATACTCGAGCCCTCTCCTGCAAAACAAGCACACCAGTCCTTTCGCATCTGTTCCCTGCATGCTTCTAGACCCTCACCCATGTTCTCATCGACGTGATCTGACCTAGCCACGGCATCGGGTCTCCTCGAGGCGTGCAGATTCACTTCTCGCCAATTACCGATCTTCCCCTAGCAGACCTAGCCTCTGTTTCGGGCTGCTGCTGTTGATTTCGGCCCAGCATGGAAGGCGAATCCTCCAGAGGGCAACCACCTTCAAGCGAAAGGCCGCCTCATTCGCGCGATCCATCTTATCGTCAAATGGGATCCGCGCGCGATGAAGCTCTCAGGCTGCGCCCGCCGCCAGATTCCGCGCAACTATATTCACGCTCTGAGTTCGAACCTCCTCCGCCGCTTCATCTTCGAGGTGCCCCAGCGTGGATTGAACACGAGGCTCCACCTCAGCCAGTTTCATATGCTGACCGTGACGTTCAGCTTATGCCGCATAGGTCGAGCTACGTGTTGGCACGCCCGGGCGAACCGCAATCAGCTCGAACTGGTCACCATCCGACGTCGGAATTGCCGCGGCCGTCTCACCCCGTCAGACTGGACGGATACTATCAAGAACTCCCAGCAGGCCACTCTTCTGCCCATGACGACGCCATGATGCCCTCGCGTCGTCCGCCGCGGTCGACTCTCTTCGAGAACGACACTGCTGCTATCGACAACCGTGGCGCACTTGCGCGTGACCCGCATCGTCCGTCCAGGCCCACCTCTGGCGATCGAGACATGCGTGCTGATGGCTACCCCGAGTCACCATACCATCCAAGTCGGCCGCCTCCACCAGGTCATGCGGTTGGTCCAAGGTCGGAAGCTCGGCTCACCCGTGTGCGTTCGCCTGTCTATCCGAGCGTCGTCCCTCCGCGTGGAATCAGCAACGCGTCTCCATTGTACGATCTCGAATCCGCAGATGCATCACTTCATCGAGATAAGAGAGCGAGGCTTGAAGGATACACGGACAGAATGCAGACGCAATCAGAGTCGAGCCTTCGCCCTCCGCCGCTACGCTCGTCGTCGTCGCACCGTTTCGTACCTAACTCCTCGAGTGATTGGGTGGAACGAGGTGAGGTGCGTGAGCGCCGACCACGTGACCTGGCTGATACACCGTACCACGGCGATGGCATCAGCAAGGCATCGAGAAGTTTCGACCGGGTCGATGCCGAAAGAGCACATTCCAGTCGACGCACCTCGCCCGTATCGCATCATACGCTCGACGCCAGCTTCAGTGTTAGCAGCGAGCCCCCATCCACCGGCAGCCAGTCGAGCAAAGTGAAACGGCGGAAACGTGCCGTGCTCAGCTGCACCGAATGCAAGCAGCGCAAGATCAAGTGCGATCGCAACGTGCCAAATTGCGGAAGCTGTGTTCGGCGCGGCGTCGCTCACCTCTGCCGATGGGGTGACGAACGCGACTTTTTGCCTGCAGCCCCAGCCAGCAACATCACCCCCTCCAACGCCGCATTGATGGCCAGAATTGCACAACTCGAGTCGCAGGTACGCGTGTTGCAATCCTCATCCTCTTCACCCTCAGCGGCCCATGAGGCAGGCGCGTCGGAGCGGAGCTCGAACCAGCCCTTTGCGCCCAAATATGGAGGCGCCTCCGAGTCGTCTAGCGGTCGATCCTCGCGCTTCAGTGGTCTCTCCAGCGTCCAGTACCCGCCCGACTTTACCAGTCGAGATCGCACCATTTCCGACCGGGCAGCATTGCGCAACACGCTCGACGACCGAGGCGACGAAGAGGAGGATGACAGCCAGCACAGTGACGATAGCGAGGAGTCCGGTGACGAGGACGCAGGCGATCTTCTCCGTGTTCTTGCTCAAGGAACCTCGCTCAAGATTGACAGCAGGAACGATTCTTCTCGGCAAGACGAGCCATCTACTTCTCACTTGCGACAGGTTGAAGGCAGGCAGAAGCCACAAAACGGAGATATGGCACAGAGCGAGGGTTTCCAGACAGAAAGCGATTCCAAGGTTGATGCTCGAAGCGGTAACGGAGTTCCTCACAACGACAAACCAGGTCCTCGGCTGTCCCAGGACGAAGCGCTCGCATCTTCAGCCTTACTCAACATCTTCACCGCCGGTTCGTGGAGCAGCAGGTCTGGGACCCGCCGAAGTGGCCTCGTCGAGGCCCTCGAGCTGCTACCTCCTCGCCACAAAACCGAAGCGCTCATCGAACACTATCTGCGCGAGGCAGAGCCCATCGTTCACTCGATCCACAAGCCATCCCTTTTGCAGGAGCTCGAATCGTTTTGGGCAGCCCTCGATCGTATGAAGGATGCATCCGACTCCGCTTCTCCTCCAACTGTGTCGGAGCTACAGTTCGGAGCAATGCTGCTCGCCATGTGCGAAGCCGCTTGCGAGTTCATGACACCCGCCGAGGTGCTCGACAGCGAGATATGCAAGTCGCGCAACACCATCAATGATCGACTCCACTTGATCGCCCGAGCTTGTCTCGCTCTGCTTGGCATGGGCCATTTTGTGCGTCATCCTACCATCTGGGGAATGCAGGCGGTGATTCTGCTCCGTCATTACTCGTTCAATCGTGATCATCGCGAGGAATACACGATTCTGGCCACCATGGCCATCAAAGCTGCCGAATACATGGGTCTGAACCGCCTCGGCTCGGCGCTTAAGGATGAAGAGCGGTGGCAGGACGAGAAGCGCGAGCGCATGCGTATGCAAGCTGCTCAGGATGGTAAGGAAGCAGCATCATCTTCGACGCATCGATGGAAGATGCTCACTTCGACCCAGATCCATGATGGTCACGAAACCGAGTCGGACGGCGAGGATCTCGATCCCGATCGGGTCGAGAGGAAGGACATGAACGCCATGTGGCTGCCTCGTGGTGCGAGGCGGCGGAGGTGGGATCTGGCCGCTGCCAAGCGTTATAAGGAAGGTAGCCGGGTCAGTCGAGAGCACGGGCGTAAGGTCTGGTTTGCTTTTGTCACCTTGGACTGGCTGTGCGCAGCCCACTTTGATCGATGCTATCATTGCAAGGACGAGATGTTCACCACGCAAAGTCCACAGAACATCGATGATGCAGACGTAATGGATGACGACCTGATCTCATCCGACGGTCATGACGAGCGTCCATCTCGCTCTAATCGCACCAGCAACGCCTTCCTCGACAAGATTTGCATAACCAGCATACCCACCACGAACAGCTTCATCTCCATCCACATTGAGATTTGCCACACGGTGCGCAGCATCGCAGACGCCCTCAATCACGGCGACGAGTCTTTCGACACGGTACTTGCGATCGAGGCACGCTTTCGCGAAATTCTGCGATCCCTTCCACGCTTCTTCAAATTGGATGGCGAGAGCGAATACGACCCCGAGATCCATCGCTTCCATCAAGAGAGGCCCTATCTATCTCTACAGCGAGCCATCATCCACGAGTATGTCCACCATCGTCTGCTCAAGCTGCATCGTCTCTACATGAGCCGGGGCTACTGGAACGCCAAGTACATCCACTCGACTCGCACCTGCATCGAGAGCGCTCGAGTTGTCATTGGAACATTGCGCGCACTCGATCATGCCGGATGCCGCGGTCAGCGGTATTGGATCTTCAAGTTCCACATCTTCCATGCGGTCCTAGCGTTGCAGGTTGACCTGCTGTATCTCGCCAAACAGCCAGTGAACCGCGAAATCCTTGCGAAACGTGCCGACGTCGTTGCCGGGCTCAAGATGCTTCATGCCAGAACGGATGTCGAGGGACGAAACCCGGTCCTGGCCTCTTCGCTCAAGGTGATCAAAGTGCTTCGCGAAGAGGAGCAGGCGCGTCGCGCTAAGAACAAGACAGCGACTGCAGAGGTGCCGGCTGAGTCGGAAAATACTGGCGCGAGCTCGCCGATGGGAAGCGTCGAATCGCAAAGGAAGTGCAAGATCCGCGAATGGACCGGCGCCTCGGAATCCACCGGCGATCTGGCAGATCACCTCGAACGTCGGATCAAGGAGACGTGGTACACTGTCGATGCAGAGAAGCTGCGAGCTCGAGCAGAAGCGACGAGCAATCTTGCTGCCGATGCTCGTCCACCGTTGCCGCCCACAGACTCTCGCATGGTTTCTGCTCGATCTAAAACACCATCGACCGAGGACGCTTCTTCCATCCAGACTGCCGCCGCTGGTGACGTTGCAGGGACGCACAAGCTCGTCAGAGCGGCAGCTTCGGAGGGCGAACTGGCCGAGCTTTCCGATCGACACACTTCCGAGGAGGGTCGCGATACCGAACTCGACGAGTACCTCAAGCTGCTGTCTTCGTATCAGAATCCGGACGATGCTCCGGACGGTGCACACTTTTTCGACGTACTGGATGACATGGTTTTCGAGAACCAGTCGGCTAGCCGGCTCAATTTCGGCAAGGCGGGGTTGCGAGCTGGTCTGGGCAGCGAGATCAAATCTCCGCTGCCGCTGTTGAGAGGTGCGAGCGAACTCGCTGCTGCTGGCGCTGGGTTTGACGCCTTTGCAGCGGGTTGATTTCAGAGCATCTGCCGGCCGATCGTAGACTTATCTGCGACGGAGGATGCATATTCGAGGGGTTTTGTACTGCAAACGCGCACACATGCTAATTATGCACACAAATAGCTAATGTTACAAGAAATGGGCTTTTCGTTATCGCAATCAATCTACCAGTTGTTAGGTGTGATGTTGAGTGTGAGCGTCCGACTCTGTGTCGAGGTGTGAGACGTCGGTCGTTTTGCAGACCTTGTGGCTGAATGTCGACCTCAGTATATTGAGGCCAGGCTCGACCTTGATTTGCTGTGAATCAGCGCGTCCAGACGACTTGTTCAGCAGTCCCAGCCACGATGATGTCCAGGACTCTGCGTATGTTGTGTCAGTCATGACGGACGAGCGATACCGACCGTGGTGAGTAATAGATGCACAATGAAACGGAAGAAAAAAAAAGGAATTGGTGACAAGAGTGGGATTCGAACCCACGCCCGAAGACTGCGATAAGATGACAATCCTGAACACAGCGCCTTAGACCACTCGGCCATCTTGCCTTTTCGGACATGGTGGGGAAACTACAGCACTTATAATCATGTTATAATAGGAATTGTTGCAATGCTTACAATCGCTCGATCCCTGTTCTGGAAGGAGACGCGATCGCTGAAGGAGTGCTGTACATGTCGAACGTGTGGTCGCAGACGCACCTTACTTCGCATGTAGCCGATTGCGTCTCATGATCATTACAGGTTCGTGGGCGGAGACGAAGTTGTTCATATCAGAGATCATAATTGTACTAGACAGCATCACAGCAAGGACAGGCGAGGTGAGACAGCCTGTTCAGATCGGGATTACTTCGTGCGGCCTCCTCATTTGAAAGCAGGGGTGGGATCGGACGGAAACATCCGTTCCTTACAGCGCTGGTCTGGATGCCCTGCAATTTCGGGACCCCTCGGAGGATGTCCATACCCCTGTTTATCGGAGGAGAGACCATGGGCCACGAACGCTTTGTGAGCTAAGTCAAAGCAATGAACAATTTCGCCGAACCCAGACCTTTCCAACGGAGCTCAAATCTCAGCGCGAACGTTTCCGAATGCCATCGTAGAAACGCTCCCGCATACTGTACACCCTTCATCAATATCCAAGACGTGTTGAGTTGGGTCCATGAAAACGCAACGCCGATTCTAATAGCAGCTCAATGTGTGGACTCGGAGATGACCGAATCAGGTTTCAGGCTGTCTGGTGCCGAAGAGGCTGCTTTGTTGGACAGTTATTCTTCTTGGTAAAGAAGAATCCTGCAGATCGTCAGCCACAGCGAGGTGTGGAGTACGCTATCCTCCACTCTCCCGAAGAGGGTCGACGACAATCAAATGGCAACGATGGCGGTAGTATTCCCCACGATCGGCCATTACCCTCCACTTTACCCTTGCTGGTGAGGCAAATGCCAAGACTTCGACCCCCACGTCGAACACACCCGAAGCTCGGCTACAGCAATGTTGGCAGGATGTGGCGCATCGAACGCATCTTCTTCATCATGACATATGACCAGCTGAGGCAGCAGCTATAAGGCGGAACGAATGGACTGGCCAAGGTAAGTCGGGAATCTTCGGCAAAATCCGATATCCCTGTTGAGTTTCCTGCGGAGAGATGCACTCTGTTCGTCGATGCGGAGTATCAATATCGGTATGCAAGGCTGGTGCGGGGAAAGAACTGCTGCTTTGCGAATGGAGAGTTCGATTGGTCTGTTTGATCCAGCGTGAGCATTCATCTTCACTTATCACCGTACTTCTGCGATGAGACTGCATGGAAGCCTCTTCAAGTTGACCGATGCGCACTGCTGTGCTCATGCAAAATGGCCATCCCACTCTCCCACCATGTCTCGCCCTTTTGCCGCCATTTTGCCATTGCCCTCCCACATACAGTAGCTCCTCGTTGGTCTCGACCTTTCCCGAGCGCCAATTCAATTGGCCAGGGGGTCTCTGCATCGTCCGGATGTTAGTCTTCCGATGCTACAAGCAGTGTCGCTCGTTCCGATCTCGACTTGTTAGCACCGAGTCGCCGAGACCGTGATCGCATCATGACACAGGATCCCACTTTTTCCTCGCTTCCACTCACGATTCAGAATCCTTGCTATGCTGAAGAGTAAGAAGAGCTAGCTCCCTCAGCTTGTGTACGTGTCAGCCCACTATCAGAGAGAGAGAGTCAGTAACCTTTTTGGGCAACAGACGCCGACATGCGTTGAGGCAAAGTCGAAGAGCGGGAACGGCGTTCCTGTGCCCTCACGATGCCGCGGCTGAGCTGCCAGGCGCTCGAACAATCCGATTGGCATCTCCCACAATGATGCAGTCAGACGGCCTGCTATTGTCCAAGCGGATGTAATTCAGTCAAGCGGCGGCTGATTCCGTGGTTTTTGGCCGTTCCTCGGGACCAATACAGTGGCTGTCTTTCTTTCGCCATGATTTTCAGACACTGCCCGGTGATACGTCGCTCAAATTTTGACCGACCGCTTTGATTCGGAACGCACGCGTGCATACCTGCTGCGGGGGAATGCACTCCGCCATTTCTTGGCATTCTCGCGTGGAATCCATGCGAGTTGCCTTCTTTGACAACCACATCGAGGCAGGAAAGAAGCGGGATTTGTGCCGTGTTGGACTGATTTTCCCCTCCGTTTCATTCGGCGCCACAACCAATGCAGCGTTCGGTGCGGCAACAGTGGCGATGCGAGCCTGCGGATCTATCCGCGTAGACTTCCACCATTCTGCACTCCGCTCCACGCGGGATCGAGCAGTGCGCCTCTTGCCTTGATGGGGAGCCTGCACACGTCGTCCACACCCCCGCTGCGACTGTTTCCGGAGCTGTATCGTCGCTCGCCTATGCTATGAATCCCGAAACCGTGGTTCTTGGCAGCTCATGCGTGCAGAGAACCTCTCACCTCCTTCGCAAGCACTGCAACGACGTGTCAAGGTCAAAAAATTACTTCCCCGCAACTGGATAGGTTGTGATTCATGGTCCCCGGTCACAGACCTTCCGCCTTAGGTGCCCAGCGATCACAGCACGCACACACGACGCTTGGCAGTACTCATCGGTCGAACTCGGGTTGAGGGTGAATTCTCAACAGATTTGTTGTGCAGCAAAGATTTCTCCGCATCATTGCTTGGTGCTGATGCAGTTGCTAGTGCTAAGCCAATCAGGAACGTCTTCCCCACAGTCTGCCACGAGAGTGGGCTGCATACTACGCGAGGAATGTCAGCCTAGTGGAGCCTTGTCACTGCAAGATAGACAGTGGCCACGCCCTATGCGTGTGCGCCTTTCTCCGCATTGTTACCCCACTGACCTCCTGCTTCCCTGGACCCGCCCTTCTGAGGGCCCCCGCATGTGCAAGACGCTTCCTGTTGTCTACATAAAGGAATGAATCTGGAAGCCCCTTGGAAGCCCCTTATGGTCCAACATCATTCACCTATCCTCCCTTCACCCCACCTGACATCGACATGACCGACGCAAAGAAAGGTGTTCTCGCCCAGGGCGCACAAAACTTCAAGGACCTCTTCCACTGGAAGGTCCGCTCCACCATTGTCGACGAGAATGGTGAGGAGCAGGTCGTTTGGGAGAAGCCTAGCCTCCCTCCCAACCCTCTGCGACTCATCACCATGCTCGGCTTCACCGGATGGTGCGCCTATCTCATCGGCTTCAGCGCCTGGACGGCCGACGCCTTCGACTTCCACGCCCTCTCGATCCAGACGACCAAGCTCGCGAAGCACTTTGGTGTCTCCAAGACCAAGGTCACTGAAGCAATCACACTGACTTTGCTGCTGCGCTCGGTGGGTGCTGCAATCTTTGGCATGTTTTCCGACTACTTTGGCCGCAAATATCCCCTCGTCATCAACATGTGGTGCCTCGGTGCTCTCCAAGTCGCCTCGATCTACTGCACAACCTTCAACCAGTTCCTCGCTGTTCGAGCCCTGTTCGGACTTTTTATGGGTGGTGTCTATGGAGCAGCCAGTTCGATGGCCCTGGAAAACATTCACGCCGATGCTAGAGGTCTCATGAGTGGTATCTTCCAGCAGGGATACTCGTTCGGCTATGTCCTGGCCGCTTGCGTCAACCTCGGTGTCGGCGGAGCCACCAGCACCTGGCCCATCATGTTCTGGGTCGGAGCTGCCTTCAGTTTCCTCGTCGGCTTCCTGCGTCTCGCCTGGCCCGAGTCCAAGCAATTCATCGAGGCTCGCCAGTCGAGCAAGGGCTCCGGAACCAAGAACTTCAGGAAGTCGTTCGGTGCTATGCTCAAGAAGGAGTGGAAGACCTGCGTGTTCGCCATCATCCTGATGAGCTGGTTCAACTGGTTCAGCCACAGCTCCCAAGATTCTTACACCACCTTCATGCTGTCTGGAAAGAAGCTCAACAACACCGCCGCATCGAGGGCCTCGATCCTGATGAAGACAGGAGCCTGCGTTGGTGGAACGATCTGGGGTTACATGTCACAGTGGATCGGAAGGCGCAGGGCTATGATCATCGCCTGCCTGATCTGCTGCTGTCTCATCCCTGCTTGGATCCTGCCCTCCACCGAATCTGGTCTTGAGGCCGGTGGATTTATGCTTCAGGTATGTATTAGAAAAGCTGAGATGGTGATTCCTCATAAAAACACGTGGCAAATCTCTGACGTCTTGGCATTTTTGTTATTCCGCATTCGCTCCTGTTCCCCGCACACAACGTTTTGGCCTCGCTTTCGCTCCTTCGACCTACATATCTTCCTTCTTTTCCTCATCTCAATCGTCCGACGATTTGACAGGCTATGGTGCAAGGTGCTTGGGGTGTCGTACCCATCTACCTCTCCGAGATTTCACCTCCCGCATTCCGAGCCATCTTCGTGGGCCTAACCTACCAGCTTGGCAACGCTATCTCTTCGCCGTCGACGCAGCTCATCAACTACCTCTCCGAGAACAACTTCACCACCTTCAAGGGAAGACGAGTGGAGGCTTATGGGCCCGTAATGGGCATTGCAACCGCCATCATCGCCATCGGACTGGCCTTGACCGCTTCCGTTGGTCCGGAAAAGAAGGGCGCACGATTCGAGAACGCCGCTGCTGCCACCGCAGAGGCTCAACCCGAGCTGCCCGTCTACCAGAAGGAGTTTGACACCAACTCTGAGACCAAGTCGATCGATTTGACTCAGACTCAGACGGCTCTTTCCAAGTGAAATGTGATATGGTCTCGCAAAGGTTCTACGAATAGTATGTGGCCTTTGTATCAACTTGTATCGTAGGACTTCCCGGTAACTAGTTCAATTCATGAGCTCGCAATTGTACGTCATTGTAGAAACAAGGATCACGGACACGTCCGATACGCGCAAAGGCGGGGGGCAAAGAAGCACATGAATCGTATCACGCTAGCGATGGACAGCTAGGTACATGAGGATTTCGTTTCTGGGACACGTGGATCTGGCTTCTGAGACCTGTATAGCTGTTTTTCGGAGAGACGCTGTCTTCAGGAGGCGATGTAGGGCGATAGACAAAGGACGACGGAGTACATTTGTCGAAGAAGAAAGCCGCCTAATGTCTGTAAAAGCACTGACGAGGCGGATGTCTGCCTCCACAACGGCAAGAGCCGGCCTGGCATTCCGTGGAAAGATGCTTGGGGGCTCGAGGTTTGCAGACTCGGCAATCGTCTGGACGACCTTCAAAAAAGACAGGAAGTCGACGGGGAAAGTCGAGCTGATCGAACTCGAGAAAACCAGGCAAACGAGCGGTGTCGACTCTAACAGCATTGCCGTGAGCCTCTCCCAAGGCATAGACGATACCAGTGAAATCGTTGTGGGTCGCAACACCATTCACCATGGTAGCCCGGTGATACATGGCCCAGAACGCGATAATGCGCACGCTACGAGCTAGTTCCTTTCTTATGGCATTGAGCACCGGCACAAGGCGATTACGGATGTCGATATTGTTCACCCGGAACATGAGCTGATTGGGAGGGAAAGGGGCGCCCGAGAAAGCCAGGTGGAAGTGCTGTCCGAAGGCAGAGAGGTTGGCATCCTTGATGATCCTGTAGGCCTCCGCATTGCGTGCCAAGACATCGACGTACAGAGAGCTGTTGATCCCGAGTGGAGCCGTGGCGATTGCGTCTCTAGCAGGCAGGTCGGCAAACTGGGCAAGAAGTTGTCCTCTCATCTCGACGAGCATGAGGTTGAGATACTGAGGAGTGAGCTGACGGTGGTCTCCTTCGAAGCGGAAACGGCGGGTGCCACGACCAACCGAGTCTGGTCGCATTGGGTCAGGGTACTCGCGGAAATTCCAGATCTGTCGAGGAGGCGGGAACCACCGTAATTCGGCGTGGTACATAGGTGCACCCTGCTGGAGCTGAGGTACATTTGCCAGGTAGTTGGCGGCGGAAGCAGTGGGCGTCATAATCGGATCGGTATCGATGCTGCTCAGAGAAACGGAGATTGCAGAAGTTCAAAGTGAGAGCGAAGATGGAAGCGAAGAGATCGGCATGTAGAGAGGAGAGCCGAGCAAACGCAGCAGCCCTGTATAGATCACCTTCCCCTTGCTGACAGCCAGATGCTTTGTGCAGGAACTTGATTGAGTGAGACGATCATGGATTCAGACAACCAATGCTTTGTGCGGAGCGTAAGAACTTTGCCCGCAATGCATTGCTTTCACAACCTTGTGCGGCTGAGGCTATACTACATGATCACGCGCAAAGCGGGCCGCAACAGGCAGTTCCGCCATCTCATCGGTCGGTCGTGTCGCTTGATGATAAGCCGGGAGAGGCGGCACTGGCGGAGCTGTGTCTTCGTCGTCGATGTATTCTATCACGATGTCGGTTTCCGCGTTCGAGATGCCTTTGCTTTTCGCAGCAGCTGCGTTCCTCCTCCTCGCCGCTAGTGCCGAAGCCGTGCCGGCACTCAGGCGGTTTCGAGCTGTATGGACGAGAGCCATGCTGCGTCGCTTGGCACTCTTGATCTTGGAAATCTTGCTGCTCTGACCCGTGCTCTTCGATGGAGGTGGATGGTGTGTTTCGTTGTTGCTGCCTGCGGCGCGTCGCCTCCTCGCCCGTTCTCGGGCACGAGCTGCCTCTGTCGAAGTATAGCCACCGATTCGAATCTGAGTGCTGCTGGCAATACTGACTCCACTGCAAGATTGATGGCTCACGTCGCTATCGCGTCGTTGGTTGGTGACGTTTCGCATCTCCCGGGAGTCGTCGTGATGATGTCCAGACAGGCTGGAATTGGGATCTCGTTCATGGACTACGCCGGCGCGCGCGTTCCAGACAAAATCGCGTGTGATGGAGGTTCTGTCCGCATCGACGTTGGACATGTCGACGGCGACGCTAGAGGTCTTTCTGCGATGCTCGGTACGCCTCGCTCGATCTGCAAGCACCTGCTTGTGAGACGAAGTCTCGAGGGAAGGAAACGTTTCGTGGACCGACACAGCCTGCCCGCCTTTGCGCTTAAAGAGCTTGCGCAGCGTCGTGGTGGGCTTTTGCGTGCTAGTGGTGGCACCGTAGTCCTTTTCACGCATCAACGAACGATACACGCGACCTTGGCCCCGGACGAATTGCTGTCGTTTCGACGCGAAAAAGCTACGGCCATCCTTCAACGAATAGCGATGGAAAGCAAGTCCTAGGCAGATGTACAGCATGCCGATGACGAACAACATCCAGCTGACCACAAGCGGGAACTCATCAAGATAATGGCTGAGCATCGAGGTTGCGATGACGACATGCACTGCCCCAAGAACCGCGAGACCTCGTGTTCGGCTTAGAACGGGGAACCAAACCTGAGCAGCATGTTCGAGCTTGGCGATGCCAAACCAGCTAATCTCTGCAGAGAAGAGCGCTACAACGCCGAGCAAGAGTAGCACACGATGCAACTCTACCCAAAAGATGCCCCATGTCTGCATGGGGATGGATGTGCCGGGGACATATGCGCAGTCTTCCGATTCCGCTTCGTCCATGATGGCACCGTTGTAATAGTCGCGAACGTCCTCCACTAAACCCATGATCAGGGTAGCAAAGACGAGGAGGATGACGACGAAAGAGACCAGTCGGATGGCGTTGAGGCCTAGAAAGGCGATTTTGCTAGCGCTTGAACTCGACATGATTGGGATGTCGCCTTTGTCCGACTGTTTGGTGGATCGAGTCCGTTGAGGATGATGGAAGCAGGGAACGTGGCCAGCATTCCGGTCGGCGACTTAATCTTGCTTTGTCGATCGAACCTGCTTGCTTTCTCATCATGCTCAAAGGGCCCTCGAAGGTGCTGTGTGCGCTTGGTCGAGATTGGACAAAGGGACTTTGTGGAGGTGCTCTTCTCCTTTGTTTTTCGGCGTTATCCGTGGCGACTGGAGAGAAAGGGCCGAATTCGATGCCTTGACAACGAGTCGCCGACTCTGGAGTGTGGATCGGGTTCATCAATGCTTTGTGCGAAAGTTTGCATTGCCGACGCCCACAAAATCATGTTGTGTCGATCTGCACGACAACTTATCGCAACAAAGGGACTTTCACCTCGGACCCACAGCTGGTGTGAGCATGGTCATGTAAATCGATCGGGAAGATGCCATTGATCGCCGATGACAGATAAATGATTTCATTGCCGAACTTTGAGATGTTAGGCTGTTTCAATCAATTGACCCGCTCTCAATTACGATCCTCGGGACGCAGCGGTGCCTGAAATCATCTTGGCGTTGTCCAACCCCTACCCAAGGACCAGCTCAGTGCCCATTTTTCAAGCTTGCGCTCTCTCGCGAGCTTTTAGTGGATGATGCGGAAAGCAGAGGCCATGCAGACAGGACAATGTCTCGAACCAGGATCGAACAAACGCGCGAGGCAAAACTTCAGCCGCAGCCTATCACAGTTGGCTAAGCGCTTTGTGAGAGATCTGTCACCGTCTGCTCCTACCAAACTGAATTGTGACTTGGGCGTAAAGTTATGCGGTCGCGTTGATTTTCATCATCTGTGCTGACACTTTTTCAGGGTCCTGCATCTTCATTGGCTCACTGGGTTGCGAACGCCGAAGCACGTGCATCTCAATGAGCCGATGGACTCGCCTAGCAGCGGGCCGTATTGTACTGAGTACATATAGGAGAGAGAGGAAATCGGGAGTTCACGTGCAAGTATCTCATCTTGGGCGGAATCAGATCAGCGACCACGTCGCGGGGCAGCGATCCCCGCGCACTGAGCACGATCGAAGCTTCATCATGTGAGCAGCCAACGCTTTTCAGGGCGCTATGAAACGAGAAGGACAAGGCTCGCTTGGGAACAGGTCAAGGCGGGAGGAGGACGTGGAAAGTTGCGCCAGATTGGCGCTCGTGTGGAGCTGCCGACCCGTCCAGAATCTCGCCTGAAAACCTGTGTTGAGAGAGGTACAGAACGACGTGGGCGGAATTGCTTAGCCTCTTACGCGAGACTCGGAATAGGGTCTGCGCAAGAGTCTCGAGCGCATGGAGCGGTCCGCGCTTCAACAAGAACGCCCGTACATTGCTGCAATACTAAGCGTCCTCAGGTCTGGGATTGAGCTTTCGCAAAGCGAACGTCATCCTCGTTTTCAATCGACGCTTGGCCTCATGGCACACGTGTGAACGCGGTTTCATGCTGATCAGGAGACCGGAGATGCTTGCGATCCGCGGCAAAGACTTGTTTGTTGAAATGACTGTAGGTCAGGTTGCATGGCATGGCAGTGCAGTCCCGCTGGTGGCTGGACGGGCTGCGGAGATACAGCGGAATGAAGGTCACTCGGTTGTAACGCAACAAAGGACAGCAAAGCGGAACAAAAAAAGTTTTGGCATCTCCACGGAACTCAATTTCCGGGCCATTTCATCTGCTTGTCAAACATTTGACGTCCGACGCGACGCCTCTTCCGCGGGACCGTTTCTTGCACCGTTGCTCACCAAAGCTAGGCATTGTGTCAGCAACTGTGGGATCAAGACTACCATCACACGAACGAACTTGGAACTAATCATCGCAGCGATGCGTGATGAAGTGCTCGCTGTGTTGGATAAAGACTGCTGTCGCTAATGTGAGCTTTTCTATGGCATTTTTGAGCACCGACGCAAGACTCAGCGGATGCGTGAAAACAGGGATTTAGCGGAGGGAGAGAAACAGGAAGCGTGTTCCTGAGGCGTATCGCACTATCCGAGAGGCGCCTATATTTGCGCCAGCTTTTGCTCGACCCTGTCACACGGCAGCTGTCAGTGGGACGCGGTCGAGCGAGCGTGGCAAGTGTCCCGGCCAGCTGCACGGATCGTCAGGCCACTTGGTCCACCAATTTTTTTCGGCTGCCGCTTAGTGCACACTCTCGCTAGCAAACAGACGATGGAGCCAGAAATGTGCTAGTCTCGCTTCCGCTTGCCTCGGAAGTCGCACCCGGTCCTCGAACAGAGGGCTGCTGCATCAGCCCATTTCCTCCGACCCTTCTCTGCGAGTCCATTTCCCAAGTGCAACTTCTGAGGTGCAATCCTGCCTGACAGAAAAGGTCGAGAGGGCGTCGCCTCGCTTTCGCTGACTTAGTTCCGAGAATGCACAATGCTGTTCAGAGATTGAGTTTTTCGAAATGCGTTGATCATCATGCTTCTGTCGGCCCGGACTTGATGTCCGTGGACTCAGAGGGTGCAAGGTCCTCCGTACCGTGGTTCCCGCCAAGCAAGTTTTGCATGTTCACAGGCCACCATCGCTTGGAGCTCAACCGCCCACTCACCTCTCGGTCCGTCATCTAAATCTGTCCTTCTCGACGTCCTTCTCCTTGAACCCTGCTTGCCCCTACGACAACACCGTCGGCCCGCTTGACTTCCCTTCGGCCCGCGGTGCCTGCGCCAGCTTTTCGTTTCGCTGCGTTTCGCCTCAACCTCATTACGCCTGACAAAGCGCTCCGTGCTTCTCATCCAGACACGCCACGCATCTCGGCTGCTCGACTCGTCAGCTGCTCAGCGATGGCAAGGCTATCGCCTCTGCCGAGAATCTGCTTCCATCTGCGACCATGACGACTCAACAGCGCCCGGCGGCTTGGGAAGCTGATCCCACCTATTCACCGCTCAATCTAGCACAATATAATCCTGCGCCTTCTCACCATACCGCTACCCCGGAAGTAGCCCAGATCCTCTGTCCGTCCGCGTCTTCTTGGCCCAGATCTAAGCTGTCGCCCTCTTCGTCATCATCCTCCAACTCGTCGCACGCTTCCTCTGACGTGTACGTCGACCGTCGACCCTCGCCCCCGCCGACGTTCAAAAGCGCTCGCGGATTCAGGCTACCGCGGTTCTCGCTTTGGGGACGCACTACTCCCGATACTCTGCTCAGCGACAGCATCAACAGCCTCTCGCCACCTTCCAACGTCTCCTCAGATCTCAACAAGCTCCCCATCAGTCAACAAAGAGCCCATTCCGCAGAGCCTCCAACGCATGCTCGCAGTCGCCACATCACTACCGCACCAAGTTCGCCAACTAGGCCGTCCTCGTCAGAGCTTGATGCTCCAATGCCGACCCTCACTGTGAACGCACCTTTGAGCCCATCCATGTCTTCTCCGAGGCTCGGCTCTGTATGGCGTCTCAGCGGCGGTCTCTTTGCTTCCTCAGCATCTTCCACACCGCGTCAAGACCCGAGACATGGTCGTCCACAGACAACAGAGGCTGCAACTCCTCGAGATTTGGCCAGCGGCGCTCCACCCTCCCAATTTGCAGCATGGTCCGAGCTCTTGCACAGTCCTGCCCCGCCCGCTCGCTCCACCACCTTCAGCAGCGTCTCGTCTGCATCAGGCAGCAGCACTTCTCGCCCTGACATCAGAAACGTTCGAAGCCATGAAAGTCTGAAATCGTCCGCTGCGGGTGATGCCGAGCCCTCCGGATCCTCGGAACATAGTACAATTCCAGAGCCAAAGGCAATCAAGTTGAAACTGCGATCCAAGTCCAAGTTCAGTCAAGAGTCCGACTTCGATAACATCTTTCTCTCACAGGAGCTGCGATCGTCCAAGTCAAGCCCTCCTGCTGGTTCTCTGGGTAGAACTGCATCAGTAGCCAGAGGTCCTGCACTCGGTCAAGATGAACTATCGGCCGTGTCGGGTGCTGAGGGTAGGCGGAAGCGTGCCAGTTGGGCACCTCCTCGCTCTTCATCTCCGCATGCTGTTCCCGATCGTCACGCCGCTAGTCATCAGATCTACGCTGCTCGCAGCTCCGTTGAGGAAGGAGACGATGACGAAGGGTTTTTCCCAGCCCGACCATCAAGGTTTGACCGTCAGCCAAGCACCAGTAGTCACCTGACCACCGCTTCATCTGTCAACGCCATCTCCTCACATGCTGGTGAGTCGATTCCCCCACGGTCGCCCCGCCTAGGTAGCGAAGTCGAGCCATCCGAGGTGAAAAGACCGAAGCGGAGCAAGTCCATCTCGCCAAAGCGCAAGACGTATGCGTTGCAGTTTTCGCTCGATGGTCGATACCTCGCAGCAGCTGGCTCTGATGGCGTCGTTCGCGTCTATGAAGTCATCTCGTCGCCAGCGGATCGAGCTGATGAGATCGAGCTTGCTCAGATGCAGAAAGCAGAGCAGGGGTGTCAAAGAAGAGCATCTTCCGTGTGCCCCTCGAATGCCTGTGCCGTCAATCGGAGTAACACAAAGGCGGACGTTCGCGCTGCAGCTCCAGAGCTGGCACCGGTCTTCAAGGCGACACCGATCCACACCTTCCAAGGACACACTGGCGACATCCTGGATCTATCTTGGAGCAAGAACAACTTCTTACTGAGCTGCAGCACCGACAAGACAGCCAAGCTCTGGCATCCCAACCGAAGCGAGTGCCTCTGCACCTTCTCCACCTCAGCCATCGTCTCGTCGGTCGACTTCCATCCAACGGACGATCGCTTCTTTGTCACTGGTGGGCTGGATGGCAAATTGAGGCTGTGGAACATCACGGCTCGTCGTGTTCAGTCGATCCATGATGTACCTGGTGTCATCACTGCTGTCGCCTTCTCCTCGAGCGGGTCCGCGGTCTGCGTTGGCACGCACCCTGGATCCATCTTGACTTTCAACTGTACGGATTCGCTGACCTACGTCAATTCTGTAGTCGTCAAATCTGCCGCTGCGAGCAAAACGACCCAAGCGAGCAAGATCACTAGCATTCAACCGATCAAGCTCGACTCCTCCGCCGCCTGTGCCGCGGGTGCACCTGAGTACATGACGGTCACTTCGAACGACTCTCGCGTGCGGATCTTTTCGATCGCATCACGACGTCTCGTCTCTCGATTCAAATCGTCCAGCTACATCAACCGTACGAGTCAGATCCGTGCTACTTCGTCGTCCGATTCACAGTTCATCGTTTCCGGTAGCGAGGACGCATCGATTCACATCTGGAGCTTGGCCAGCAACGCATCGCTGTTCACAGGGCTGTTTGCGGGGATCAAGCGAAACAAGTCGTTGAAATCGAACGGCGCAGCGGGTGGGACGTCGGATGCAGGTGACAATTCCACGTGGAGATCGTGGCAGGCAGGGAGTGGCAGTGTTAGGTGTGCCATTTTCGCCCCTGCTGCAACGAGCCATCTGCTGGCACTCGCTCATGATCCGTTGGAATCCAACCGCGACGTCAAAGACGTCAGGTCGAGGATCATCGTCTCGACCGACGACTCGAATGCTATCCGGATCTGGAGAAGCGATCCTCTCGGTCGTCTTCTCTGACAAGCCTCATCCCACTAAGTTAGATCAGGCACACATTCTTTCTTAAGCTCTTTTGATACCCCATGCTGTATGTCACCGCTCGCTCTCTATCGCATTACAGTGTCACCGTTCTGTCGTGCGCTTGCTACAGCAACTGCTTGACTGTCTGCGCAAAGTGAGTGCGGTCGTTGGCAGCGGAAGGGGTGAACTAGTCTTCATCTTCGAACGGATTGCTGACGTATTCCAGGTCATCCGAATCGTCATTTGGATCATTGGCGTCGTGCGAGCCCAACGCGATCGCTGCCGTGCCCGCACCCACAGCTGCGCCACCTGCAACACCAGCAGCAAGGGTCTTGCTCGCAGCGCCGGTGGGAGGAGTCTCCTTCGTCGGGCTGCGGTCCAGACGCGGGCTCGTGATACCTCGACCGCTGGCAGAGTCCATGAGCGCGATCGAGTCTTTCTGTTTATCCGCTCCGCCTACCTTGCTGCCGCCCGTGTTGTCGGTGATCGAGATTGGGGTCCGGCCAGCTTGATCCCATCCTGCGAACTCGGATGCATCCGTCGAACCTCCTCTGCTCGGAGATGCTCCCGCGCCGCTTCGGCCCGAGTTCTTGATACCCAGCCCGTAGCGGTCTGCCAAAGCACGTGCCTTGCCAGCTGCTAACGGATTCGAAGAACCGCCGCCTGCACCTCCGCCGCGAGAAATGATCTTGGCCAGCTCATTCTCCGACACGGGCGAAGGATCCTGGTCGTACTCGCTCGCGTGCGGTGAGCGTGGTGAGGCGAACTGTCGCGGCGACGTGGTGGAAGCCGTGGCCTGCTGTGTCTGCTCAGATGCTGCGGAGCCTCTGCCGGTGTTGTTCCTGAAGTTGTTGAAAGCTTGGCTGAAACCAGCGCCAGCGCCAGGCCCGGAACTCGCGGTACCAGGCTGACCTGCGCCGTCCTGAGGGTTGTTGAAGGCGGCGCTTGCTTTCTGTCGGAATGTTGAAAAGGTCGACGCCGCTCTCGCCAGTCCAGTCTCTGCCATGCGGTTGATCTCTTCCTGCCACTGCTTGGCTTCCTTGGCTCCAGGCATACCCGGAAAGACGCTGTCACCGTGCTCGTACGTCGGCGACACGCCCGGCGGCGGATGATTCGGCGGAGCGTAGGATGACCTAGCTCCAGAAGCGGGTGTTCCGGAAGTCGCGGGCCCACCCCGCCTGACTCTTGGCTGATACGTGAGAGCGTTCGGGTCGTAAGAGGGCCCAGACGGAGCGGACGGCGGGTCCCGTGCATCAGAACTGAGCAGACCGCTGAAGAAGGTTCCTGCTCCACCCCCACCTCGACCCGTACTGTACTGCTGCTGTTGTTGCGCCTGTTGCTGTTGACGCCGAGCCCAGTGTTCGTGCTGCCTTTGCTCTTCCTCCATTGCAATCGTCTGCGCCAAAAGAGCATCCGATTCCGTTCTTGAGTCCGTGACCGAAGGCTTAAAGTTTGGATCCGACATCTGCAAAAGTGCGTTGACAGCTGCGTCTTGATTCCCGCCTCGCGACGACAGGACAGCAGCGATCGTCTCGTTGTCCAAATCCGGGAACATGAGCTTGAGCTCGGTTACCGCGGGAGGAACGTCCGAAGTTGTTCGAGCAACGGCTGGCGTCGCTACAGGCGACATGGCTCGCGGAGAAGACGGCGACAGCGTCGCTGGCGAAAAGGCTCCCTGGGCAGCGGAGGTGTTGCCGATGGGTGACCGAGCATCGGCAGGTGATTGGGCCAAAGTATGAGAATTTCTCTCGAGGGTTTCCGCCGTCACCTCCGAAGCAGTCTCGCCATCGTTGAGCGCCTGATCGAGCGATTTGAGATCGATCTCTCCTTTCTGTACAGGCTCCGACATGATTACGGATCGGCCAGCCCGAATGTCGGATGTTTCGGAGTCGATGCGAGGAGGGACGGTACTGACTCAAGCTTTGAAGGAAGAGTTTCAAGGACCGTAGGAACGTTGCAGTGATGAAGAGTCTGGGCCAGGAACCAGAGCACGGAAGACGCAAGTGATGATCTGATTTGAGTGTGGCGTGGTAGGTGTTGGTGGTGGTGTCCTTTGCGTCGGCTGTGCTTGCCGAAGAGGGGAATGAGTTGGGCTACAACCCGCACCTGGCTCGTGCTGAAGGCTGAGTTCCGTACGCACCTTCGGTGTTCAAAAAGATTTGTTAGATTTGCGAGTTGGCTAGATACCGCGATTTCCAAGCGCAGATCGTGATTAGGCATCTCAAGTCGAGAATCCAGGGTCTGGCTTTGTTTCATTCGGCTCTCGGACTGAGCTCAACTTATCTCTTGGCTTTCATCTTGATCTTCGGATGTCGACTACTTCGAGCAAGCAATCGTCGCACCTGATCCGGCCCCAAGCCCACAACATGGCATGCTGACGAGTCCTGCTCAGCGTCAGCGATACTGCCCCTCAAGCTCGTGAGCGCAATCCGAGTGTGCAGTCGGAACATCCGGTTCTCGTCAACAAGCTGGCGGTAACAACGTAATCTCGCAGAGCCTACGCTAGGTCAAGGTTTCGCCTCTTACGTCCATCTCGAACTAGCGTGGGTATCGAGCTCAATTTGAAAGGCTATATGGCGTAGTCCGCTTCATCCGCCTCGATTCGGTCCACATCACCTCGGTCTCATCCGATACCTCATTCTTGGCACTCTGCAGTCTCGCATTTCCGACAAGTGCAGCTGCGTCCTCTTTCTCAGCTCCGTCGACTCCTTTCATCAGCTCGGTCTCTTCATAAGTAGTCGTCCTCTCGCGATATCCTCGACCATGCGATCAGGCCTATAAACGCTAAAGCATCCGCGAAGCACGGTCAGAGAAGTCCACGAACGGTATCCTGTCTGGTATCTACCTCCAGCTGTTGGTCGATATTGTCGTCTGTCTCCCATCACCGCTTCCACATTCATGGCTATTGCAATCATGTCCACTACAGATCCAGGCCGCAACAGCGAGTCAAGCATGGCAGCCAGCGACATCGCTGGTCCCTCGAACCTTCCTGCGACCAAACCCGCTAAGCGCAAGTCAGACAAAACCCGAGGATCGCCGTCCTCATCAGACGCAGCCGATGTGCACGGCGCCAAGCCGCTCGCAAGGGCTGTGCTTGTATGCAAGAGGTGTCGCTCCAAGAAGATCAAATGCGACCAGGCTTTCCCGGCGTGCGGATCCTGCGTCAAAGCTGGCGAGCCATGTGTCGGCATCGACTCGGCCACCGGTCGCGAGGTCAGTCGCAGCTACATTGTCGACCTTGAGCATCAGATCGCCGAACTTCGAGCACAGAACGTGGAGCTGGAGCGCCTCCTGGCCGAACAGCCTCCTGCGCGTCTCGCCGAAACTGCTTCATCGTCGCTCAAGCGACCCCTGCAGCACGTCAAGGCAGAATTTCCTCTCGACAGATCCGAATCAGCCGCCTCGCCCGACAGTCGGCCCGCAAAGCGTGCAGCTGCCTCTCCTCGCGGCGAGCAGGAGGAATCGACATCCGGTCAATTGCTGCCAGGCCTCATTCTTGGACCTGCCGGAGTCGAGGTAGCGGCGTCCACAGCGAACGAGAACCTGAAAATGAATGCACGGCCTTCGCTCGGCCGTCTTCACTCCCATGCCAGCGGCCTCTCCCCGGCGCGTCTCTTGTGCCAAGCCATTCAACATTCCGCGCAAGCTGGGCTCCGCATCCGCGATCCTGGCTCTGCCTCACGTACGAGAAAATTTGGCGCTCAGAGCCTCGGCGAAGATCTAAACAAACGAGCAAGATCCGTTTCGTCCCGAGACGCAGCGCTGCGAGGAGGTGAAGCGCGAGATGATCGCAACAACGCGGCCGCAAGAATGGAGGTCATGTCGCCTTCACCTCATAGTGGCACCGCCACGCCATCGGACGGAAAGAAAAATTCACCTTTCGACGATGGCGACCCCATGCAGTATGCTACCGCCACGGAAACAGCTGACATTACCGTTCCAGCTCCCGAGCAAGCCCTCAAACCGTCTCCGCTCCCTGCCCCCTTCCCGCCTCTGTCAATCGCAAGGAAGCTGATCGATGCATATTTCGAGCGCGTCAATCCGCAGCTGCCGATTCTTGACCGCGCCTCTTTCATGGTGCGCTTCGAGAGAGCGTGCAGCTTCGGTCTAGAAAGGGCAAAAGCCAAACTCTCGGCCGCAGATCGACAGAATCTGCGTGACAACGATGACGACAGAATCTCGATGGATATGCAGCCTGCAGACGGCCATCTTTTTCACCTCGTCTTTGCCATCGCAGCTGCCATGGGCTGGACGCGCTCGAATTGGAGCGCCGAGAATCACCACGAGGCGGCTATGCACTATCTTGATCCTCGGCGCTTGACTGGTACAGGCCAGGAAGGCAACGTCGGTGCGATCATGGGACGCGATGCGCTCGAACAGCTTCAATGTCTGCTTTTGACGGCTCTCTATTCGATCATGCGGCCCATGAAGCCAGGTGTCTGGTACTGCCTTGGTGTGGCTCTACGCCTCACCACCGGTATCGGCCTTTATTCCGAGACAACGGGCGTTCTTGAAGCTTCGAATCAAGCGCAGGATGCAAGTGAGACCCTCATCGAAAGGAAGCGTCGACTGTTTTGGTGCTCCTACGCTCTGGATCGTCAGGTCTGCGTTCACCTTGGTCGACCTTTTGGGATTGCCGACTCGGACATCAAGGTAAATTTGCCTTGGGTCGAAAACGAGACCGAAATGGTCTCTCTTCCGATGAGAGAAAGCGGGGGTCGCAGTGTGGACGAGGATGGCGACTCATCGACAGAGTTGGCACGCAGAGAAGCCGCTTCGACCTTGGCTGCTCTTCAGTCGAGCGTACACGAAGAGCAAGGCAATCTCGGACACGGTTTTACGATCACGCTGCCGAAACCCAAGGACGCGAGTCGTTGGGTGTCACTGTCTTTCTTCCGCATGCGTATCCTTCAATCCGAGATTCAGTCCATACTCTATCAGAACGCAGAGTTGCCTCGTCGATTCGACTCGTACGCTCACTGGAAGACCGACATCTTGCGCAGGCTGCACGCTTGGCGACGCTATGCACCCTCCTCAAAGGGTGACCTTGAGGCCAGCGGCTGCGGGTACAACCCCATCTTCCTCGAGCTCAACTACCAGCAAACTCTGCTCATGGTGTTTGGGCTCAGCCCTCGTTTCCCCAACGCTTCTCGCAAGGACTTGGCCAGCGTTGAAGAATGCAGTCGCAGCATCATCAACATGTACGCGACACTGTCGAAGGAGGGTCAGATGAATTACACCTGGATGACAGGCCACAATGTCTTTATCGCGTGCACTAGCTATCTCTACGCGGTGTGGCAGATCAGCGCCACGGACCCCGCCTCATTCCGTTCCAGCGTCACGCTCGGTTTCCGTAGTAAAGTGGATGAGATCCACCACTTTGCCGCCGCATGCGACAAGGTGCTGTCCTCACTTCAGTGGGCTACTGCAGAGAAGTGCCGCAAGTGCCTCCGCACTATGTTCTACGCCACGTCTGTGGTAGTCGAGAAGATCGACAGGATGTCTTCAGCTTTGTCAGGTAACCGTGGGCGATCAAAAGCGTCATCCGATCGACTTGGCATCGACGGTCAAATGGTTAAAGAGCAATCCAGCAGGAGCCCGGCCAACAAGGCGCCCCTTGACTCGAGGGAGGCGGATGCACAAAACGAACGAGCCGGCTCTCTTCTGTCCTCCAATCGGACAGGGGCGACGGTAGCAATCCCAGCGTCAACTCGGTCTCTGTACTCTCAAGAGCGGGACCGGCAACAACCGGCAAGCAATCGATCCCACGACCCTCCATCGACATCCCCTCAATCCGAGTCCATGGTGCAAGCTGCACGATGGAAACAGGGTCTTCAGCCGCGATCATCGCCTGGCTCGAGCGTGCTTTGGCCTACTGAGAATGAGACGCCGAATCAGCACAGTCTGATGGACTCGAACGGTCGCAGCATCGATCACCGCGCGAGGGTTACCTCGACACCGGCAGAAGCGTACGCCAGCGATGCTACAACTCCTAGTCGAGGACTCGACGTAGGTTCGGCTGCTCTCGATCCAGCGAGCAACGGCACCTCCTGGTATGCATTCAGCTCGGAGACCAGCCCGACAAGGCTGTTCCCAGACAGTCCTTCGAACTTTGACATTTCTTCGTTGATGGCCACTTCGGCGATGGAGCTCGATGCCCTCTTTCGCGAGGCAGGTCTATCTACAGGACCCTCAAGCGACCAACGCGGATGGCCTGACAATAACGCGACCTCTCATGGTCACGGCGCCTTTCAAACACCGCAGTATGGACATGACGGCAGTGCTCCCGATGAGTCTGCTTCGCAATGGATGCAAGGCGAGGCAGCGGCGAGCCTTTACGACCCTGTTCACCAGAGTGTCTCGTCTGGGGCCGAGTCCAAGGGGAAGTGGGCTTTGCCGTCCAACTCATACGCTAGCAGCGAGCACATAGGTCTAGCAGGTGCGTTGGCTGAGACCGAAGCTTTCGAGACTGACTGGGAGGCGCTTGGATTCGGTTACCGTATGAGCGAGCCGTTTCAATACAGTGGTCCGATGCACATGTTTGGAGATCAGCAGGGCCAGCAGCAGCAGCAACAGCGACGAGAAGGCTTGCACCAAGGTGGTGGCAATATTCAGCAAGCTGGTCGTGGGGCAGGCACGGAGTTCGACACACGATTTCTTGACTCGCACATGGGATTCTAGTTTTTTGATTGTACCGGCACGATCACTTCAAGCAACCAACACCAATCGTCATATCTTGATCGATGCAATCCATAGCTCGCTGAGGGCTTCAATCCGAGGCGAACTCACGGTCTGAATCCGCTTCAAACGAGCTGTGTGGTAAGTAGAGGGCACTTCTTAACTCGAGAGTAAAGACGCAATTAACGGTCACCAAACCATGCTTGTCGCACGTAAACTCGAGCCCCATTACATGGGATGACAGGTGGCGGGCTGCGATGAGGCGGCGAGTGCGTGTGTGTGCATGTATGAACAGCGAAGGAGTTGACAAGCGTTGATGGGCAGACGCTGGCTGTCTGGTGCGGCTCTACGAGATGACAAGCTGTGGAAATGTGGGCGACAGGTGGTCTGCACATGTGCATGAGGCCAACGAGCAAGCGTGGGAAAAGAGCACTGACCGCGGTTACAGGGGCACCTGCCCAGTGTGTGGTGGCCGGCTCCCCCGCAGCTTTACGAACGCGCTTTCGCGTCGACAAAAACTGAGACCAGAAAAAGTCAAAAAAGAACGCTTGTGTCTGAGTGTTGGTCGCCCGCCTCGGCACCAGCTCCGAACGCGCAGCCAGGCAGCGTTTTCTCAGTCGAAAAACAAGCTCGACAATGCGTCAGCGCCACTGCTGTTCGGGCCTTGCAGATCCTTTCGACGCTTGGCACGCAGCAAAAGTGAGCAACCGGCCAAAAGACTCTGCGAGCGGCTCTCCCGACGCAACGGTTATCCCTTGCTGTCACAGCGAAGCTAATTGAGCGTGTGCAACAGCGACGACATTGTTGGGACAGTCGAGTGCTCAGCCCTGATACTTGCACGCATTCTCCTCAGCTTCACCTTTGATCATTGCCAGTCATCATCTCACCTTCCTCATCATCTCTTCCTATCACTGGTCGTCCCGCCCTAGGCCGGCTTTGCTATCGCCATGGCCTGACTCTGCTCACCAATCCGTCAATCGTAGGCTTTGTTCAGCCCACACATTCGTTAGATCACCGACATTCTTTTGCATCGCCTCGCCTCATACACTGCCGCTGAATAGCAGCTTTTCTTAAATCATACCGACCGGAGCGGGCAGCCGTACTCTTCCTCCTCAAGTTGCTTCGCCGTCTTCTCTCCCAGCCTCTCTCACAATGCTGCTGGACTATTCAAAGTCGCGATATGTTGTGCTGGGCTTTCTCTTGGCTCTCGGATCGACGTGTGCGCTGGCCGCACCTCTCCAGGTGAGCCTCTCCAGCAACCCGACAACATGCCAATCAACGACGATCTCCTGGGATACGTCGGCAGGCACGGCACCTTGGACGGTCACAGTAGCACCGCTTGGTCACGTACCCATCTCAGTGACGCTGCCATCCAACTATATGCACGGGAAAACGTGGAGTTGGGACTGGGATGTTCCCGGCTACGCAACAGCCGTATCTTCGGTCATTGTCGCGGTCTCGGATAGCACGGGTGCCGTGTCAGGGACCTCTGCTTTGTCCAAGCTTACCAAGGCAGGCTCGTGTTCGGCGCCGCCAGAGCATCTCGATTTTGTCTGGTATCCGCCATCTTCTAGCCCGAGACAGTGCAATGACTGGCTCCTCACAGTACAAGAGGATCGCGGCAATCTCGGCCTCAAGATGCCAGTCGACCTTCTCATTCTACCCGAGAACGATTCGCCGACCCGTCTTCGCATCACCGACGCAAAGAAGAGCAGCGTTGACTGGACTGTCAACTATGCTCGTGGCACTAGCTTTGTCATTGCCGCTTTTGACGCCGGAACCTCGGGGACGGGTGGAGTCGGCGGCCAGACATACACCGTCGAGCACGGCAAGTCGACCTCGTGTATCGAGACCAGCCAGCGCGAGGCAGTAGCTGGTCTGCCAGCAGCCTCGAGTACAGCCGCTCCTCTGTCAGCAGCCACGCCTACGGCCGCCGCGTCTCGCATGGCCACTTCCCGTGTGGCCGCATCAGCGACCAGAACCAACGCCAAGACCTCGGCTACTGCAACTACTGCGGACAACGTAGCTGCCACTCAGAAAAAATCTAGTCCTTCTGGTGGCGTCATTGGTGCAGCTGTCGGCGGCGTTCTGGCGGCGCTTGCTGTTACTGGACTCGTCATCTTTTTCTACAGGAAGCAGCGCAGCAACAAGGGCCCGGACGAGTATGGCGTCTATCCGAGTACCGAAAAGCGTTCTTTCTTCGGTGGGCTTGGATCGGGTCGTTCCGCCAACCGCGATGGCTTCAGTGGTCGAGGTGCTGGAGACGGCGGCTTCGGCGCATCGACTGATCGACAAGGTGGCATTTCGCCCTTTGTTACGGGACGCGCCTCTCCGTGGCGATGGTCTTCCCGTCAGCCTGTCGGGCTCTCCGACCACCAGGACATGGCGCAGATTCAAGACGAGCGCAGAGCCATTGCCAACCGCATGAACAGTGAACCACGACCAATGGGGCACAGCAGCTCAGTCAGCTTGCACAGAAGTGGAGATTCGATCAATGCATCGGGAGGCGTTGGTCTCAACCTTGCTCCCAGCGTACACTCTGTGGTTCCAGACGATGCGCTCTTCCCGCCTCCCATCACTGTCAACAGGAACATGATGCCAAGCAACAGCGGCTCGATGGGCAACGTTGGAGCTGGTCTCGGTGCAGGCACTGCTGGGGCGATCGGCATGAAGCGACATTGGAATCGCGACCGTTCGGACTCGGACAGTTCGTATCGACATCAACACCAGCACGATCCATTCCAGAACCCCGCAAATGTCGTCCCCACACCCAAACAGGCACCTCTACAGTCAGCGCAACAACAACAACAACAACAACAACAACAGCAGCAGCAGCAGCAGCAGCAGCACCAATACCAGCCACGGCAACATCCAGCGTCACGCGATTCGATGGCGGCCATTGCTGGCCTTCCGCTCTCGCCGTCTTCCAACTACTCCCACGCCGGAGTCACCGCTTCACGCGATCTCACAGGCACTATACCCATGCAGTCGTCGTCTCAGTACGGCGTTGAACACCAAGACCTGTCGACGATGCGTATCGCACCGCCTGCACCCGTCACCACCTCCTTGTTCGATCCATACGCCCACGCATCGCGTCTCTACTCGGATCAGAAGATCGCTCATCTCAATGCCGCTCTCGCAAATGGGCAGAACGATCGAGCACTCGCTACAACTCCCACATCCGTCCAATCGCACAACAGCGCTCCCAGGTATGCTGACCCAAAGGAATCGGCTGCCAGGTTTAGGACGTTGGATGATCAATTGCGTAATGACAGGAAGAAGGTTGTTTCGAGCGTCTTTGCGCACGAGGACGATTCGGACGATGAAGGTGGATTGCCGTACATGTAGGAAGTGCCTAAGGGAATGATACCGCTGCACAACATCTTTTCGTCTTCTTGACCGTATATTTATCTCGCTCTTTCATTCAAATGACTCTGTCGCCGAGCTTTGATCAGCGCTTGAAGTGTGACCGTCGTGTGTACGTCCAAACTCAAGCTTTAATTGACGCTACACCGAGACGGTGTAATCCGTCAGCCCGAGCAAGCTACTGGAGCGGTCCAAAACGTTACCCTCTGAATCGGTGATTTTGACCAGCCCCTTTTCCTTCGCTTGCTGAAGATAGTCGGTGAAACCGGTGGAGCCGAGTGACTGGTAAAAGGCGCCGATACCGGCAGGTCCGGGGTTCCTTTTGGCGACCTCGCTCGAAAGCTTGGTTTTTGTCGCACTCGGTGCGCCCTCGCCAGTCAAAGAGACGATGCTGTCAATGAGTGGGCGGAAGCGGATCGCGTCCTCGGCGGGCACGGGTCCGGAAGCCGTGGCACCTTCGGACGACGAAGAGCGTTGCAAAGACGCAAGCACTTGGCTGGTTTCTTTGCGTAGCGCTTCCAAGTCTTTCGGCTGCCGTTGCTCTTCTGAGGCGCTGGTGTCTAGCTTCTTGTCCCTGCCAAATGAGAACAAGTTGGGCTTAAACCGAGGCTGATTGTGAGTCTCTACTTCATCCGAATCCTCCTGTTCGCCGTCAGTGACGTTGGTCTTGGACCCAGGTCGGACGAGTCTAGGATGAAGACGAATGTGTCGAACACCAGGTTTGAATCCTGGTTCCGTGGTCACAATTTTTGCTGCTACAGCAGCGTCCAGATGCTCTTGGAAGTCTTCGGCCTTCTGCGCCTTCAAACCGGGTACGACGACCGAAGAGCGCTGAGTGCCGATGATGGAATGGCAAAAGTAATCGGTCGAATAGTTGCGACCCTCTGCCATTTGCTCGAGGAGCAATGTGGCGAGAGGCGAGAAAACGAGCGGAATTTCGTGTCCGTTGACGATGGTGCGTCGTTTCTGAGAGCTGTTTGCTGTCAACGGCGACTCATTCTTGGATGTGCTTTTGCCAAAATCCAGAAGAATGCGCTTGACGGCCGACATCCTCTTGTCGACCGATGGTGAGGGAGTGGTGGCGGTATCTGCGATACGTCCGGAGTACGGAGTGATATGGTTCGTGCTCGAACTGAAGAACTTGGGATGCAGTTCGACCACAAGAACACCTTCTTGATCGGTCGGAGCAGATCGTGCGACGCCGGCCTTTTCAGCGGCGGCTATGTATTCTCTCCAGCCCTGCGCGCCGGCGAGTGCATAAGCATCCACTCCGCCCTGCCGAGCGGACAAAGCGAGATGTGCGCCGACAGAGGAGCAAAGCGGTTTTGGATTGCCGATGGATCTCTGCTGATTGCAAATGTCGATGAGAGGCTGGAATGGTTTGAGCTTTGCCTGGTCGCCGGGGGTAAAGCTAGCGTTGGCGCTATAGGAGGTTGGCTTTTGGCGGTTCGGTGTAGCGCCATGGGAGGATGACGAGTTGCTCGGTATCATAGGAATTGACGACGCAGCAGCCTTGGCGCTGTCCTTGAGGGCGACCCACTCGAGTCCGGTCTGACCTGGCTGTCCAGAAGATCCGAGGGTCACGATGCCTGCTGCCTCAGCAACAGCAGCGTACTCGGCCCATTTGGCCGCGCCTGCACGAACAAAGATGCCGCGATCCAGCGAGACCAAGCGCGCCGCTACCATGGACCGCAAAGGCTTCGGATTGCCTTCTTTCCTGATTTGCTCGAGCAACTTGATGAGAGGGTCAAAGAGCTGCAGCGTACGATTCGACGGGCGACGATCCTGGTGCTTAAGAGCGCCAGGTGGTTTGCCGGCTGACAGTTGACCGTTGGCTGCGGAAGACGGGTGATTGCCCGAACTGCTGGGCTGGAGCTGTTTCGAGGGTGTGTGTGGGCCGTTGCTGGCATAGCTGCTGTACGGTTTACCGTCCTTGTTTGCCTGTACCCCGAGCACATCCTGACGCCAAGACATGACCACGTTGGCGGACGCCTCGAGAATAGGCACTGCACCGATGGGTGGTGTCACGAGGACGACATTGTATCCTCTATTGCGGAGGATGCCAAGTGGGTAGGCGAAATCACGGTCGCCAGAGATCAGAACGACGGTGGCAGGAGCGGGCTGGTCGATGGCATAGGCGAGCAGATCGGTGATCATCATTTTGTCGGCGACGTCCTTCCTGCCGCTCTTGGGAGTGTCGATAAGGCTGACGCCACAGCCTTGAAGCTCGCTCCTGAGCTGCACTTGCGCAGCGTTGGGCGCCTGCGTCTCGGATGATAGCTCGAGGTAAGCCTTGAAGCTGACGATGGGGCCTACCTCGAGGTTCTGGATTGCGCTACGGACGGCAAGTGCGACGGAACGGCCGGACGAGCCGGTTGGCGGGGCGCAATTGTCCACATCCCAAAAGATGGCAATTGGCTCGACATCGTCCTTGAATCGGCTCTGCTTTGCCTTGCCGCTGGAGGTGGAGGGAGGTGAAGACTCGCGCTGCCTTTGATCTCGATCTGACGAGGTTTCGTCCTTGCTCTTTGATAGGAGTCGTGGGAAGAACCGCGTCGCAATGAGGAGCGAGCCTGTTCCGAGACCAGCAAGCACGAGCCAGCGCGTGCTGGGCTGCTGGAGGATGTGTGCTAATGTGCCAAGGGAAGCCGAGGCAGCTGCATCTTGACGATGGGAGGCCATGGGTCGGCCTTGATTTCGCCGAGGACACCTGGGATGTCAATGCTGGAACTAGAATGCGAAAACGACTGGAGTGGCAGACGACGATCGAGACGAGGGAACGTGAAGTTGGAAACGAGTGTGTTGTTGTGGACGGCAGGGATGGTGTAAGAGTTGTGGAAGGTGTGGGTGGAGGAAAGGCTAGAGTGGCGAAGAGAAACGACCAAGTGCTGGTGTTGGTCTGAGCTCAGTTTGTGCAGGTGACACGCGCCGCTGACCTGAAAACGCATCCTTCTTCTTTCGGATCTTCCTCCACTTGTTCACAAATCAGGGTCCAGTTGGATCTGAGCGCGCGAACTCTCCGAGAAGAAGCCTTTCTGGTGAAACGAGAGAGTCGGAACATATGCGAAAAGGACACGCCAACCTGTGACCACCTTCTTAGTCCACTCGATCCACTCGGCAGACAAGCGTGCCACAGAATGTCGAAGCTTTATCACTTCCCGCAGACAAGCGAGGAGCTCATTCGGCACTACAAGCTCGAGCCTCATCCCGAGGGCGGCTACTATGCCGTCACCCACGTGATGAAGGAGACAATCAAGTCTCCTTTTGCTTCGGACCTCGAAGAGCGCAGCATCTCCAGCTGTATCTACTACCTGCTTTGTCACAAGACGCCCGGATGTCCCGACAAGCCTTCACGATCCGTCAGCTCCGACGAGGCGGATGCTTTCAAGACGTGGAACAGCGACATTGGCGTTTTGCATCTCAACAAATCTTCCACGATGCATGTCCACCATGCTGGGCGAGCCAAATATACACTCATTTCTGCAAAAGCACCGCTAGGCGAAGGACTCCAGGACAGCAACGGCGATCCGCTCACCAAGACGGTCGTGATGGGTGATGACATCGCCAACGGAGAAGTCCGGCAGTTGTTGGTGGAAGGGGGCTGGTGGAAAGTCAGTGAGATCCCTGAGCAAGACAGGAAAGCCATTGAGGACGGCACCGCCGACGGCACGAGAGTGGGCGCTCTCATCTCGGAGGTGGTCACGCCAGGCTTTCACTGGAACGATCACACATACCTCAACCAATCTAGGCTGCGAGAGCTCTTTGCCGGAACTACGCGCTCGGACGAACTGTACGAGGGGTTCAAAAAGTATGTAAAGGAGCAATGATGAATGCGAATGATGATGATGACCATGACCTTAGAGTACATTGATGAAAGATGCTGTAAAAGGTACAGTATGATACGGAAGGGGGCAGAACGAGCTGTTTCCACAGCCCGGCTCACTTATTGGTGCCAAAGTCTCGCACCGGAAACAGCCTGTCAAAGTTGCTGCGATCCATGAACCAGGGATCCTTGGGATCCAGTTGAGCTTTGGCCGACGTTTCCGTCTGCGTGAGAGCATGACCACCTGCAACGGGTGACCAGTCGGTCTCTCCTCGCAGACTCAGCTTGAAGCGCGACCAGTATTGCGTGTACAGATTCTTGGCCTTGGTTTCGAACAGCGGTGTCGGTGCAGCTTCGAGCTGGTATCCGAAAGTAACGTCTTCCCCTAGCAGAATCGACGAGGGCACCTTTTGCCGCGTGCCCGACTTGGCCGATGCTACTCGTCTTCCCCTGCCCTGTGCAAACTGTTCAATCTCGACAGCTGATGTCCGATCTCGTCGGTAGAGAGCATCGAGCGGGTGGAAGCGTTCGCAAAGGTCCTGATCGTTGAGCGGTGCGCTCCTCTTGGATCGCATCGATGGAGGCAGGAACGCACGAAACGGCCGCGCTGCTGTTCGAATGCCAATCTGTGACAAGGCTGGATACAGGGTCACTCGCGTCGCAAGCCTCGATGGCGTCCAGAAGAAGAAGAGTCCGAGTCCGCCGCCCGTCACGGCCACAGCCGTACCCGCTGCGTATCGAAGCATTGGCGGTGCCAGCTTGGTCTTTTCAGGATCGCGCGTGAATATGGGCCAGCTGAGGTGCTGCGTGAGCAGGAAGCCCTGATAGCATCCTGCTCCGGTGAAGACGGTGCCGATAAAGTAGTAGAGCGCCCTCTTCATGCCAGGCGGTCCGCGGTACAGCACTCGGGGCGCCGCCGATGCTGCCACCGATGCCGCCGCCGGCGCTGCTTTCGACGCTGTTGCTGCGCTCATACTGTGAAAAGCACCTCCCCGATGCACTGCGTCGTTACGTCGTTGCCCTTGATGTATACGTGTGTGTCGCAGTTCTCATCACCCTCTGGAGCTTACCAGATCTTCTCACCGCTTTCACTTTTTTTTGCACGTGATGTTCCGACTCCCGCATCAAAATCATACAGAATAACTATATATACGCAACATATCCATTCGCTCCAAACCCACGGCCCTATAGCTCAGTGGTAGAGCGTCGGCTTCCAGCTATAAAATTGGCGAAAATGTTAGATTTGGACCCAATCTTGAGCGTTCCGAAGGTCTTCCGTTCGATCCGGGATGGGGTCACACGAGAGTTTGAAACTTTTTTTTGGCCTTAATTTTGGGCTCTCTTAGGGTACAAACACCGAGCTATGTGTGGTGGATCTGGACGTCACTTCGCGGTGGGAGTTGCAGGCACGGACTCGTGAAAGACGTTCAAGGGAGCCGGCACTGAATTCGGAACAACTGGTTCAGCAAGTCGCCGGGTCACATCCGCAGGCTCATCGTGCAGCTGGGATCGTTGTCCGAGATTTGGTTGTTTGGATGGTAGCGAGCTCTGGCACGGATGGCATCGCCATTGCAAGTACGATGATGACATTACGACGAGCATTCACCGCACTGAACACGCTAAGATGCTCGCCTAGGTTTGTTGTTGTCCCATGAATGGATGACGAGCGTCATCGAAAGCAATATGGGTACACCGCCATTCGTTGACGACACCCCAAATCTTTGACGATTGACGATAAGAGCAAGAGCGGGTTCGGGAGCGAGAAGGTCGGACCGCGGGCTCTTTCTATGCTCGGTTGGGTGGGTGGGTGGGTGTGCGT